TGCCGCTTTTCTCCCTCTATGCGGACCGGTGTTATTTGATAACCTAGGTGTAGGCTGGGGGAGCTCTATTCTCGGCTTTGTCGGCGTGGCTATGATCCCTATCCCTATCGTCATCTTTAAGTTTGGTGCGCGGCTGAGAGAGAAATACCCTTTAAGACTTTAATGTTTCTCCTTACTACCTGACATATTTAGGTAGCCTCTGCAGCATGGAGCAGATATGTCAGCTAAGTCTTAAGATAAAGACGCTGCAGAGGAAAGAGAACACAAAAATTATGTTGTATTATTGACTGGGTATCGATTCTTAGTCACATTGCTCAGGATCTGATCTAGTCTGGGTACCTATTTATCTATGTTACCCTCTGGCGTCTTGGTTATATGTATATATTTCTTTTATGTCTAACCTAAGGTCTTCATTTATTTCGTCTATGGTACGGAATTATATATTTAATCATCGCTTTTCGTTTTTGAGGTATTAACTAATACATTGCGCCGTAGCTTGCTTCTTCCGCTTCCCTCTCTTCCCGGATTAAATGAAGCCTCTCCTGGACCATTCCAGCGGCTTCACTCTGTTGTAATTTTCGTCTAAAGGACCGGCCCTGGATGACGACGTAAGCAGTCAGTATCGCACCAAGCATCGTGCCACCAGCCGCCATGGCGGCGTTGATTGGCGTCGGGTCACCCTGTAGCGGGCCGTGCGTCAGCGCGTCGAGCCCTGATTGCACGAAGTTAACAAGGCCCGACAAGCAAGTAATGGTGCCATAGATGCGGCCAAAGGTTGCGAAGCCAAATATTTTAGTGGCGAAGTCACTGACTGCGCTGTAGTACAACGGTCGAAATAACACGAAGGCTACTACTGTCGCATACCCGGCCCATAGCTGGGGGAGACAGTTGAGGATCCCAATTGCCACAATGAAGAATGTTAACACGGCCGACGCCGTTGCTACGCTTAGGCTGTTAAGCAATATTCCGATAAACGGCGTGGCAAAGACACCGCCTACGGGTAGTGCAACGTCGAAGAAGTGGTTGATATCCTCGGCGAGCCGTTCTGATCCCAGTAAATACCGGTACTGAGCGCGGATGGTAGCAATGAAATAGTTCATGCGCAGCATCTGTAATACCGTGAGCAGCAGCAGGAGTATAAACCACGTTGTTGTCATCTGCCGATGCGCCGGTAGGCCGTGCAGGATACCCCAGATACCACTGGCCGCCTGCCGCTCCTCTTCAGCCTGCACGCGGTCCTCGCGCTCCGTCTCGTCGCCCACTAATTCCTCGATCTGCTCGAGCTTGGAAAGTCGCCGCTCGGTACGTGCACTTCTCACGCGCCGGATTTCGCTCGGGCTTTCAAGATCGTCATCCGAGTCGTGCACGTCGCGTGTGGCGTCCTGTACTTTCTCGATTTTGCGCTCGAGCTCAGGTGTCGAGTGGTATGCCCGCGGAGGCATGAGCGCAAACTCTCCAAGAAGAAGCAACACGCCCACGATCGTGTACCCGAAGAAGAAGCGTGCGGGCGCAAAGGTACGGCCTGATGCCTCCCATGCTAGCCGGTAGAACAGGAATATAGCAGCGGAGCCGTCGAAGGCGCCCGTCACTAGCGCGACGATAATGCCCGAATATCGCGGGAACGCATTCGCGAGCTGGAAGCTGGGGACGAAAACGAATGTCCCGCCTAGACTTAGCAGTATGTTGGCTAACAAGTACCCGTCAAACTCGGGGATCTGGAACGCGAGCCCCATCAGCACACACCCCGCCATCATGAATACGCCCGAGATAACATAGCATAGGCGACGTCCGTAGCGGTCGAGGACCCATCCGGCGACTAGGGACGAGGCATTGGTCGTGATGGAGGCGGCGATGAAGAACAGATTCAGGCGCATATCCTGCGCTGCGCAAGGCACCTTCTCGCTGCCGTTACCGGCGCTGCTCTCATCGCGGCCGTCTCGAGGGCAAAGGTCTTCGTATACGCCCTCCTCGATTAACACTGGTTTGAGTGATGCGAAGCCGTATACGATGCCGGCGGCGAACCAACATGCTACGATGGCGAATGCGACTTGGGCTAGAGGGTTCAATCAGCTTGTATCCATTATCTACTAGGGGATATGAAATGAAGCCACTTACCTACTCTCTTCGCGGCAGAGACCTTGTAAGCGGCAGTATTAGGTAAGGCAGACTCTTGCGAGACAATGGGGCCAGCATTGTCGCCGTGGCCGAAGGCATCGTAACTCAGGGTGCGCCATAGAATCTCTTCCTCTCTGTGGTCTTCATATTCCGGGAGCACGCGGTCGATGCCCTCGTTTGCGGTGACATGCTGGGCGAGCGACATGGCATCGGGGAATTGCCGAGTTTCTCTGGGGCTGCGGGATTGGAGCTATAATACCTAAGGTCCAACACTATACTACCTAGGTAGGTAATTAAGACTTGCGATCGAGAAAAGTGGCAAGACTAGGTGTACTTCCCGCCTGAATATTAGATAATAGACGAACTGTCTGGGTTACCTATTTCCCCTCCTCAAAAACTCGCGAAGCTATTTCTTCTAGGTATTCACGACATCTTTAGTTTTGACCGGCGGTCAACATCTGTTCTAGAATCATGAGGAACATGGGCGATTATGCTGGAGTGTTGACGTCAGGGGATCCACGTGGGCCCCCTGCAACCATACTGCAGCTATATGTATATACCTACCTAACCTAGGTAGTTACCTAACCTAGGTAACTATACATTGCAACTAATATTAGGTAACAAATACTGCTTTAGGATGGTTATTGCTTTGATGAAGTGAAATACGCAATATTTTCTCTTTGACTTATTGCTTGGAAGATGATAGTTTAAGAACTTGTTGATAAGGTAGTAGTTAATATATATCAGAGTAGACGAGGAAGCTAACCATTGCAAAGTCATCACCTATCACATTTCTTCAACTAGTAAGTATTGCTTCATCGTTCGAGCAGAGCGGGAGTTCCAGCGGTTGATTATTCGTAATATAAAAGCTCGCTGAAACGGGTTTCTGAATATTATCAGATGGCGCCAACCCGTGCTTCTGAGATGTCTAGAAATGGACGAGCGTAGAATTGCGACCCCTGTGACGCCGAGAAATAGACCGAACGCTTAATATTATGTATAATTTGTTTTATTGGCTCTATAAGAATTAGGCGTCCTCTGGGCCACGCCATCCAAAGCATTCTATTCATATTGAGCGATATCGTTTAATTATATTCGCTTATTTCGAGGCGGGGTATCATGGTATTGTTGAGTTTAGAGCTCGCTTGTAGGCCTTTCAACCCATATGGATAGGCGGGGCAGTCATCCTAGCTTTCATCATGCCTAATTCTGAGCTCTTTGCCCACGACCCGTCGGGAAGTTGTCGGTAGCATATTAACTTGCCCTCATCTCCGACACTTCCCAGAATTTGGCCATCGTCGTCGAAGTCGATTCTCCATACAGGAGACCGGTGAGCACTAAGTTTGGATAGCAGCTTAACAGTGTGGTGGACCTGTCCCGGTAGATCGGTCGAGGTACGTTCTCCGTGAGTCCCGGACTTGTCGATCTCGGCTCTTATGCCGGAAGGAGCTTGAGAGGATCTACGAAGATGGCTACTTTTAGAAGCAGAGTTTTCGTCGGCTTTTGCACTGCCTAGAATATCCGCTAGAGCCCAGGATTTGCCATCGTCTTGTGAGAAGGGAGCATCAATCCGGAACACCCGCACGAAGCCGTCTTGGCATGCAGTAGCAATCATGTCGTAGCCCCTATAGTTTCCGGGAGCCCAAGCGACGTCTCGGACTAAGTGATTATGGTCTCCGATCTCAATAGCTAGGTAGAACTGTCTTTGTCTTGTCGGGGCGCCGAAGGAACTAGCAACAGTATCACGAGTTCTAAAGATTTTTACCGTGGTTAAGCCCGATACTACCAGACTCAATGCATCCGCTGGTACACCGGCTCTCAGGGCATTGTAGCAAGGTTCAGGATTCGGGTCAAAGCAGACTTTAAAACATGTTTCCTCGCCACGATTCGGCTTAGTGCAAGTCTGGAAGTCATCAGACTTTGCATAGTCAGTTAGAGTCTCGGGCTCCTCGCCTTCGTATACTGTGAGATGGCCGTCCGAGGCGAGAAGGGCGACATATGTAGACCGGGTTACCTCATCATGCTTGACCGAAAAGGACCTATAGGGATACCGGGCGGACCTCAGCTCGGAAACATTCTTGCCATTCCCGTCCCTCGCGCTGAAACGCCTTCCCGGGGCAGCTGAAGGGTCCTCAGCCCATAGTCTAAAGCGGCCCTCGATGCCGAGGGAGGCTAGTAAATTGGGATATATGGTGGGCGTTAGCCATTGAAGCTAGACGAACTGTTAGAAATGTGTTAAAGCTATGAATTATCTAACTACGTTTTAAGAGAAACGAACCTCTAGAATCTCGCCTGTGTGAGCTTTCCAATTGTCGCATAATCGCCAAATGCCATCTTGGTGTCGATTGAAGACGCGAATCTTGCCGTCTACACTACCTGTGGCGCATCTGTCGCCGTATGCGTTGAAAGCAATTGCTTGAACTAAATCCTTGTGACCGTGTTGGACGATATCGAAAGAAGCGCTATTTTCAGCTGTATGATCCTCTCCAGTTGGCGAAGGTCCCATTATTACGCCTACGACGCTGTCGTCATTGCGTATCCAAGAGCTTGAGATATAGAGCACGGAGTTGTTGAAAGTTGTTGAAAGTTGTTGTAGCTTTGGTGCTTTGGTGGGGGCGAGATGAAGCTTAAAACGGATTGAGACGAGTTACCGGGGTACAATACTACAATACATAACTCTTACATAATGGTACTCTTTATAAGCATCTACTCGGTTAGAACAATTTGTATGAAATATCAGTGAAATACTAATTCATATACAAAAGTAAATGCATAAATACGGATTGTTTTGGATGGAATTGAGGAGAGGAAAAGGGGAGGAAAATAAACACGTGTTGATAATACGGGCACATGAATTCTTAAAACTGGAATATTATGCGAGCTTCTTCATTTTCGGTTGAATTAAGACGCTATCTCGAGATCTCGTAATTTCACTACAGCATGAGTATATATACAGTGAATCAAACCCCCGGTTTCCATCTGCTTAAATGGCCCCTAGTATTACCTATATTCTCCCTTCTTATAGGTTCTTGAGCTGACGTGCGTGGCGTCGAGCATGACGCTTGCGGGAGCAAGTCTTCTTCGGCGTCGTCGTAGCTGGCGAGCTGGCAGCCGGCTGGGTGTTGACGGCAGCAGAGGTGCTACTAGCGATAGGGGAAGTAGCAGTAGGAACGGTGGTGGTGGTGGGTTGAGCAGGAGTCGTGGTTGTGCTCGTAGGAGCAGGAGCAGGAGCAGAAGGCGAAGAAGCATTATCGTTGTTTGAAGATGACGATCCATCAAACTTCACCAAAGTAGGACCGGGAATCTTGTAATCAGCAACCGACGAAAGCTTTTCGTCATTGTAGATGTTGTGTAAGATTCCGGGGTCGGTAGCAGTGTAGAGCTGTGTACCGACGACACCATCCGGAGACTGGGTACCGGACCCAGAGACCTGGAGGTTGATACACTGGGGGTACATCTGCGCTTTTCCTTCGGTGCCAGCCTCGTGTAGAGCAATGAGCTCGTGACGAAGAACGTAGTTTCCAGACTTAAGTGAGCTGGGAATGGTAACCTTCCAAGTAAGGCTATCCTGAATTAACACGTCATCAGCCCACCTGCCGATTGAGCCACTGCCGGCACCCAACTCGAGCTGGCCTGCCTCGGCTATCTTGAACCACTTGAGAGTTGTCTTGTCGACAGTTGAACAGTCACCACCGCAGTCTGCCAGGTAGTCAATAACCGGTCCTTTATGAGACTCTGCCCATTGGTTCCAAGTGAGTGAGACCTCGCCACCGGCGGCGACAGGTGCAGACAAAGCAGCATTGGTAGCATCCAAGTGACAGATGATATCGGGATCTTGAAGCGCCGATGAGAGCACGAAGCCGTTGTCTTTAGCCCCATTGCTCCACGTAATACTGTCCGGCTGAGGTCCGAAAGGTGCAGAGGTAGGATCGAATCCTTGGTAGGATTTGCCGTCGATAGTCACAGTCGTAACATGACCATGGGCAGAAACAGAAACGGCACCGGCAATGGCAGCCAATAAGCTAGACGTAAGTGCAGAAGGCATATTGGAACTTGGTTATTTAGGTATATACGATATGTGAATATAGACTGCTGGTGAAGGCCGACTTGCAGTAACGAATGTGAATTGACTTCAAGTCAAGTATGAAAGCAGCTTAGAGGAATGAATGTGACGAAGATAACTTCAAGAGAATGAACGAAGACTCGTGATTAGTCTGATAAATCAAGAGAGATGGAATCAGGTCGAGAGAACACTTGCCCTCCTTATATTAACTTACTCGAAGCCCTACCCATGTCTACCAAGAGCCGCACTTTGGCCTTTTACAGTAACATCCGGGAAGACGAAGATCATGTCGATCCACCATAGTGTTGTGTCGGCGCCATCTACGAACGTGCTAAACAGGGTTCAAGTTCAAATGAGTTCTCGAATTGGTGGAATATCAATTTGCCAAGGAATGTACCAGCACTCTGAGTTCAAAAGAATAAAGAATCTGACTTAAGGGCTTGGTAGAGTGAAATGAGAACCATAGAGACGACTTGTTAGAAGGTTTCACATGTGGCGCGAAGCAGGGGGTTGTATACTCCTGGAATTCCGATAATGGGAACGACCAGGTCCTTATGCATATGGACGTTCTATAACCAACGCCAACGCGCGCTATGGATGCTTTTGCCCGAGTGAACTGTTGTTTGAGATGAACAATTTCGGTGAAGTGAGTCTTGGCGCACGCGCCACTAAAGATAGCAAGGGCTGAAGGAGTGTATTAACCCCTGAAGCTGATCACGATGCGGGGCGATATTCGAAGGGCCGCTTCTGAGATCCACACTATCGACATCAGATTATCGCGCCACGTCCCGAAGATCCTAAATTAAAGAACTAATAGAATAATCTCAAACATGCCAAGCTCAGTCCATGACAGTGCTTTTGTAGGAGAGATCTCGCAATAGGGATACTCGATCTTGGGCTATACATAGAACGTGCACTAACATTTACCTCGAAAATAAATATGTTGACCTACTAATGCCTGTATTCAAGTTACTCAAAATCATTTATGAGATATCTAGGGTATTGAAATCACAGGGGCTGCTTAACGCCAACTCTTATAGACCTATAAATAAAATGTGAATAGGTAGACAATTATAGCATTTGCAAAGTTGTTAGGATATCCCAGAGAAGCGCTCATATAGTAGATGACTTGTTGTCTCTTACATCGAAGTAGATGCATCTATATAGTACAAATATCGTTGGTACCAACTCAAATTATCGTTAACCCAAAGGATCAGTATCCCCAACGCCCGAGCACAATACCCCTGACGTAATCGTTCAATCATGGCTCCTAGCTCGCTTAATGATATCCGAGGCGCCCAAGTTCAACCCCTTTTCGATACACTAATTTCATTTGTTCTTGATTGCCCGGCTAAGAGGAGTGGTGCCTTGCCTCTGAGAGTAGAGGAGATATGCGAATACAGCCGCGGCCAAGGTACCCAAAATGAAAAAATTGTCTGCAGCGAATTAGTACGGACGATAAATAGGAAGCAAGACGAGGGACGGCTAGACTTACGAATTGCGAAGCCAAGAGTGCCTTCAACGAAGTTGATAAAGGCTTGGAATAGACCAATAATCGAGTTGAGGATCCATTGAAAGAAGTTGATGACAGCTCCTAAGAGACCTTGGATCACTTCGATGATTGATTGGAAGAAGTGACCAACACCCGCTGCGAGACCCATGGTAGCTATTTAATTTTAACTCTGTTTATTTTATAAGTAAATATCGCTTGTCTATCCGAAGTAAGATGTAATTTGAATAATAATAATAATAATGTTGTGGCTTATACTCCACGCGGTTATGCGTGTTCTTATAGCTCTCTCAAGAGCCGCCACACTCCAAACTACGTCACCGAGAGAAGTATGCAAAAACTTTCAGAATCCGGACAAAGAAGTGGGATTTGATGGCGTAGTATTAGACACTCGTGACGCTCGTCTTCGCCAAGGGTCACGTAGCTGTGTAAAAGTCATGACGTCAGTCTCGTAGATTGGGAATGACAGGTCACAATATCTCATTGGTTGAGCCTCAAGGTCCAATAATATCATGCTATTCTTTATAAGATTCATTTTGTAGTATCAATATACAATATACTTAGGTACCTATTAAGAAATAAAGAGCTATAAGACTATAACCCGATTATAGTAAAAAGTACCTGCACATTTCTGGTACACCTTTCAAAATGCGGAAACATTGTGAAAAAGATAGGAACATATTATGGACTGACTAATACACTATGTTTGTGACATAGAAAATAATGAATAATAAATAGATATTTTAGAAAGTTCCCCACTGGCCTTTTGATAAGCCAATTTCTCCTCGGTGGGCGCGGTTAGAACCCCTCGATAAGGATTTTGAATCTTACCTGCCACCGCCTTGCTTGACCTGGACATCACGAGGGACGTCATAGTCTATGAAGAGTTAAGAATAGATAATGCTTCTGATATGCTAATCTTATCATCTTGAAGAAAATATGTCCTCGATTTTAAACACTCGTCCAGTCCCGAAAAGTACTTTGTCATAAATGTAGTAAATTATTTATGACAAAGTACTTTTCGGGACTGGACGATTTGTTAGATATTAAATGCAGAACTGACATGAAATAGTAGTGCCTATTGCTGGAGAAGAATCAAGATATATAATAACAGATGTTAATAAATATATCCTAAGACCACTCCAGAATTCTGTAGCGAAGGGCAGATCTATATAGAAGTCCCAACAGCTGCCAATACCACAGTAATTGAAAGCCCTAATTTTGCTCTCAATATACTATTATATCTTGCTACAATAAAAGAACTTTATTGGTCTCTTGGTCGTCATAAAGGGTACCTAAGATACTTGAAAATTGCGCATGTATTTTGGAAAATTCTCCAGGATATAGTATAGAAACTCCATTACGAGCATTAAGAAACTTCTTTGTAGCCATATAGGCCCTCATATAGCCCCTTTACCTGTTATCTAAGACATACGCGCATTATATAACATTGCGAGGATGAATAGCGAGAGCTTAAGCACTTAATAATACTGTACTTCTGAAAATACATCAACATAATAGGATTAGCATAACATCTTATATTGTTACCCAATCAATAGGCTATGATACATAGTATCTGAGTTAATCCAAGACACCATACGGTAAAGGAAGGGCGTTGTTGGGTATCATTCTGGCCACTGTGGCTTGCGCTTCCAGCATCCAGTGCAGAAGAGCACATTTATATTCGAAATTTACATGCATCTAAATCATTCATACAAACGCTGCATATATCCAATGCAAACCAGTTCAATAGAAGAACAAATAGTTACCCAAGTCCACAGCTTAAGAGGATTCCTCTCTAAGCCGGAATCTTAAGTCTAGCCGTCCTGGCGCGGCCGTGAACTGATCTCTGAGATCGGCGAACAACTTCTCGCCCTTCTCATCGCCCCAGAACTCGACTCTGAACTTCTTTACAAGTAAGGCGATGACGAATCGCATCTCGGTCATCGCGAGGTTCTTCCCAATGCAGTTAAATCGGCCTTGGGAGAACGGGGCGAAGCCACGGGCATCCTTGACCATTTCTGGTCGTGTAGTCCAGCGCTCGGGGATGAACTGATCGGGTTCTTCGTATGAGGAGTCAAGACGCGCGAGAGAGTATCTGGGCGCAACAATCGTAATATTCCCCGGGATATATACGTCGTTAATAGTCATTCCGGTTGGGGGTGATTGGCGGTAGCCGCCCGTAGGTACGGGAGGGTATAGCCGCAATGTTTCGTTAATAAGGGCGTTGAGGTGGCCGCAGTTCTGAAGCTGTGACTTGTCGTAAATATCTACATCCTTGAGTTCGGAAAGTAGTATGTCTTGGTGCCAAGGGCTGCGAGCGAGCTCGTAGAAAGCAAAGACGAGGGTTGGGGCAATAGTATCGCTGATCTTGGTTAGTAAGACGATCTAGCTGATAATATGATCATGCCGTAGACTAACCTTCCAGCAATGATGATGGTGATGGCATCGCCATTCAGCCACTCACGGTCAGCTTCCAAGGAGCCCTTTTCAAGAGACGCCTCGATTAGCCAGTGTGAGACATCGGGCCTCTCTACTTTCCTCTATTGGCAGGTTAGAATTTTTAATATTAAGACGTAGTAGGAAGAAACATACTGCTATCCGTTCGCCCATGCGGTCCTTACACCACTGCATCATACTAAGCCAATCCCGAACGATATACATCCAGGGGGTAATGTAGAATGCGATTTGAGCTATCCATGGTACCGGGCTAAATGGCCCCAGCAAGCTCATAGCTCTCCTCAGCAAGCGAACTGCGAAGTGCCACTTCTTATCTTTCAACATGCCGAATGATCGTGCAAAGGCAAATTCGCCCATAACATCAAATGTAAACCAGTAAAACCAGTCCGATACATTGACGGGAGAATCTTCCATCGCAAGCTTCTCGATCTGAGATGCAAGTGTTTCTGCATATTCCACGACACGTTCTTCGTAGATGGCAAGAGCCTTATTGCTGAAGCCTCGGTCCCAGACACGTCGTCGAGCATCATGTTCCTTTATGTTTCGAGTTGTATTAACTGCGAGTTCAGGAAGCAAGAAGTCGTACCAGACAGCCTTGGTACACTTATTCCTGGGTCCATCAACAGCCAGGGGAACAGCAGCGTCGACGAAGGTGATCTCCTCTGGGCCAGTCCGAATAACTGGGCCATACTTCTTGCGCAGCTCCTCAATGACGAGGAAATTCTTCCCCGTACGGCATTGCCATACGTGCCAAAACTTCGTGGCTCCTGCTAGCCAGGGTCCAGGGAAGTGTCGTAGTCTGTGGAAGAACTTTCGATATATGACGATGCTAGTGAACAGCGCAGTTGCATATGAGCTTACTATTAGAGAAGCAATCTTGAAACTGGTATTAACGTCCGCTCCGAGTCGCTGCTCGACGAAAAAGACGACGAAAGCGAGGAAAGAGTAGATTGTAAAGAGTGTAGGTGCTTGCATATGCCATTCGCCGCGAATAAAGATAGCAAGATGGGAGAAAGCTCCCAGGGCAGCGGCCCCCAGACAAGCGTAGCCGGTCGTAGTCGACAGCATACTAAGAAATCGTGCCAAGAGAAGGCGTCAGAGCTCACTAGTGAAGGGGAAAGATGCAGGTCAGGGAGGTATTCCTGTAGAAACTAATCTAAAAGAAAGACTATATGTAGCTTACAGATGGGGGGACGGCATCCTCCGGGACACAAACCCCCTATCTCTGACGACTCGGCATCGTGGCCACTTTTACTGGACATCAGCAACTCCTTCGAACATACCTATCCATCCTAGGACTCGGGCAGCGTGTAATACTACCAAGTAACAACTCGATAGAGAACTATATAGTTACCTAGGTAGTTTACAGGGGTAAATAAGGTTATTTTCGGTACATATAGCCCATCGCATCGATCCTCCGGCACTTAAGCGCCTTGGTGATCCATCAGGAATGGCCTCACTTGATTATCCACTCCTCCTCTCGTTTGGTAGGAAATAACAAGTGCATTTCTTATCCAGCCTAGTGCGTCGAATGAGTCCGAGAGGCCCGGTCGGATTATTGATATTGTACATACAATGTAGCACTATACATTTTACGCTTGTCCTGTGGCGGTCAGCTTTAAAGTAAGAGTGTCGATTATCTATCATTTTTTAAAAATAGATTCCCCCATTATATGACTTGATAATATGTATGGTTAGCCTATAAGTAGTAGTGGATGTAAGGTGTAAATCTGGTATAGTTTAGTCATGTCCGTTAGTTAACTACCTACCTACCTAGGTTACCTATGTATTTCTCAAGATACTTCGTATAAAACGGTGAAATTCTCACCGTCCTGTTTATTTCGGAGGAATGGATAAAACGGTCGAATTATGCAACCTAATTGCGACCCTTACATCGGGTATCACCCGCAGAAGGATCTAGCGTATCCAATCTATACTCTTATGTAGTGACAGGGGGTAAGTTGGGGTCACCACGGACATCGTTCCATTTATGTCGTGGAGCAGTAGTACTCGATTGCATATGGGAATTAATTCGATATCTGATATTGTAACCCTTCAGTTGAGTCGATCAATTTACGGCACGGCCATTACTTTTTAAATCGAATTCCTTCGCAGTCTCGTTTGATATCACAGACTAAGCTGATCCTTACCCCTAGTATACTCTCTCCACACAGCCCCCTGAGTTGTTCACTATCATAACATGCCTAAGCCAGTATTTGTTCTCCTCCACGGTGCTTGGCACAGTCCTAAGTGCTGGGATAGTCTCATTGCCGCACTGAGAAAGGCTGGCTACTCGGCTGTTGCTCCAGCCTTACCCTCATCCGGATCTACGCCACCTACACCTGACTGGTCCAAGGACGTCGAAACTATTAGGAGCACCGTTGAGGAGCTCATCCAAGAGAATGATGTCGTCGTCGTTACGCATAGCTTCAGTGGTATGACTGGAGGTACGGCCTTGGAAGGATTGGACAAGGAGACTCGTGCATCAAAGGGACTGAAGGGCGGCGTCATACGACTGATTTACATCACGGCCTTCCTCGTACCGGAGGGCTTCCAGCACTCGGCGCATGGAACACGCGATAATATGGTACCGGAGATGAAAACTGATCTTGATGTAAGATATGTCTTATTTCGATATTACTTTACTCCTTTATTTGACGCACTCTAACTTCTTACGTTCACTAGGCTGGCGTTATCACTGTGTCACCAGAACATGCTAAGGATATGTTCTATCAAGACCTCGATGACGCCACCGTTGCTGAGTTGGTGAAGGACTTGCGCCCTCAGAGTTTTGGGGCATTCTGGAGTACCACGACATATGCCGCGTGGCGTTATATTCCAACCACTTACATCCTGTGTCTGGGAGATAAGCCGTCGACCGTGGTTGCTGCGCGGTACCTTATTGACACGGCAAAGGCTAGTGGACCGCACAAGATCGAGAAGGTTGTCGAAGTCGATGCGGGCCACTCTCCCTTTATCAGCAAGCCCGAGTGGACTGCTGAAGCACTCATTGCTGAGATCAGTGGGCAAGCTTAGTCGAGAGGCTAGTCTAGAAGTCTTTTAGGGTCCAGTTGTAATTCTAAGTGTACTAAGTGTAGTCAATAAGATTTAGGTACTTGGTTCCCATCATATAAAACAAAATACTTAAAAGGGGGTTCGATCTATTCAGCTAGTTATATAAAATCATGACTTCTTGATATATCACTGTGACGGTCGCTGTCCGACAACAGTCAATCTCCCTATGTTGTAAGCAAGCTTCTGCCTGTTCTGAAAGACCTTGAAAATCAAGTCTCTGCACCGATCACCAGAGCCGTTGCGCATAGGGTCCAAGGCCTTATAACTCACTTCCTCGGATGCCATGAGCGCTGTATCGAGCTGGAAAGGTAGCAACTCCAGCGGAAACGGACGATTATTAACTGCAACATTGGTGAGTCCGTTCTCCTCGAAGAATTGTGGTAGTCTGATCGGCCAACTGTAGTAGAGTTCAGTCAATGCCAATGCTGCGGTAGCTATTATACTGGTTGTCACTTACTCATCCGCTGTCCAGTTTGGTCTCGTTCCACCTAACGTCCCTATCATCTCTAGAAGGGCAGTTAGATTATCCTCGACATCATTCCCTTCTTCTGTGCGGATGATCTTGAAGGTGCTGTAGTCCATCTCTCCCCAAGAGATCCATCCTCCAGGCTCTATCCTATGTATAAGTACCTAATCATGTCGCATTTAACAAGTTGAAATTTCGCGGAGAACATACTGAGAAGTCCGAGCAGGTTCCGTATTATAGGCGCCGGATCATTGTTATGCACCGCAAGGTGGAAGAGTTGGATATGAACGATATCATACTGCTCAAGCAAATGCTTAGGCAATGGACCTAAACAGTCTATCTTGTGTACGGCCACATTGGAAGGCAACCATTCTTTCGGTGGACATTGAGTTAGGTCGATATCAAACCCATCAATCTGAGCCGAAGGAGGAAGGTATCGTGCCAAATCGACCAGCCAAATCCTACAGGATGTGTTTTAGTATCACTGCTGTGGTCGCGGGCCGGGGGAAAATACCCAGTACCGACACCTATCTCCGCCACCCGTAGGTTTTCAACATTCGCCGGGATGCTAGGGTGAAGAGAGAAGCCCGCATCTTTCCAAAGAAAGTATTGTAGGTTCAGCCTAGTTTACGTATTAACCTATGGATCAAGATGATGTCAAGGTTTGTAGCTGGTGTTTAACCTACCTAGCATTTGCAGAGAAATTACGCCCAAGAATGTATGCTTCATGCTCCATGATGATGGAATGAGAAATGAAATGGCGATAGTAGTAAATAGGGGGTTTGGTGTTAGGAATTGGAGTTCGTTGAACGCGATGTTTGGGGGCGACTAGACAGTATCTAGAACCTCGCCGACCCCCTGATTAAACTACATTTGATCTATTTTCGAGTAGGTACATACTAAACTAGAGCAGCATGCGTATCCCAGTCGCACGTTTTAGAGTGGAGGATGTAGGGTTGCATATGGAAGTGTTACGATGTAACCTATAGTAAGCGCTGCAGGATATCCCCGTAGATGCGACTTATTGGCCTATTGGCTTATACGCATGGTACAGCTCCTATATTGCAGAATGGGCCTATAACTATGAATAAGAGCTGCGGCACTTCCCCCTCATCAGCTTACATACTACTATACGACACATAGATCAGCCCAGTCGGTCCGAGGACACGGGGATCCCACTAATAGATATCTCTTCAGCCCTCGCGCCTTGCGCCTGTGTAATTACTTAGGCTTACGCCGCTCGTTTCTTGTCTGTAATCAGCAAAGTTATTGAAATCATCGCGAAAATGGCTCCCTATTCACTGAGCATGCGATTCCCTACCGCAGTTCTCGTGGTCAATAGTATCGGTCTCGCGATCTCGTTTGCTGCTGTTGGTTTGAGATTCTGGTCTCGTTCTATGCGACGAGTTAAGACGAGACTTTCTGATTATACAATCGTTATTTCGTGGGTGAGTATCATTGAATAAGACATGCCTGCGAATACACGGCTGATTGTCTCTCTTAGTTATTTACTCTTGGCCTCGTCATTAGCGAAAATTATACCGTAACAAAGGGAGGAATAGGCCAGAGTTCAGCCGATGCGTCTCTTGAGGAGTTGTTGTTCTCGACCAAGGTATGCTTAATAGTGTTAACTGTTTCCTGAACATATAATGACTCGAGTTATAGCAATTCTTGGTTATCGGAGTCTGTGGAACGCTGGCAGTGACGTTCGTCAAGATCTCGATCCTTGACTTTCTGCTTTCCGTCTTCGCAGCCAACAAAGCCTTCCGTATTGCGGATTATACCCTGATGGGAATTACTAGTGCCTATGGGATTAGCTTTACCATCGTTACTCTGGCTGGATGCCAGCCTTTCGAAGCCAACTGGGATAAATTATCATATCCGGATTACCAATGCATTAACACGTCGCACTTCTATGTCGCTCAGGGAGCCATCGGAGCAGTTCTGGACTGTCTAATCCTCTTACTCCCTGTGCCAGTTGTGTGGACCCTCTCGATGAAGACGAGCAAAAAGGTCGCTTTAACTTTCCTCTTCACCGTTGGTATCTTGTAAGTTTTACTTCTCCTGCTCATGCTGTAAATGAGGAGCAGAGGACTAATAGGGCGGAATAGGATATGTGCTATCTCTTTCGTCCGTCTCGCATATAATACTCAACAAGAGTATATGCTTACTCATTTTACCGAATACGGTGGTATCGCGACGCTCCTCGGCGCCCTGGAAGCGAACCTGTCTATTGTCTGCGCATGCCTTCCGGCTATGCCCCACCTACTGACTTCATTCGCGGAGAAAATAAAGATGTCACTGGGATCGGAGAACGGTGGATTAAGGGGGCTTTTCAGCACCTTCTCATTCGGATACCGTAGGAATACCCGAGGCTCTGTCAAGCTCAGCGAAGCGAGCGACAAGCGGGGAAACGTGTCGTCGATGGACGATGACGTAGAGAAGGCTCGGGTCCAGAAGCAAATGGACAAGCTGTACCCGTTGAGCATGACGGGCGCGAGCCGAGGTAGCTTTGACGAAGAAAGGGCGTGGACGCAACAGACTGGCCGAACCTATGCCCGGGTAAACACGGCCAACACGGCCAACACGGCCAACTCCGGTCACAGCGAGGAACCGGTAGAGATGACAAGGCTAGGAGAAAACGTTGAACCGTACAGCACTATCAACGTGACCAAGAGCTGGAGGGTTAACTAAGGGGGCTAAGGTTGCCGCCACCTTGATGTGTATACAATTTATATGTACATTATCACTCTGTTCGATGAAGGACTTATTCGATGAGTCCTGACGGGTTAGTGGATTACGAATATTATGTCAAAAATGGTATGGTGTATATGCCCTCATTTAGAAAAAAATAATACGAGTAAAATTCAAACGAGTTGAAGCATGAGCCATTACCTGATGTGAGGGTTGTTAGCGGCATATGCACGAAGGGCACGTGTGGTATTGGTGTAGTATTGGTGTGGTATTGGTGTGGTATTGCTGGGTATTAGATTCTCTACAAAGATTGCATTTTAGTGGATACATTCTAGTTAAGGCTTAGCTGAAGATGCGGACGATATACGAATTAACCGTCATGTAAGGATGGGGCACACCTTGAGGAATGTCAGTTTCGAATAAGGTTAAAAAATAACCGGATGGCGTAAGATAGCTGAATGGCGTAGAGGTGAAACCGTTGTAGCCATCTTACATATCGGAAGAACGAGAATGGGGTGTGAAAGACAGGTACCTAAGGATTCTGATCCAAATGTTACACTTTTCCCGGGACGAACGGTTCGCATGTTTATGACACAGAGGCGGACTGGCTAAGAAGATGGTAATTTATTAGGCTGGATGTAACTTGGTGATGGTAGGGAACCAAGATAATCGACAAATAAAGTAGTATTGAAGGATTCCGATTGTCTCTAAATTAGGAGGTAGGTAGTTAAAGAAAAAGGAAAAAAGGAAGTGGGTAATAGAAGAAGGGTGGAAATGGACAATGAACCGTAAAGTCATATGATTGAAATGGGGAAAAAAGGTTTCCGGGTTTCTGTTAATTTGGTAGTCTGTACATAAACTTTAAGATAGACCAATCACCATCCCACCCCGTACAGGGATCAATTGCACTCCCACTTCTTTGGGTTGCACGACATGGGCTCCGTAACACAGCGTAAGTTTTAAGATAGTAAACCGAACCAGCCAATTAAAATCCAAGCCCTGTCCCTCTTGGGAAGGACGTGGGGTAATACCTCGAATCACATAATGAACCAAGATCAATCAAGATCAAGTCTGGGTCCATGGAGAGCAAATGGATGTATCAAATATTTCAAATATCATTGGAAGTCCCGTACAAAGTTTATAACAACAATAACAAATTCATGGAAATAAACAGCTGAATATACAGTGTTTATTACATAGTGCATCTAAAATCTCATACAGGCTCTAGATAGAGTCCTATCGCTAGCGCTTACAGATCTTCATTTGCGCCCCCAACTTACTTAAAGATACCGCTCGATCATTCGCCTAGAAGATTCATCAGGACTTTAGATCTTATCGATCAACACCATAAGATATCTTTGAGCTGCTAATAGAGTGGATACCGCTAATAAAGTACCTAGTTTATATCCAGGTCTTTATATCCAGGTCTTTATATAGAACGGCTTATTTGCTAACCGCTAGGACGGGTCGGCTTGGATAAAGTCGCTTCTAGAATTCGTTGGGCCACGTATGTAGGGACAAGCTCTTCTCTCCGGGTTTTGGAATCTAATTCAATACCTACCTATGTTACAACACATAAACGAACCCGAGATTTATGTAGAAGTAATATATTCAAGGCAGTCTGACTCATGTGCATGAGGCAGATCTCTTGTACGCCTTACGATCAGAAGAACATAATGTAACCGTTCGCGTACCAGGGGATTTCCAATGATGAATCCTCGACTACTACATCGTTGAAGCCTAACGCCGCCCCCTCGCGAGAATAGAGAGGCTTGCGAATCGCCACGGCACCCAAGTCCGGGTTGGCTGCTTGGGGACCAATCAAGGGGATTAAAAGCTCTATAGTAAAATCTGGAGAAATTCGCGGGATTTGCAGCGGTAACTCAAGCCACTACTGTGCCTTTCGCTGTGCCTTTCAAGTGCATTATTTCCAGCGGGCGTACGAGTGGATAGAGTATGTTTACCGAACCAAAACTCCAGTGTGTTATTGCCGGAGGATCAATCTCATACTCGATATGGTCTGGTGCCCTCTTGGGCTTGAAGAATAGACGCCATTCATGGATCTCGGTGGCGCAGCTAGTTTTGGTAAGAGGTATACAATACTATATGGGCGTAGAATACCAAGATCGCAAGGCGGAATTCGATGCGTATGAGGAAAGAGACCGTTTTGGGATTTACCGTTTTAGATTGGTAGATTTTCTTATTATTGAAGACCTTTCAATGTGTTTTTGCAAAATTATCGATGTCGTCTTGCACACCATGACCATGGGAAAAAGTCATACTTCAATTTCCGCTCTTCTATTACAAGTGATCTGTGCGTCAGCAGATGCTTCCATCTTCAAAAATGGCAGTTCTGGTGCAGAGTCCCCTTGCCGATGCTTCCCCAGTGACACATGCTGGCCTACCATTGACGCGTGGGACGCATTCAATACATCACTGGGAGGGAAGTTGATATCGACGATCCCAATCGGCGCTCCCTGTCACCGTGACACAGCAACTGGATACGACTCTGACCAATGCAGGAACCTGCAAGACGAGTGGTTTCTCCCAGAGACGCATCTACAGAGCTCATCATCTACGATGGCACCCTTCTTCACAAACAACTCGTGTAACCCCTTTTCGGGACCGGATACCACCTGCAGCTTAGGGAACTACGTCACATACGCTGTGGAGGCAACTGATGCTGCTGATTATCAGAAAGTATTGGAATTCAGTAGTTCACATAATATCCGGCTGGTAATTCGAAATACCGGTCACGACTACAATGGAAAGTCTACCGGTGCGGGCGGTTTAGCTTTATGGACTCATAACCTGAAGTCCAAAGAGCTTAAGCAATACAATAGCACCGATTATTCCGGTGCAGCTTTAAAATTCGGAGCCGGAGTTCTTGGATCCGAAGTTTTCGAATTTGCAGACTCTCATGGGCTTGTTGTTGTCGGCGGCAACCAACCCACTCTTGGATTTGCTGGTGGCTATATCCAGGGAGGTGGTCACGGTCCTTTAGCGTCTAAGTACGGGCTGGCCGCTGATCAAGTACTCGAATGGGATGTTGTACTTGCCTCAGGGGAAACTGTTACAGCGTCAGCCAACTCTGCATATGCAGACCTATATTGGGCACTCTGTGGTGGAGGTGGTGGTATTTTCGGTGCCGTGCTTTCGGTCACGGTTAAGGCTTATCCAGCAATATCTTTCTCAACAGCCAGTTTGACATTTGCAGTCCCCGAAAATGCATCGGACGTAATTGTTGATACCTATTTCGGGGTTGTTGGTTCGTTCAACCAGCTCATTCCTTCGATTAACGATGCTGGTGCTGTTGCTGTTTGGCTCGTAACAGCGCAGGCGTTTGTACTGTCGACTGTATACGCTCCCGGGCTTGACAAAAAGGGGGTAGATGCCCTTCTTCAACCATTTTTGGATAAGCTGGGTACTTCGAATATACAATACCAGTACAATTCTCAGGAGTATTCAAGTTTCTTAGAAACATTCCGCGCCCAAGTGCCAGTCAATGTTTCAAACGTCAACATTGGAGGACGATTGATTCCCCGAACACTTGTTGAGGAAAACAACGAGTCTTTAACGGCCGCAATCCGTAATATAACATACAGTGGCGCTATATTTTCCGGTGTGTCTTTCAACGTCTCAATACATGCTCCGGACTCAATCGCGGCAAACCCATACTTGCGTGACGCAATATTTGACGCCGTGGTAGCGACGCCTTTCGACTATGCGAGCTGGGAGACCAATTTGCAGAGCATAAACGCAATCACACATGTGTTACTTCCTCAACTCGAGAGTATAACTCCTAACGGCGGGGCGTATTTGAGCGAGTCGGATTTCCAGCAACCCGACTGGGAAACAACATTTTACGGGGCGCATTATGATAAACTAAGCCAGATAAAATCAAAGTATGACCCAGATGATTTGTTTTACGCTCTCGGGGGTGTTGGGGGCGAGAGATGGGCCCAGAAATCAGATGGAAGGCTATGTAAAGTGTAGAATAAGCTGGGCAGCGCTACGAGTAGCTCCCTCCGAGGTAGTGTAATAAAAATAGGTTAAAAATATCGGACTTGGATCTATTTTCGAGAGGTTGATAGGCATATTGGTAAAAGCTAACGTATTATTTCTACCCCTATGGACCTAGACAGCTTAGTTCTTACTAACGTTAAGCTGCGAATGAAAGATTCTCCTGATGGCCTCACGTAATCTAAGATTCTGAGATATCCAGTAGACGTGGTTAAAAGTGTACTAAAGCGGAATAATGTATAGATAGCGACGACGACGACGATCTAGTCAGCCGTATAAGGGCTCCGCATGAAATGACGGTAATTGTCCCAATCAGGGGCTCTGATTCTTCCTACGAACCGTAATGGATTACGGAGACAAGAAAGACGGGAATACCGTGGTTTACGCTAAGCAAATATATTATACGCGAAGTAACGTTACAGGTACAATGAAAAACTCCATTGGTAGTCTAAGGATGCGACTATATAAGACGTGCCGTGCCGTAGGGATGGAAAAATATTCGTGATAGTTAGACATTAATAGGTAAACGGATGTAATGGTACAAGATGTGGCTGACTATGTCTTACTACCTTACGGGAGTTCACCGAGGGGAGGATGGGATCGTTAAACGTCGAAACAAAGTAGGCGTGCCTGGGTCGATCCATCCTACAGACATATGCCGCGAGGGTTGTTAGGTATGAGAATGTTTACCAGGGGGTATTCCTTTAGTGGATATTTGTATAGTTTGGAGGGTCAGGGATCCCCTTGGTTGGATGCAGTATTCCAGGACTACTACGTAACTACACGATGTTAGAACTCATAGCTTCAAGGACATATGGTACATGTGATTTCGTTCGGTATACGAAACTTCTTGATATGTAATATCTCCGCTATGGACCCATGTACTATAGGGCTTTATTTTAAGTTGAAAGATAGCATGTGACGTGTAGAACATTAAGAAGCTATCGTCAGTCTACAGAAGTATATATATTAGCCCTAGTATGTGTCCGCAGGGATTATCCGGCACTTATCTCTGAGAAAAAACGCCATTATACCTATACCGAGGTCTCTAGGTGATACTAACACTGATGAGAATTAAACCTATCCACCTTGGTATACCTCGATATTATGGGAATCACAGCTAACATTGCGTTCCATACGCGAACGATGTGGCTATTTGCCTTCAGCGACTTGAAGACGATAGTGATCCCAAGCACTATTTTTGGTATCGTCAACGCATTAGCAGCTTCGAAATACCGCGCTCCTCTTGAAACTCTCCATTATGCCGAACTTCTGAAAAGATCGCCCCTCGTCCTCTTCTGGGTTTTGATGCACTACCTCCCCTTCGCTATAAACAACCAAAGGACACCTTTAGCGATCACAGAAGATGCTATCAACAAGCCCTGGCGTCCTCTTCCCAGCCGTCGTTTATCTCCATCCCAAGCCAAGATTCTTATGTTTTCTTTCTACATCTCCGCGCAGCTTTGCAGCGTTTTTATTACCGGCGGTCTGAGGCAGGGAGTCGGGTTGATATTCCTGGGTACTTGGTACAATAACTTTGGAGGTGCCGATGTAAACCCCCTTATTCGCAATGCAATCAACGCCCTTGGCTACATATGTTTTATCTCCGGCGCGATGGAAGTTGCTCTTGGTGTACCGCTACCGCTATCGACTACATCAGTTCTTGCGAAGTGGTTTGGTATCATCTCTGGCATCATCATGACGACGGTACATACTCAAGATATGTACGATCAGGAAGGCGATGCTCTTCGAGGACGGCGCACACTACCGCTTGTACTTGGCGATGGGCCTGCTAGATGGATCACAGCTGTCTGGATGGTCGTCTGGGGAGTGCTATGTCCTAACTTTTGGCATACCACATTACCTACGCGAGCTATAGGTATGGCTCTTGCATTGTTAGTTGGGCTGAGAACTTTAGTATATAGGAGTGTTCCTAGTGATAAAGTGACATTCTTGATATGGAATATTTGGGTGTCATTTGTATACGCTCTACCACTTCTCCAATCCCAGTGGCAGTAGTAGGGGTATTAAATGGACATATAAAGTCGAAGATACTAATAAAATAAAATTTGAAACTATAATTGACTTGCTCAGATAGGTACGTAAGTTATCAAGTAAGGTGTTATGTCTAATAAGTGCCCTTATAAAGTGCTTCTATTTCATATAAGTTTAGGACAGCATAAACTGATTGTATTAAATATGGAAAGTTTACTAGTATTATGTATCTTCTTTAGTATATTTGCGTATACGAGGCATTAAGGGGGAGAACCCCCCTGTGAGCACCTAGGAGGTGCCCATATTTAACAAAAACAAAAACAAAATGAAAGTTGACTTGATTACTTGAAAGAGTAAATAATCCTTATAGAAAGAAAATTTACGTGTAGAGAAAAATTTAGGTAATCGGTTCGTGAGTGTCAATCTGGTTTGCTTATACGTAATCCGTTTCTCTTGTGATGTATGCTATTTACTAGCAACCATCTATTGCCAAAATAGTCCATGGCAAGTTCAAGTTCAGGTAAATGATAGAATTCGCCTACCAAGTGTCCCGTTCCCGAACCATATTTGCTGCATATTGCGGGACATTTTCGAACAATGCACGAGTGACCTCTGCCACCTGTTGGGCATATTGAGGATCGATTCCAAGAGGAACTTCTCGACTAATCTTAAGGGCTTCCGTAGCCATACTCCACAATATAAGGGCTTTGTCTTTATTTTCTCTATCCTGACATTCGCGGCAATTTCCGGCTATCTTCCCACCTCGGGAAAGTGTCTTCGGCAAAGTGGTAATGGTATCATGCGTGATTAAGGCGGGCTTAAGGGTATGCCCACACTCGCTGTACTCCATATCTTTTCGGCAGAAAGGACAACTTCGATTCGCATCAACCCAAGCTCTTAGACAGTTGTGGCAAGCCAAGTGCCCACACGGAAGGATAGCAGGGGTATCATCGCACGGGGTGTGCGCAATAAGCCCTATTGAGAGAGTTACCGTTTGACAAATTTGACATAGGAGATCTTGAGGCCGATCAACTAGGAAGGTAACCATAGGATCCGGGAAAAATGATTCCCCCCCGGAGAACGAGACACGTCCCCTATTAGCTACTTCTTCTGGCATTTGCATCCCCAGAAAGCTCTTAACTAAAGATCTAATCGAGCTACCACGAAACCAGTATCTCTCACGCGACGATGGAGGAGCTCCTTCATTGTGTCGAGGTATTTCGGTATCCTGTTCCCGTCTCTCCCCGGGGCCCTCAGCTTGATTGGTTCGTTGTCGGGATGGTTGGGTCCTCTCTCGATTTTCATTATCTTCTGTCTGTACTCCTCGAGTCCGGGCTCGAGTTCTATCATCTGATGTTCTATGGTTAATCTGACTACTGGCCCATATAGAAGATCTATAGTCAGCGCCGGTTTCGGCATTACGAGTGTTCTCACGACGGGGTGTTTCGCTCATTCTGATTGGAATCTTGCCAAGAATACTACCGCTTTTATTAGTGATAACTTTGACGTTCATTGTGAAATTCAGCGTTAGGCAATCAGCGCGCCGCGGTACTTTTATCAGCAGTGATTTCAGGATAATTTTGGTATCTTCTTCGTTGTTGATCGTAATCAGCACACTTGTTGGAGTACAGAGCAGTGGAACATCTCATGTTACGCTGCTATCTTATTGAATTTGGCGTCTGAAAGAGCTATGTAATGAACAATCCCTTTATAGTATTATAAAGCAAGGAGAACAATAAGCTCAGTCGCCGCTTTGCAAAAAGAGTCGCAGCAACTTGGTTTCTTAACTTAACAGCAACATAATGAACTAAAACAAACTGGCTTTTATATGGTCTCGACTTTGTTTCTTTGCTGCACTTAGCCTTGTAGCACTGAAGAAACAGCACCCATATACTCAGTAAGAAGGTCAACATCGTAGACTTGCTATAATATAAGTAAGAAAAGAGGTAGATAAATGAGAAGTAGTTGAACCCTCGATGAAATATTCCCTTGACGAGTCCTATTTGGATGAATATAAAGACCATTGTTTAACACTTCTTAACGTTACACCAAGTTGCCTTTATGAAAGGACGAAGATTTATCCTTAGTTAGGATATACAATGAGAAAATCCATAACGTCATGACGATTAGGGTCAAGGGTACCGTGACAACCCAGTACAGGCTTTGCGAGGGTTCTAATGCTGCAATAGCAGGGGTAGTGAAATATGTCTTTCCAGATATGACCCTATTAGTTTTGCTCTTCTCATTCTTAATGTATTGCTGTGTTCACTTACAGCGGTAAACGTCGCCGGGAGAAAGATCATAGTGAGAATCGCAATAGACTTCATGGCTAAGCTATCTCGCCTAGTATCGTGAGCTATGCTTGTGCTAGACTCGGCTAGTCTATAATTCGTCTCATTATTACGCTGAGCTAGTAAATTGGCGATCTAATTGTAGGTATATACATCAGTATTAACATCTCAAAGCCAAAGCATGCGAATAAGCTGTACAAGTGGCAGAGAAGGGACTTACAGCAGTTGCCTGCACAGTTGTTCGCTGCTTCAGATGATTAATGCGAATAAGGGCGATATCGAGTGTTCGACTAATAAAATCGAGTTGTTTGACAAGAAGCTCATTTTGCTCTTTCAGACGGTCGTGGTTTACGGGGGGTGATTGTTGCCATGGAAATGTCAACAATTCATTCTTGATCATATCTACAGTCAATAGTTGACCTCTGATATAAGCTTCAACGGCAAGCACATGTTGGGCCACTCCGAGGACCGTAACTGAGAGATTGGGATCTTCACAATTACCCCGCGGCATTGGCATCCCGTTCTCACCAATCATCGTGATACCAGTCTGACCACTTCCAAGCTCTGCTTCGTGTAACCTGTCGAAGTTACGGTCTATGGCAGAACAAAATGCTTCGGTAAGGTGCTGGCTAACCAGGGTAGGGATAAGGAAAGGGTTATCAGCTAAGGAAGCCAATTGTTCTAAGTCTTGCTCCAGCCAGGTGAATCCATCCCGAGGACCGCTTCTCATCATCACAGCATTCGTAATACCTGTCGAAGGACAGTATGACATCGAAACGCCAACTTTAGTGCCAACCAGCAAGCTAGTAAATGCATTCAAGATCAAGCCTATATATGTAATTCGATTAGCTATAGTCTCAAATAGTTGCTACAACTAGTCCTACCGTATATTGGATTGCCATCTGCAGACGGAAGCTGTACAAGTTGAAAATGACCCACTAAAGGGGAAGCCCCTCGGGACGGTAATAAAGACGTTATATCAGGCAATGTAAGTTTCTTGCATACAAGTTGACAATCATCCTTCGATAAAGGCAAAGCAGTCATCGATTCACTAGATATGTCTCCAGTAGTAGATTCGTTGCTAGGCATCAGATATTCATATTTCGCCCCCTTTCCAACATACCCAAGACTGGGTGCGGATGATCAGGTAAGTCTAGACTCTTAGCGCATTGCGATGGACGTATAGGGCTCACATGATGCGAAATTTGGGCCTCTGGTGGCTATGATTATCTGCAGTAGTTATTTGATCCTATATGCTCCGTGTTAACATCGTTAACTCAGGTCAAGATCAATTAGAGAATTAGGTAGAATTACCAACCAACCCTCAAAATCTCCCGGGTCGACAACACAGGAGCGAATAGTAGGTCTCTCGGCCTGAACAAGATGGTCAGCATAAGCATAGTAGGTACCTAGTCTAGATAGAAAGTCATCTTTATGATAACCTACCTCGAAGTTTTCTACTTCGATAACCTTTACGCTAACAGGTTTGAAATCACGGCGAGATACTAAATGCCTCTCCTGGAATTCTTGTAAAATGCCCAACTTGAGTCTTGCCATAATTAGGAGGTGGTTACTAAGACTTAGTTACCGGTCATTGAAACACCTGATGAACGATTATGAAAGTTAGGTAGTTTCTCTGTAGACCGGTGATAGAAGAATATGACTCTAGGTATAAAATATTGGTTCAAAGAGACCAAGCAACTAGGTTATAAATTCTAGTCTACATGGTGCGGCTGAGTCTAAACGAATGTTCCGGAAGATGCGCTCTAGCCCTTGTTGAGAACGCCACCAAGGAGTCACCTGCAGCTCAGCTCTAGCAAGTTAAATCCTAAACGAAAAGTTACATATTAAATGGAGATTATATTCATACACGGTATATCTTACCAGTATTGATAGTAGAGAGGCGACTTTAACTCAGCCGACTTTTGCAGATATACCCAATTCCCTTAGTTACGCCGTGTCCCCTGAGACTTATTACGAACACTTCCAATTTCGGGCTTTGTTAACGTCGCCCACCCCATTATACTTGGCAGTCTTCGGGTGGGGACAAATAGGACGCTGTTTCCATACCCCAGAACTTGGGTCAGTCGAATTGTGCCACGCCGTTGCAATTATCTGGTCCACCGCTTTTCCACCCTCCACCCACTCCATAAGCCCAAGCAATGCATCGTGCTTGGAATCTTGGAATCCGGGCACGGAATATGCACCTGAACCAGTCTGCCAGTTTTGACCGGCGCCATTGATGTGCCACGGTGCATCAACCCCGGGCGGACTGCCTGAACAATGCAGCATGCCCGGAACGAAGAAAAGACGGAACCAGTCGGTAATTGGGTATGTCTCTCCAGTTGCTAGTTCAACCTGCTTGTAGAAGTGCGATGAGCCACGCGTAACAATCAAGGGATCAGATAATCCGTGGTACATTAAGATTTTTCCGCCGTGATCTCGGTAAGGAGACATGTCGAACCGATCTGCATCAATCTCGTGCGATATTTTCAGGTTCTTTAACCGCTCGTAAACGCTCGAGTTATACTCATCTAGAGACCAGTTTAGATCTTCAAACACGATGTATCTGATGTAGTCGATACCCCAGGAAGTTGGTGTATCGGCAAATAAGTATTGCGACCACCCTGGTTCAGAAGAAAGCTCAAGACCCGGGTGCACAAACTCTGACCCGATGTAGTAGTCCTCGTAGATCTTTGCTAAAGTCTCCAGCTGCAAGGACGTCAGGCACGCAGATGAATTCTCACCGGTGTTATTGCAGGACAATACTTTGAAATCAGGATGGCAATTTTCGGGGTCGCTGATAATACCATCCCTGACACCGTCGATTGCGTCGCATTGATCAACGACAGTTTGGGCTATTAGGGTCGAGAATAACTTATTGGGGATACTTTTTGGGTCGTCCACGGGATAATAATCCTTGCTGATCTTAGTATTCCAAGCCACTTGATGGCTTGTCCACCAAGCTGGCGCCCCGATGAGCATACCATCGAAGCTATCGGCACCGACCTGGGCTTCCTTGAGACCCTGCCGGCCACCGGTAGAACACCCAGTGTAATAGGAGTACTGGATATCCTTGCCGTAGTAACCTTTGATTAATTGTTTCGAAAGCTCGACAGACCCATGCATAGCCCGCCAACCCCAGTCAATCAGCTTTTGCGGGCTCTTGTATGCCCATTCAACATCATAAGGGGAGCCCCTATGGCCGTTATCCGTGGACATCGTAGCAAATCCATATTGCGATCCAACACCCATATCAAGGTAATTGACGTATCCGCCGGTACCACCCCCGCCAGTCGCGAGGAATCTCGAGTTCCATTTAGACGGTAGGAAAATAGAGATTGTGTAGGATGATGATTCGGACGAAGTTACGTTAACCTCGACGGCGCAAAGGTCTGGAAGACTTGTCGAGACTAAAGGCGGGAGACCCTGAGGTGAATGGGGATCACCATAACTACCGTTTAGTTGAACATGAGTAACCGATAGTATTGTCGCATTATTGGATAATGAGCTGCCAATCGAGGATAGCTGGTGGGTTATGTTGTCGAGAGAACATTTTGGGCTAGTACCTGGATAAGCGCGGCTTGCTTGTGTTAAGGCGAGCACAGAACCCAGTATTTGATTCTTATGAAAATACATTGCCGTCAATGTTACGAATAAGTAACGGCAGATGGAAATTATCATTCATATCAATTATCGAGTAGATCGTATTAGATATATATACACGTAAATACAACACTGCTTCTGCCAAGCCCCTATCGTAAATACCAATGCCCAGCTGAGGTGAGATACTGGCTGCCGGCAACATTAATGACTTCGAACATGAAGTTTGACCGTGTCCGACTTATGATGCTCTAAATACCATGTTTTCCTCGGCCGGCGGGCTGACGTTAAGCCGGAAGCAGTGCGGCGGAGTCCGTATAATAGGTACCGAGCTAGAATGCTGCGTTGCTGGCATCAGCAACCTTCATCAGATCTGATGGTTTAATTTGATTTGCAAGAGCTTAAAAACACAACATGTAAATAAATATGTAAATAGGCGTACATAGCCTTATTTTCAAAGTTGCAATACAATCAGTTGAAGAAGAACATCTACAGTAATAATAGTACGTGCGGGACGGTATGTATGCACCGCCCCGCGACCCACAGTTAAGCCGAAAATTCGCTCTCGGGGTTATCGGGACCTAGTCCGGGGAGTTATGGTGCAAGGCAAGTAGAAGGAATAGAGCCATAAGTCTTACCCGCGGTATCTTCTAGGAGCTAAACGAAAAATAGAACTACTCGGGCATTTATTTTCACTTGTAGATGATAGGAGATGCTTGGGGTTTATCAAAATAATTTCCACAAGCAGGGTCACATAGATTATTTTTCAGCTCCCAGCTTTTTGTGCATGACTACCAAATATCAAGTATTGGGTATCGATACCTAGGTACTTAATACCGTATGTAGCCTTCTGCAGTAAGAAAAAAAATGTGACGGTGATTTGGCTGCCTCCGCTCAAAGCGGTTGGTTCTCTCTATCTAATATTTAGATAGTAGTGATGGGAAAGACTCCAGATTAGAGAGTACGCTATACGCATATTCAACTCTATTAGTCACAAAAAATAACGATGTTTGGAATTAGCCATGCCGTTCCAATAATTCTCGTAACAGCAGTTACTATTATCTTTTACATTAGGCTCCGAAGTAGACTTGCATATCCCAACTCGAAACCGCACCCGAGAGAATATCATTCGGACCAAGAAGAGCAAAAAGGGGTTCGCATCTGCCAGGTCAATACATCTTCCAGCGATAATGAGACGGACTCCAAAATCGACATCATTGCCGTTCACGGCTTGGACACGAAGTCCCCCGAGACCTGGACATGGAAGTCTGGGGAGTCCGAGACGGTGAACTGGCTGTCCCATCCGGACATGCTCCCCAGCCAAGTGGGAAAAGCTCGTATTTTTACCTGTGACTGGCCAGCCGACCTATTCCAACCGTCAGACTTGATCCAAAAAAGGATCGAGGAACTTGCTCGCCTATTGCTTACCGCAATCCATGATGTTCGTGCAGAAAATCAGGATCGGCCGCTTGTATTTATCGCTTCATGTATTGGCGGCATCATTTTGATGAAGACCCTCGTGATGGCCGACCATAACTCGGAATATATTCATATCCGACGCGCTACGCACGGTGTAGTCTTTCTTGCTACACCTTTCCGAGGTACGGCGTTCCACGATGTAGCTAAATGGGCAGAATTGGTCCTGAAGTCCCGGGCTACGATTAAAGGCCAGCAGATATCTTCACTTCTTGAATATGCCAAGTCCTTGACTTTCGATACCGGAGAGCTTGTACGGAATTTCACAAGGTTATGTAACGACTCGGAATATTCTTGTCAAGTGGTTAGCTTCTATGAAACGCGACCAACCAACAAATGTTGGATCCGCAAAGGAAAGCTCGTGAGTAAAAGCACTCAATTGCACTCTTGATCCTGCTCATTAGTGCTGGGCTTAATCTAGAGTGGATGGCTAAACCTCAATAGCTTGTCGATCAATATTCCGCAACCCTAGATATTGTCCTAGATCCGTTACCGCTCGATCGGCCTCATATGACGATGAACAAATTCTTCGGACCTAGCGACACGGAATATAATATAGTTGTCGGAAAAGTGAAGAACATGCTTAAGAATATTCGAGAGGGCACATTACTGGAGAGGGCGGATGCTTGGATACGAACGAAGCGCTATACTGCAGAAAGACTTGGGATTGAGCGGCTCTCGGGTGACCTTTTACCAATGGACCAGTGCTATATCAACCTGGCCCTTATAAAGCAGCCTGAAAACCATTCCGGGAATCAAACAGAGGAACCTCAGCTGTCTCGACCTTCTCCATTTTCATTCATGACTCGATTAAAGGTTCAGATACCAGACGAGCAGAGTCGCGTCGAGCTGAAAGAAATCTTCGAACCACGTAAGGCTCCAGGAAATAAAGATGATCCTATACGGCCCAGGAGAATATTGATTGGAGGTCGTGCGGGAGTCGGGAAAACCACCTTATGCAAGAAAATCATCCATGAATTTGCTTCTGGTACAATGTGGAATGATTTATTTGACCGCGTACTTTGGATACCTTTACGGAGGTTGAAAACATGGGAATTTAACTGGTGCGATTTCGAAGAGCTCTTCTACCGGGAGTATTTCTCCAATTGCCCAGATGGCCACGATTACGCCAAAACACTATGGCGTACATTGAAGGCAAGTCCCGGAAAGACCTTGTTCATCCTTGATGGCTTGGATGAAGTACTGCATGAGTTAAAACGGGACGACCCAAAATACGAACTTCTTCGAAGTCTTTTGAACCAGCCGGATGTTATAATCACTTCTCGGCCATACGCGATGTCTCCGAGTCAACTCCAGGGGGTCGAACTCGAATTAGAAACAATTGGATTTGATCCAGGGCAAGTGAAAAAATACCTTCGAAGCACCTTTAAAGATTCAGCAAACCAAGAAAACCTTGTAGTCGAGTCTTTTCTCGAGCGGCATCGGCTTATCAAGGATCTTGTTCGAATTCCAATCCAGTTGGACGCACTCTGTTACACCTGGTGTGGTTCTTCTAATATCGCACCGCAGACTATGACCACCATCTACCAAGATATTGAACTAGGACTGTGGAGAAAGGACATACCGAGATTAGGGAAAAAGCATGAAGGAAGCCCAGTAACAGAGGGCCAAGTTCAGCATGAATCACGGTTAAATATTGAAGAACTTGCTGATAATGAAATCAACTTCCTCGAGGGGCTTGCATTCAAAGCGATGCTCGACCATAAGATAGACTTCGATGCCAAATATCTCGACGGGATACCAAAGAAAAATACCATTTTTAACGACACTATATTGCGCCTCTCTTTTCTGCGGACCTCAGACTCTTCATTAAATCCAAAAGACCAAAATTATCACTTCATACATCTAACATATCAAGAATACTTTGCGGCTCGCTACTTCGTTCGTCGATGGAAGACACGAAAGCTTTTAGGTCAACAACAGACTACATCTGATCAAAATATCGACCCGATTGATTTTTTCAAAAGACATAAATACGCAGATTATTTAGATATCATGTGGCGTTTCGTTGCCGGTTTACTTGATGTTGAAGAGGCTGTTCAATTTATTCAGTGGATCGAGGAAAAACCGTCCGATAGTTGGAGCGTTGCCCCCAGAAGATTGTTAATGCATTGTATAAGCGAAGTATCAACTAAAATACGGTTTCAAGCAAACTTGGAAAAGAAATTCTCACAGTTGGGACAGTTTTTCTTCAGGATATTTAACACAATGTCTCCAGACGTGGACGAATTTGACCTTGATGATTATATAGAAGTTATTGCTTTAATTCGTTTTTATAAAAAATTATAATTAATAATAAATGATTTAATTATTTTAATATTATAAAAACGTATATTTTCACCATTATTTACATAAAATTAAAGATTTTAACTCACTTAATAAAGCTGACTTATCTTATCTAACACTTAAGTACTTTAAGGTGAGGTACATTCCCCGCACCCCATAATTTGAGGCTGGTAGCTTGGTTTAAGGTTCCATCCATTGGCATCACAATTTTTTATTCGTTCAGCCTTGTTTTGTTAGACAGCTAGAACCTCCACAAGCACGCGACAACGATTCAATTGACACCCAGACGAAATTGCAAAGGCCACTCATTCAAGGTACATATTGAAACGGTAAAACGGTAAAACTTCTCGCAGACCCTCGCCCAACATGAGGCTCACTGTCGAGCTCCTTCAGAACTCCCCCTCCTGGCTTAACGCGTTGAAAGAGCGTGAGCTCGAGCTACGAGGTACGTCGGAAAAGAACAGATGCTACACTTTTTTGATCTAGAAGAGCAGAATTGATAGCGATGCCCTTGCCGGCTGTGAACAGGACATCGTATCCCCACCATCGAGAACTTGGGCGTTGCAGGTGTAAGCAAGCTCTCCTTTTGTTTACTTTCCCTTATACAAAGGCACAATTACTTACGTGTAGGTGATACTTAGCCGCAAGATTGCATAGACTTCGTCGACAATGATATCCAGGTATTGGGGAACTTCCCCCTGTCTCCACGCATACGATCACTCCTCCTACAGCGAAACCGCATCGCATCCATACAACCTACCCTCGTGAACTCGGTCCCGAACCTCACAACTCTACAACTAGAGTCGAACAACCTGTGCGAGCTGGCAGATCTAGACCCGCTTGGGTCTTTCCCGAGGCTTACACACCTGGTGCTACGAGATAACCCCGTCACGAAGAAGGAGGTAGGCTGAATAATACCCAAGTAAATAATGACCATTAGCATAGGCTAATACGCTCTACCGAACCGTAGTACTACCGTTACTGGATCCTATGGCGCTGCCCGACGGTCCGATTCCTCGACTTTGAGAAGGTGAAAGACGCAGAGCGAAAACAAGCCGCGACCCTATTTGGTACCGCGGAGGAGCCCACTGAATTAGCCTCCAAGATCATGGGCGTCAAGTCTAAGACGTTCGACTCGGTCCTTTCCGCTAACCGTGCTCCCTCCGGGGCCCTCCCGACGCGCGTGTCGCGCATGAAGCTTACGGAGAAGGAGAAGACGCGCTTGCAGGACATGATCAAGAAGGCCACAAGCCTGGACGAGATTACGAGGCTCGAGACTATGCTGCGAGAGGGCAGGATTCCGGCTGGTGTACATTTGAACGACGAGATGGAGGAGTGAGATGGTTATATTTCAGGGTGGAAGTTAGGCCGAGGTGGTAATTTGGCGTATAATTCATGGCTACAAAATGAAAATTCGGGTATACCCACGGAATAGGCAATAATGCAATTCTTTTGCCAGCAGTCGCAAGCAAGTAAATCGATTCATGATGACTGATATGTTACGGACCAACCACCCGGGAACAATCCACACTATGCTTTTTCCTGCCACAATTAAATCCAGCCTTGCATAAGTAGAATTAAGACATTCTGGCGGACCTATATTTATCAACATCGAAACCTGGAGATATAGCCCCTATCCACTCATATGGACATCATCATCCTCTTCCCGATTCGCCTGCCGCATCTCATGACGCAGTTGATCCGCCGGGTCCATCTCCGCACCGTCGTCATCGCTCATGATCCGAGCACCACTAGCGCCCACGAAGCTACCCCCATTTAAGCTCGAACGACTGGTGCTAGGCCTGTGCTTCTTCGCCGAACCCCCTCCATTCGTTGCCGGTACCTCGCGCTGCTTGTCTGCGGCCCGGTCGATGCCGGGCGTGCCGCTGCTGAGCTGGTTGCGCGTGGCGGCTGCTTGCGCTTTGATCTGCTTGTACGGGGCTGTCTTGGGGATCACGTCCTCGAGGAACTCGAGGTTGTCCTGGTGCGAGACTGCCGCGGCTAGGTCCTTGTACTGGATGTTGCGGCGGGGCTTGCCGAGCTTGGCCATGGTGAAGCTTTCGCCGGCTAGGTATTGGATGAACATCTCCTGGGTGGGGGGTTAGTAGGGGGTTGAGAAAGAGGAAGGGGTTAGACTTACGGTTGCGAGGGTGATGACGAATGCGGCGTTGTTGGAACATATGCTGATATCCTGGTCCTGTGCTACAATCTTCTTTACTCGTGACACTGTAAAGTTGGATGATTAGGACTGGTACAAAACAGAATATAGAGGCGAGCTCACAGGGCAGCTGGGTTTGGCCCGTGACCTCCTTGCGAGGCGGAATCGCCGTTGTATTATACGGCATTTCGACACGATTCCTCTTGGATGGTAGAAGCACAAATAGACCAAGTTCCCAGAAGGGTGATTATAATAAGTCGCAGTTCAGGGCCCTAAAAATGGAACAGTCCAACTGAATTTGAAGGTATAGGAACTATGAATTGTGTTAGTAACAAAGGAATGCTGTGATTTTATCTTTGAGGTCTCGTTTTATAGAAGCTGAACTTACCTGCAGTTGGAAAATGTTCAAATAGTAATTATTCCTATCGATAGATATTCTTTGATGGTTGGGTTTAATAACCGTTGTTGCTCATCAGGCTTCTTTATATACCTAGGATACGATTAAAATGCATGTCTTCAGGAGCAATTCATTACATGTTAGATACGTAAACGCGTGAAAGGCTGCGGAGACGCGATTCCATTAAACTTGAAAAACTGTATAAATACTGTGCAGAAAGTATAACCTGAACAAGAAGGTACTAACTTCAGTGGCTACTGCCATTACATGGCATGTGAATGGGGCACTTTATACTGTGCAGGTTACACTTGGTACCCCCATAACCAAGGCTGGGAAAGCTTGAACGACCGCTAAAGCACAGGACCCTTGCTTCCAATACATAGGTAGTATTAGCCTTAAGCTAATTACGTATGAGCAGTCAGCTCTAACTATTACTTGTACATATTTATTCCAACTCAAGATCAGCATCCAGCCTTGGCCGCATAGGTAATCCGATCTTTACTTATACCTACCTTACCTATCTAAACTACGCATGTCGCAATCAAATTATCTAGTATATAGTAACCCCGCAAATCAATAGCTGAGAATGGTCGCGGCCCTTCATGTCTTCCCGTACCACCTCCTTCTCCGCATCGCGCTCCCAGCTATCCCGCCGACCGTCTGTTAGTTCCAGGTTATCCTTCGCGGTATCGACCGTCGAGCAAGGAGAGGGGCTGGAAAGCAATGCGCCAGTGGAGCACCAGATCGACGAAGAAATAGCGGAGATCAAGAGATATGAGGTGCGCTCTCCGGCGCTGTTCTGCGATGCTAGTTGCGCCTTTCGCTAATGTAATGCCTAGGACTTTACTACCATAGGTATGCGCGCCAACGAGACCCGATCCAATTTCACAGTGAAGAGATATTAAGACAAGAACACAGACTGGGTACAGGATGCAGCCCAAGAAAGATTACGCCGGAAAGCGCGCCGCAGACAGAATCCCGGCAATGGCAGAGTGTCGTGGAGGTATAGATTATGGGAGTCCTACGATGCTGCCCAGGGCTGGATCGTCGTGACCCTAATAGGCGCTGCTATTGGGTTCAACGCCGCCCTTTTAAATATAATAACCGAATGGCTGGCCGATATCAAAATAGGCTACTGCACGACGGCCTTCTATCTCAACGAGAATTTCTGCTGCTGGGGAGAGGACAACGGATGTGATCACTGGCATCGCTGGACGGGATTCGAACCCGTCAATTATCTTATATATATCATGTTTGGAGTAAGCGCTCTTCCTCCTAACTGCTTCGTATCCTTAAAACTAAACCATTTAGACCACCTTTGCCTTCACCTCAGCTACACTTGTCAAGTCATTCGCACCTTATGCAGCGGGCTCGGGCATTTCTGAGATCAAGTGTATTATTGCCGGGTTCGTAATGAAAGGGTTCCTAGGTCTCCGGACTTTAGCCATCAAATCTGTAGCTCTGCCTTTGGCCATCTCTTCTGGCCTTTCGGTCGGCAAGGAAGGTCCTAGCGTGCACTATGCAGTATGCACAGGCAATGTCATCTCGAGGATGTTTGATAAGTATAGGCGGAACGCATCCAAGACACGGGAGATACTTAGTGCTTGTGCAGCTGCAGGAGTCGGAGTCGCGTTCGGCAGCCCTATCGGCGGTGTTTTATTCTCTCTAGAGGAAATGTCCAACTATTTCCCCCTTAAGACTATGTGGAGGAGTTACTTCTGTGCGCTCGTCGCAACAGCAGCCTTGGCGGCGATGAACCCCTTTAGGACTGGCCAACTTGTCATGTTCCAAGTCAAATATGACCGGTCGTGGCATTTCTTCGAAACGGTACCTTACATATGCATCGGAATATTTGGAGGCCTCTACGGCGCGTTCGTAATTAAGTGGAATTTACGCGCTCAGGCGTTCCGGAAGAAGTATCTTTCGAAGTGGGCAGTTCTTGAGGCTACGCTGCTAGCCGCGGGAACAGCTATCATATGTTATCCTAATGCGTTCCTTCGGATTGACATGACGGAGAGCATGGAAATTCTATTCCTGGAGTGCGAAGGCACCGAGGACTACCATGGACTTTGCGAGCATGATAAACGATGGGCCAATATACTATCACTAGCCATCGCGACGGCAGTTCGAATCTTCCTAATCATTATCTCGTATGGTTGCAAAGTGCCCGCCGGTATATTTGTGCCGTCTATGGCGGTAGGGGCAACCTTCGGCCGGACTGTTGGCATTATCATGCAGGCTATCCACGATGCTCACCCTGATAGCGCCTTCTTCGCTGCTTGCCAGCCGGACGAGCCTTGCATTACTCCCGGGACTTATGCTTTTCTAGGGGCCGCCGCTGCACTCAGTGGCATAATGCATATCACTGTGTCGGTTGTAGTTATTATGTTCGAACTCACCGGGGCCTTAACATACATCTTACCTACCATGATTGTTGTCGGTGTTACGAAAATGGTATCTGACCTGTTCGGCAAAGGCGGGATTGCTGACCGGATGATTTGGTTCAGCGGTTTCCCATTTTTGGATAACAAGGAAGAACATAATTTTGGTGTTCCAGTATCGGCAGCAATGACCAACGATGTGATAGCCATACCTATCCATGGCATGACGCTCAAATCTGTCGAAGATGTCTTAAAGCAACCGAAGTATCAAGGTTTCCCTGTCGTCGAGGATCTAACAAGGAATGTTCTTGTCGGATATATTGGCCGTACGGAGCTACGTTATGCAGTTGATCGTCTACGTCGCGAGCGAGCGATTCCGATCAGTCCCGAGGCTAAATGTACCTTCTCGCCTCCAGCTATTAGTACGCCTATCACTCCCACCGTGACCATCAGCATGGATTACAGTGCGTCATCGGCATCTCTCGACTTTAGTCGGTACGTAGATGCGACGCCAGTTACGGTGCACCCACGGCTACCGCTGGAGACGGTAATGGAACTATTTCGCAAGATCGGACCGCGCGTAATCTTAATAGAGCATCACGGGCGTCTGTCGGGCCTAGTCACGGCAAAGGACTGTCTGAGATACCAGTTCAAGGCAGAGGCGGCCGAGAACCCCCGTGACGATCACGAAATCTTAGAGGTCTACGAGAAGCTCTGGATATTTATGAATAGGATTGGCAGGTGGGTGTCACTAAAAGTTGCGAGCGCAACCGGTGGCCGTATAAGACTCGGGGGTGCAGTGGATGAGAGAGCAGGCGGGCAGATCATGGACGGCGATGAGGATGTGGGTGTAGATGATGGGGTTGAATTAGAGAATAGATAGATTTGATAGCTAACTTGAAATATACATGAATTAATTACTTGTTTACGGAGTTGATATCCTATAATATCCTATAATATCCTATAACTATGTGAAGATGCTTGGAGATTAGATTCAGTATAAGTGTACGCGAAATCCCGTGATCTACGGATTACAACCTGATGAGTTCCGATGCTAATCAGCCGGGGATGAATAGTGGGGCCAATTATTGTTTTCCGCTGCAGGAACACGATTTAAATGCCGACTTCGAAATGCACGAATCCGAGATGGATATCTGCATATGCACGTAGGTTACCAAGTCTGCAAGTTTCAATAAGACCCACGAACACGGAACACGGAACACGACTATAAAAAAGCCACGCGTCCGGAACAAACTCGGCGATAAAAAAATACCTGAATTAGATGTTTCCGGCAGCGCTTATCAGATCCCAGAAGCTGAGACATTCTCGGCACAGCATCAGAACCCGAGGTCCATTCTATTGGTCCCAGTAGTTAGGCGCACTTATTCCTGGGTTAGGTACTTATTCCTGGGCTGCTATCTTTGTACCTGACTACATCCTACCTATATACATACTTATGTAGCTGTACATTAGGTACATACATACCTACCTACGTAATACCTACAGCTTACACGCAGCCCCGTACCGACGTATCCGGAGCCTTAATAACCTAATCCACAATGCCCCGACCCGGGAAACCCCAGTCTGCAGCTGCGACTGCGACTGCAACTACCAATTCTTCCTCAATTACCTCCGCCTCCGTTCGAGCGAGGAAACCCGCCGTAGCTGCTGCCGAGAAGAGACGGACGAATACACCTCACACCGGCGACGGTCCGGCATCTTCGGAAGACGACGAAGACGACGACGGCTACGCTGCCGGGGATTCTGCTGCTATGCCTTCTTGGGCGGTTAGGAATCGGTGGATCGTCTTTGCTGTTGCTAGCGGTGCTTGCGCTGCTTTTAACGGCGTGTTTGCGAAATTGTGAGTTTTTTTTTTTTAATAAGATTCTTTCAGTCGTATACTCGTCCGTCACTCGGACAATATACTTCATATCTCGGTCATTGTCAAATGGCAACTTTACGCATTATGTAAACTCATATTTCAATGTTATGAATGAAGATAAGCAAGGTGTTATGAAACCAAGTTCGGCTTGATGCTAATGTAAGATCACTTAACGAATAGGACTACAAATGAGCTTTCTACTCATATAGCCCGGGGAATCTCGGGACTCTTTGGGCTGACGGACCTGGAACGAGTTGTCGAGATCGTTGTGCGAGCTGTAAGTCTCTTTCAACTTGTACTCGAGATAAGTATAGCAGTTTCTAACAATATATTTATACAGAGTTTCTTCGGTCTTAATTTAGTCTTCAATGGAGTGGTATGTCTAGTTCACATCACATATTAAGCCGTACTAGGAGTCCTTATATCTAACATAAAACTCCTAGATGTGGACCCTATTCACACAAGCTCTTGCAAAGGGCAACTCAACAACCCAAGTCTCCATCATGAACACATCTGCCAATTTTGTTATCACGGCTTTGCTCGGACTAGTTATCTTCTCCGAGTCGTTGCCACCGCTCTGGTGGGCCGGCGCCGCATTACTCGTTGTCGGGAACGTCATCATCGGCAGAGGCAAGCAGGAAGAAGGTAGCGAGACAGCAGCTATCTTGGATGAGGGTGAATATCACGATGAAGAAAACGTTAGTGACGATCACGACGCCGAATCAGCAGCCGAGTTGGGCCGCGGGACCGGCGTAGCCCCGCAGGTCGAGGGCATCCTGCCCGTGGAGAAGGATGATGAGGACGAGGATGTTGCCCTTTTGGGAGATTTAAGTTGAATCGGCGTACGCTTAGGATAAGCGACAGATTTATTGGGGCAGATATAGAGAGTATATATTTGGTCTGCTTACCTCTCTCCATAACGAGCTCAGGGAGACCGGTACCTGAGGCCAAGGTATATATCAAATATCCACCTAGATAGATGGATGGAAATGGATTTGGGGTTCACCTCAACCCCATTTATTCCTTGTTGGGAGTCTGACGCCAAATACTATAGCGTGTATATAAAATTTTAGTTATTTGTATGGCATAAATTAGGTAGATACCTCTTGAGAGAATATGGCTTAACATGCTTGAATAAGAGGCATTTGCTACGATATCATCAATATTATAATCATGGTTCATTCAAAAACAGCTAACGACACATATCAGGGTAGATTGGGTGGATGGGCTTAATATTCTATATTAAACGCATGTCAATACCTAATCCGAATTGTAATGCAAGTTGCACAATTTGGTATGCCTTTTCCCGTAAAACGCCGTGAAACCCGCCATATACGCGTTATGCCGTCGTATGTAAATAAACCTGCGGCCTTCTTAAAAAGGCATAATTCTACAAAAACTCCTCGCCCTGCTGCTGCATCATAGTCCCCTATCAGACTTGTCATTCTTCGAAACCGACTGTCAATGAATGCTCGTTCGAAAATTGCTAGCTTCGGGTTTTTATCGCAAAAGGCGGGAAATGGCGGTAATCCTAGGCTCGGTCGGTTGTAACGTATGAAAAAGGGACCGCGAGCTCCAAAACAATGCATAGAGATATGCTTTGAGTACCATCTTAGACCACCTTCCGTCACAATAATTAAGAGAGCTATTCAGAGGCACGTAGACTAACGTCTACGCAATATTACCAGTCGGCTTCGCTGTGCAGGATACTATTTTGACTCTGTCTGCTGAGACCACCTGCCCGCCGTTCTCCATCTTAAATGTAACGTTCTTGAGCTGGAAAGTCCAAACTTCGTCGCAGAATCGGTAGGTATCCAGGCTCCCCTATACGGCCGGCAAAGTAGGATGATTAACGCCCAGTTCCATCATGATAGCACCGGGATACTAATATTTACCTTAAAGCTCAGACGAGCCTTAACCTTGTCCTGCAGTACTTCAGTGATAGCGCGGTCGAAGTTCGCGAGGATCTTCATAGCGAGCTGGGGATCAATCCGATGCTCTGTTATGAGGTCATCGAGAGTATCTGTCAGCGCAGTCCCGACGCTGCAATATAGACTGTCAACGGAGACTTAAACGGTGTGGGTTGAAGATGACGCTATACCTGCTCCGTCGGTACAATTCATAGAAATTCTGCCCGGTAGTAGCCATCTTGATAATAATTTTCGGTGGATCGGATGTATGTAGTATGATGCAGCAATATGATCGAGACGGTAGGCCGACGCGACAGCTTGAGCGATCAAATCGGGAGATGGTCGTGGATGGCGGTTGTTGTTGAAAGCGGTGGGAATTGCGACAAATGGAATGGCGATTGAGATTAGTCAAGGATGTCCTACCTGCCTAGCGTTAGTGGGGAGAAGATACCGTGGCGGTGCAAATGTACATAATATGGCAAGCATTAGGTACCTATCTCCAATTATATGGATACCTAGGTACGCACTAGAGATTCCCTCACTGTAGCTAGAAGGCTCACACACTTTCACGGCAGTCGCAGATTTATATCCCTGTCTGTTACGTAACATACTTGCAGGAACGTTTCCGGGCAGGCAGGCAAGCAGGCAGGTCCACACAACCACTTAACGCGTGATAGCGCAACCCGCTCGCGTCGTCTCTCAGCGCCTTCGACGCGCTAATTACTAACACCGGGGTTTAAGTAATTTGGTAATTGTAATTCTGTGAAATCATCATTCCTCCTTTGGTGCCTGTTTAGTTTTGCTTTTTGTGATGCCCAGTCTCCAATCTACTCCAATTCACGCCTTCGTGATCTATTAACCTAGCTTGTAATCGTCACTTATAATCCTCTACCTAATTATATTCTATCTCATCCCTTATTCCCTTATTATTTCCTTCGGAATGGCGTCAGCTTCGTCTTCAGATGTCGATTCTATTCGCTCTTCCTCTCGACTACCCACTAGTGTTCCTTCGTCGCCACCCCTCGCCGACGACCCAGATACTCTCAAAATGGGTCTCGCTTCAACTTTCACCGAGCAGCAAATGCTCACCGAGGAGAAGAAAGCCAGAGCCGAGAATACCAGAGTAGAGGCGAAACGACTTGCTGCTCGGAGGAAACGCAAAGTTCAGCTATCTCCTCAGGAGAGGGCTCGCAAGGCTAAGGAACTCGACGAGCTCCTCCGAAAAAGTAAAGTTTTTAGCGACATTTTGACGCAGAAGACGAAAGCTCTCGGTCGTGTCGGCCGCGACTTCGACAACCAGGCGTTGACCGATGCTGGTTTACAATTAAAACAGCAGCCGAAAATCATGAGTGGTGGAACTATGCGTGATTACCAACTTGAAGGTCTCACATGGATGTATGAGATATGTTTACAAGGCCTTAGTGGTATATTAGCAGATGAGATGGGATTAGGTTAGTATCTGTCTATAGGAACTTCAAGCTCGCCTCATCTGACCGAATATCAGGAAAAACGATCCAAGTCATTTCTCTCGTCGCGTTACTAAGAGAACAAGAGAACTATTTCGGCCCGCATTTGATCATCGCTCCATTAAGTACATTATCAAATTGGCAAGACGAATTCTGCAAGTGGACTCCTACAATACCATTCGTATTATATCATGGTACCCCCCAAGAACGACAGCAGATCTTTCGTGATAAGATCATGAAAAACTACCAAAAGGGCCATCCAACCCAGCGATTTCCTGTGGTTTGTACCAGTTACGAAATGGTCCTCAGAGACCGCGCAAGCCTCTCTAAAATTGACTGGGCCTTCATCGTCGTTGTAGGTATATCTGCTTTTGATTAAGTTTCTAGTCATTGACATATTATAGGACGAAGGACATCGCATGAAGAATTCTGACGCCAAGCTTTTCAGGGAGCTACAGCAATTCAAGTCAGCTACTCGGCTTCTCATCACTGGCACACCTTTGCAGAATAATCTCAAAGAATTGTGGTCACTTCTTCACTTCTTAATGCCAGAAACGTTCCTCGATTGGGAAGCATTCGAAGTATGGTTTGATTTTAGTGACCTACAAGACGAAGAGGGTACTACGCAGTTCATTGAAGATAAGAAAAACCAAGATCTCGTTTCCAAAATACACAAAGTTCTACAGCCTCTACTCCTTCGCCGAATTAAGGCAGATGTAGCCAACTACTTACCAAGGAAGCGAGAATACGTACTGTTTGCACCAATGACTAAAGAGCAGACAGATCTATATAATGTGATCGGCGATAAGAAGACCGACACAAGAGCTTATTTGGAGAATAAGGTGGTCGAACAGTTGACAGAGACCCGTAACACATCGGTCAATTCCGAAAGGTCAAGTCGTCAATCCTCCCGCGCGAATAGTGCTCGAGTAAGCCAGGCGCCATCTCCGTCCACAAGTAACGCGTTTGCAATGATGATGGGTAAGAAAGGAGGGGCGAAATTGAAGGCGACGCCCAAGAATAGCTCACCTGCCCCTCAAGCTAAAGGGACTAGCAAGCGGAAAGTCGCGCCTACCAGCGAAGCATCATCCCCAAAGAGTAGTAAATCGAGTCGACAATCTACTCCAGCCAGCAGCGTTCGAGGACGACCGCGTAGGGGTCGCCCTTCGTATAAGGCAGCAGATGACTCTGATGAAGACAAGTTGGATGATGATGCATTCGAAGCAAAACTAGCAGCTGAACTTGCTGCTAGGGATGATGAGTCTGATGAAGACATGCGAGATGAAGAAGAAATTGAGCGCGCAGCCACGCTCGACCTTGCCAGTAAGTTTAGAAGCCCATGTTATACGACTAGTCTAACATGGAATAGAGCTTCAAATCGCCGATAAGAAGCTTGGCAACCCCTTGATGCAGTTAAGACTTGTGTGTAATAGTCCTCACAATTTCTACAGCCCGTGGACATATGGCGATAATATCCCGGTCGACGAGAGCATCGTGACAGCTTCTGGAAAGATGCTTCTCCTAGACAGGTTGCTTCCAGAATTGTTTGAACGTGGACATAAGGTCCTCATCTTTTCGCAATTTAAGACACAGTTGGACATACTTCATGATTATTGTGCCGAATTGCGCAAGTGGAATGTTTGTCGCATCGACGGAGGCGTCTCCCAAGAAGATAGAAGACAGCAGATTAAAGAGTTCAACGAAGATCCCGACTTTAAGATATTCCTATTGTCGACCAGAGCGGGTGGTCAGGGTATCAATCTTGCGAGCGCAGATACCGTGATACTATTTGATAGGTAAGCTCCCTTCTTTCGGTCTATACTAGGGGCCAGCTAATTAACGTAAATTAGTGATTGGAACCCACAGCAAGATTTGCAGGCGCAGGATCGCTGCCACCGAATTGGCCAAACGCGTCCAGTCGTCATTTACCGACTTGCCACAAAGGGAACTGTCGAGGAAGAGCTCCTCCTGAGCGCAGACGCAAAGCGCAGGCTAGAGAAGCTTGTCATCAAAAAGGGGGGATTTAAGACAATGGGCCAAAAGCTCGATAATGCCGAGATTCTAGATAAGGAGACACTTATGGCCCTGTTGTTAAAGGACGGCGAAGTGTACCAGCATTCAGGTGGTGACCGAATTTTAAGTGACGAGGATATCGATACCCTCTGTGATAGGTACGTCTACTCTTGGTGCCTTGGAAATAATTGTCCTGCTAACCCCCTCTATAGAAGTGATGAGGCCTTTGACCGCGCTGCTAGAGGTGCTGGCAATGCCGCCGGTTTCCAAGTCGTCGAAACTGCCGCGGATGGTATTACTCAAATGAGAGGAGAGTAGATGTATATTCCATATCTGGATTTGAACTGTACCAACAAGCATCGGCGTTACCTATATCGGCTAGGCGGGTTGGATCAGATGGCTTGACGAATTTTATGCTCCCATGTACAACATTTAGCATATCGAAGCAATTTACTTGTAAAACTGCTAACATACCTACCTACCTACCTACCTATGTACGGTTGTTGATATTTACATCATGTTGCATCATCCCTTCGCCGTTCAGCTTGAGATGTCAGAATTAATATTTATGCTAACTAACAACCATAAAACCAGGAGCCTTATCTTAGGTACATACTTCAATTCCATCTACATCCTAAAGACTTCCATCTAGTAAGGTCGCGGTTCGCCTATAAGTTAGACTTCCTAGGTTGGATCGCACTTATCGGGCTTAACGAAATTACGCAATGCTAACCAGCAATGACGATCTAGCTATCCACTTCGTTTACTGGCGGGGCAGGTCAACTTCATTTTATACAATAGGTATAACGTGAGTGACATCTTTAAGAGCACATGCTGCGAGCTATTAGACATTACCCAAATAGTTAGTGAAGGCCCCCCTCGGTTACATCGTCAATGGGTCTAGCTGAACGATAACTTCAAACCGCAAATTTACCATTAATCCTAAGACGCTCGTTACTCTAGACTTTCGAACCATTCTTATTACGACTGACATTCGGTTGTCACCTAATAAAAAAAGGGGGGTTACACTATAAATTCGGTATCAAGTCAATTACAGGTATCCTAAACATTATACCTACGATCAAACCCGTAATCAATCAGGCAATAAAACCCGTCACTTCAAAGTTCAATAGTCAATCATCTCCATAGTTTCAAAAATTCGAACCTTGCGGTATCAGCAGCGATGTCTGCGGTCGAAGAAGTAGGCGTGGGAGATGGGGCCCTAAGCAAGGATGTCCTTTTGGTTTTCTTCCCTTTTCCAGAGAGAAAGGAATGGATAGAGCACATCACCAGTCGCTTCAAAGGCCTCCAAGTACGATGGACCAATGCGATAAATCCCGATCACTCCGTCATAAATGCTAAAGATGTCGCCGCGGAGCTGTGGGATGGTGTGACCATACTCTCTACGTTTATGCCGCCTCCGGTCGAGCTGATACCAAACGTCCGCTTCGTCCAGGTTACCTCGGCCGGGGTGGATAAGTGGCCGAACCATCCCACGTATCAGGACGATAAAGTCCAGTTCTCTACTTCGAACGGCATTCACGCGTAGGTCGACTCTTTTAGTTACTTCTGCTCTGTAGGATCTAAACTACATCACGAGAATACCTCGCCGTATATAGTAACTATGAGCTGACGCATCGCAAAGGCCGCAAATCGCAGAATGGGTCATCGGCGCCTGGCTCTCGCATCAACATAACTTCCTGCACTACGCTTCGAACATGAAGGCGGGAAACTGGGAATCGCCATTTGCAGCCCGTATTCAAGATTCAACGGGACAACGAATGTAAGGTTTTTGGTCCAGTCCTATTAATGTTAAGCATACGAAACAAGAACGCTGATATACTTTTTTTTTTTAAAAAAAGCGGAATTTTAGGATATGGCGCAATTGGGAGACAGTGTGCACGCCTGGCTAGTGTCTTGGGCATGGAGGTCTACGCTTATACGCGCGGTGACCGGTCCACCCCAGAGTCTCGCAAAGATGACAGCTACTGCGTGCCGGGTACTGGCGACCCTGATGGGATTCTGCCGGCGAAGTGGTTCCACGGCACGAGAAAGGAAGACGTCAACGAATTTCTTGCCCAGGGTCTCGACCTGCTAGTTATTAGCCTACCGCTAACACCAGAGACGCGACATATCATATCCGATGAGCAGTTCGAGATTCTTAGTAAAAGGAAGACCTTCGTGGCGAACATCGCGAGGGGCGGCCACATCAACCAAGATGCGCTCATTAAGGCGCTCGAGACAGGTCAGATTCGGGGGGCTGCGCTAGATGTGACGGATCCGGAGCCCCTACCCAGTGAACATCCGCTGTGGCGGGCCCCAAACCTCTTCATCACTCCGCACGTAAGCTGGAAGACCGACCACCTCTGGGATAGATTGCTGGATATCCTGGAACTTAACCTTGAAAAGTTAGCTGCTGGAAAGCCGCTTATCAACGTAGTGAACCGCAAGCTTCACTACTGATAGGAGGGGGGGCAAGCTGCAGAAGGATGGTAGGCACACGCAATTGAAGCTTTCAGTTAGAAACGGCAGTAAGGAGCCGGATAGAAGATAGATGTGAATAGATCCTGGTTATAGTCCTAAGAGTATGTAAGGACCTTTTGATATAACCTCAAGGTGTGCGTGTCAAATGTGCATCTAGAACTCCGTGTCTGGCCTGAGATATGATAATAGACATGGCCAAGCCTTTGCTTTCGCAGAATACTAGATGACGAGCTGAATGCCATTATCCCCTACACTATAATATCATTCGTGAATGAGACATGTTGTATAATTATCACCATATACGTACAAGAACTCGCCACGTGAGGATCTGAGGAATCTGCATAATGAGCAAAGCTAAAACTGTTGAATAGAGCTAGAAGAGGTTATAAGGATACAAATTATAGTTGGAGGGAAACTTTTTGTGCTTACCTAGGTAGGTAGATAAACCCGAAGCCACCAACTTACCACCGCGTCGGGACACAGGGTTATTAGCTCGACGCCCCCGTAAGCAATCCGCACAATCCGGACGTCCGGCGCGGGAGCCTCAACGCCAACACCACTCTACTCCCGTCCTACTCGACACGGAATAATTGCTGCGCCCAACCGAAATCCTTACATGAGGAAATCCCAGCTCGCGCTAGATGGGATTGCCGTTGAGTCACATGGCACATGCAAGCTTCCATGGCTTCTCTCCGGTATGGGAATGTCCGGTGGAAACTAAGATTTGGGATCTGACCCATGTCGTCGGGGTGGCTCGTAGGTAGATTCAGCTGTAAGGATAGGCTTGTTCGTGGAACTTGGCAGGTATCTAAGGACGCAACTTGAAGATATGGGTGGGAGCTGATTCTTCAATGAGGGGGGGCAGACACGGCGAGGACGATGGGAATGGGATATGATATAACCTATCCCACCCGTTTTACTCGCAGGCGAAGGCGTCTGTTGGTCTAACGTCGCTCAAACAAAACCGCTTCTTGTCTTCCTGTCCAGTATGCGCTACGACCAACGCGAGTGTAATATGGAAACTATACCGCGGAGCGAGAAACCGGATATCATCCCCGGTACTGATGTTATTTTCACGGGCCAGGATGCCGGTGAAGCAAATGCCAGCGAGGTCGTACTTATTCCCCAACCGACCTCGAGCTCGGATGATCCGCTTGTGAGTTCCAATCCTCAATTCATGCTGCCATAATGGGCAGGTAGCAGTTTAATCAAAGCCCCTACTAACACCATCCGTAGAACTGGAGCCCGACATGGAAGTCCATCATCATCTTCAACCAGTTCATTTTCGTCTTTGTGAGCATCATGACGCCAATGGCCATCGCGCCTATGACGCTCATCTTCGAGGCCGAGTTCGACAAGACCCTCCCCGAAGTCAACATGCTTTTCGGCGCGGCCGCTATCACGCTCGGCTACGCCAACTTTCTTATCGTGCCTGCTGCCAACGTGTTTGGGCGCCGTCCGGTCGTCCTGGTCTGCAGCGTCATCTGCATTCTTGCTAATGTCTGGCAAGGACTCGTTACTAGCTATCCGAGCTTCCTGGGCGCGCGCGTTATTTCGGGGCTGGGTGCTGCGGCTAACGAGAGTATCATGCCAATGGTTGTTGCGGATATGCTGTTTCAGCATCAGAGGGGTAGTAGTATGGCGCTGTACTTGTAAGTGGAGTTTGTTGTCTGTATGATGATAAATAGGTATTTGAAAATGTGCTTACGATCTGCATCTAGCTGGGCCTATTTCCTAGGCCTTTTCATCGGGCCTATCATCTCAGGGGCAATCGCCTCGCAGATCTCGTGGAGGTGGTTTGTAAGTGCTACAGCCCCTATTTTTATAGAAAAATATTCGAGCTTCGACTAACCCCTGACTAAATCAGTTCTGGGTCTGTACTATCTTACAGGGCGTAAGTTTCTATTCCCACTTCTTATATTTAGAAGAGTCCAAGATTAGGTAGGTACCTGTTATAGATCTAACATAAGCATAAGGCAAGCCTCATCTTCCTCCTGCTCGCCCACCCGGAAACCAAGTACGACCGCCCTGTACCCCGTGCGCCGATTACCGTCACGGAGGTTGGGGTCTCCAACGCTACAGGCAAGCCCAACGACGGCATGGTCTCCAGTTCCAGCTCCGAGGCGCAGATGCAGCCCTTTGCCCTCACAGCCGCCGACCACAACGCCACCGGCCGTCCCTCCCGTGCACAGTTCTCCCTCCTACCGCTCCGGAGACGCCTCCGCTACGGCCACGGATACGAACAGCACAGCCAGAATCTCAGCGCCGTTCTAGCGCGGGACGTCATCTCGCCTATTAAAATCCTGTTCTGCTACCCGATTGTGCTCTGGGCGTCTTTGTCAATGGGCTTCGCGGCGAACTCGCTGTTGGCGCTGAACCTGACGCAGACGCAGGTTTTTGGCGCGCCTCCGTATTTCTTCACCCCCGATCAGATCGGCTATGTCAACTTTGCCTTCGTGGTGGGTGCTATTATTGCCTTGGTCACGGCGGGTCCGTTGGCTGATTGGATTGCGCTGAGGCGCGCAAGGGCCAACGGGGGGGTGTTGGAGGCGGAGATGAGGCTGCCGGCACTGGTGCCGTATATCTGCGCCAATCTCGTGGGCATGGTGGTTACAGCTGTGGGGTACCAGCGATCTTGGGCGTGGGAGGTTATTGTTGTGGTTGGGTACTCGCTTGTTGGACTACAGGTCGTGGGGATCCCGGCCATTTCGATCGCATATGCGGTGGATTCGGTAAGCATACCCCTTGCTTTTTATCCGTGGAGTGGCATATGCTATGGATTTAGACTGCTGGTGATGAGATTTGCTTTTTATAAGCTGAGCTGGAAGATGTCGTTAACATCCTGTCATATATAGTACAAAGCACTCCCCGGTGAGATTATGATCGCTGCCACCATCGTGAAGAATACCTTCGGGGTAAGTCGTCATACCTAGATCTTCCCCCCTCCCCCCTCTCCATCCCGGCCCGATATTAATTATTTCATAGTTCGGCATGATTTTCTATTACAACGACTGGGCAGCACGGTCAGGGTTCATTCCTCCTGTACTACTACTGATGGCCCTCACATGTGGCATTTCAATCCTTGGCCTGGTTGTCTTTATTCCCTGGGGAAAGCAATTTCGCCGCTGGACCAAGGACTCTAAATTACATTCCCTATAGATGAGCAGGAAAGGGGGGGTGATTTGCTAAGAGGTTGGTGTGCCCTGGACCGCAGTGCGGTCTCGCCGTGGAGGTTCTTTGTTCATATTCGTCAATATTACTTAGTTGAGTAGCTGCGTTGAAGGGCTTGGCAATAAGGAGTGGCACATAGTTATACGTAATATAATAGCTAGTTAAACGTTATAAACATTCGATTTCTATACTATATACAATAAATTTTACTATTTACTAACCTGAGGCAAAATAAGATCGCTATACATATACAAGGTAGAAAGAGTATATACAAAACTGCCGATATCAATATTCACACGGCGGCTCACTTCTCCGGCAATAAGCGAATCCGCCACTTACGTAGTAGTTGTCACATCGTTATAAACACATCTTTGCTAGAAAAAGCAAATGTGATAGCATAGGAAGCCCGCGTCGAGGCTCTTACAGACCGATCGATCGTCCGTTAATCGTCAGCTCGGCGCTGTATAACTCACGTGCAGCATTCCCTTGGTTCGCGTTCAAGCGGCCGTGGAACACGACGGTCTTGCCGTTGGGGTCGATATCGAGACCTCCGGGGCCAAAGACACCGCGGTTGTCAACGGTGCGGATGAGGATGCCGCGGTTGGTGTAGCTACCGTCTATGGTGCTGGAGAAGGCATACTCAACGTCGTAGTCGTCGCTGGAGTAGCAGTGGGCGCTGTAGAACAAGACGTAGTTGCCGTCGGCAATCTTGTACAGAGCAGGAGCCTCGACAACGCCGTTATTGGAGGCACCCTCGTTATCTAGGATCGTCTTCGGACTGTCGAGCAGCGTCAGAGCGTCCCGTGCCACACGCTGGATCTTAATCGGTGTCGACCGGTAAGCTCCTGATGGGGTTCCGCCTTGGCATGTCGTCGCGCCACCAAGGCTGTTTCCGTCAACCTTCCACAATATCCACCGGTTCGCACCATCGTCGTAGCCCGACGCATCAATCACACCTCCATTGGCACCGTCACAGATCAGCGGCTGGCTTTGCGGTGTAAAAGGTCCCAGTGCCGAGTTTGAGGTTGCAGCACCGATACAGTGGTTGCCACCGTTCTGGCGGGCAGTGTAGTACATCACATACACACCGGCATCCTAGAGTCGTTATTAGTCCAAGACCCCGGGTATCTCTATATGCTACTGCATCTACTAGGAAAACTTACGTTCTTCTGCACATCAGGAGCCCAAATTCCCTGGTCATTAGGGTCGACCCAAGATCCAGGGTTCGGCAAAGCGTCGTTGCCGGTAAGTGTCCAGGACCAAGTATCAGATGATGTGGCGACGGGGATTTTCTTGCCGTTTGATGAAGTTCCGTAAGCCTTCCACGAACCGTCGCCCCAGATGATACTCGGGTCGGGAAAATCGACCCCCATGAACGGGCCGGCCAGACGGCGACCTTGTAAGCCGCCGCCGTTGGCCATGTCGATCTTGGTCAAGTTGGTCAAGCCGAGAGTTGGTAGCTCAGCCGCAGCTCGGGCAGCATTTTTGGACGGAAGGCCAGCAACTAGGCCGGCACCGATTAAAAGGAGGAAGCTCTTCATGGCTATTGATCGAAGCTAACTGGGTGGGATCAGACTACGTATCTGATGTACGAGTTTATCCTCACGAAGAGGCTTTGCTTGTTCAGCAAGCATGATAACTAGTATTTATAAAATCCAAGGAGAACACTTCCGGTATTATTCGGTCCTTCTTAGCATTCGTCACGAAGCGACGGAGCTGTGGAATCCCGAATACATTGTTGCGCAAAGAATAATGTAGCTAAACTAGGACAGAGCCAGTAATAGAACCAGCTCCTTTGTTTAGTTGTCTCGGTAGTTCCGGGGGTAGTTCTCGTAAGATCCTAATGGAACAATGGGAACAAATTCTAGCGAAGGGAGCTTTCCAGGCAAGTTGAAACACCGCAAGGGACAGTCTGCACCAATAAACGAGAAACACGCCTTAACCCTTTAGAGGAACGTGGCCAAGCAAGTCCCATCATGGGGTGCAGAGCCAGACGATGCCACAACGGGAAGGAAATGAGAATAGAATGCGTTGACGAAGCCATCTGGAGCGTCCGTCCAATAGGAAGACGGACAATCCTGCGTAAGCCGGGATCTTTTGCATCGCTTGGGTGGCAATGGTGCGGTTTCTAAGGGGGGCTATAAACAAGATCTTGATGCACCAATGCCTGAAGCCCTGCTAGCAGCATTGCGGTATAGATCTCGCTAAGCCGTTCCCATCAACTTCAGATGAATCCCTTTCAAGATTCCATGCCAAGGGCCAAGCTTTATATAATCGTAAGGAACAACGTTACATGGGCCTAGTTAACTCATCCCATAAGATCAGATTATTCTTATAAAAAAAAGGTTCACCTGCCTAATTCAACATTTTCTGGATCATAAGTCTATCCTGCTGCGATTTAACATTTGATATTTCTGGCAAAAAATCCCGGTATGCCATATGCGTAGGGCAACAGATCGTCGGTGTAAGACCCCAGGATTCAAGCGTGGCTGACATGGGTCGCGACACTGAGGTGGTTAATGATCAACGTCGATCATCACTGATCATCACTTTTCCCTGGATATCTGGATAAGGGTTATTTGAGCTTAATTTAACAACGTTGGCGATGAGATTGAAATACTGTTATATTACATATTATTAACAAATCGGAATCCTAGGTAGTTTTTAGATACTTCAGTCTAAAATCTCTTCAAGATTCTTCAAGATGGACGGGTTACATCCTAAGCAGGTCTGGTATTGTATTTGACGCGTAATTAATTGATAATAAACTGCAGCCTGGTATGCCATGCCATGCCATGCCACGCCTTGCAGCTTAACGAGCCCACACGCAATCAGACCCGAGCGGACCGGAGTCCAGGCCGTATATGCATGCCACCGTAGATATACCGACGATCCATGATCAATATCCAATTATATTATTTTAAAATTCGGCCATCTCAGAACATAGTACGGCCATTACGTTGCCAATAGAGACCACTCGAGTTACATGCGAATTAGAAGTGCCAGCAATGGCTACCCCTTGCCGAGATCCATGACTCAAAATAGATTATCCTCAGTCCCATCGGTATAGGCCTGGTCCCATAATTTCACACGACCAATTGGTCTAAAAAGCATCACGCCGAGATGTCCAGCTGCGTGAGGCACTATTCAGCTCATTCAATTCAATGGTAGTTTTCTATTTTTCGCTAACGGCTCAAGAGTCGGACTTGAGAGTAGAATTTCCTATTTGTTTTCTTTTCTGCAGCAGACAGTGTTGTCCCCATTTTCTTCGATATTTCTCCGGAATGAAACTCAAGTCTGGAACCCATAAGACTCTCGCAAGGAGATGCGTGTTTGCCGCATCAAGGAACGCTTCGCATTTAATAATTTCCCAGTTCTCCTTGTCTGCGATATAATCCGGCTCATTTGGCGGTAGGGGGTGATCATGCTCCGGATATTGCGTGTCGACCAAGAAATCGCACGATTTAATATCCACGTACTTTCCCATATCCTCTTCGTTGCGATCATTCATGCCGCTCACAGGGAGCCAGGTACCACTCCAGAAGCCAAATCCAATTCGTGCTTCAGAGAACTCCCCAGGTAGCAACCCACGGAACTCTGACCGAATAAATTTCGCATGCATATCCCGAGGTAAGAAGTAAGAGCTTGGGAACCGGTACCATTCCTTACCGTAACACACATAATCCGCACGTCCACCCAGACCTTTTTGACCAATTACCCCAGCCCCAAGCGGTTCGTAGAGCTTCAAAGGTGCAGAGTAGGCAGTATATATGCCGATGATGCGGGCAAGGCCTAGGCCCAGTGATAAGAATAACACGCCTACAACGGTGAAAAGCTTCAAGCGTGCTGGGATCTTTCCGACGAGGGTCTTAGGATCGGGATTACCGAAGGCCGACAAGATAATGTGAAATCCTAAGGCAGCATTCAGAGTGATGAAGGGATACATAGGATACATAAACCGCTCTTCTTTATGTGGCTGCATAGAGAAAATACCAAGCCACATATAAAAGGGGGAGAGGAATACGACCGTACGCATCCCTGTCCCAAAGCCATGTTGCTTTGAAGAGACAACCTTTTGGATGAGGAACAGAGGTAAAGACAGTAAGGCCAAAATAAACCAAATGTTGAAGTTTATGGTAAGATTTCTGAAATAGAAGGTCCATGGTTCCGTTCCGTAGAGGTTCGGGCCTCCCGTAGAAGAGAATATGTTGTACTTCACAATATTCCAAGAGACAACCTCAATTTTCTTATAGAAGAAAGTATTGATAGCTGTATCACCGACCTGTGCCTGGTGAGAATTACGTATATAGCATATGAAGTAGCATCACTTACAAGGAGTAATAAGGCGGCAACTACACCTCTACCGACACGGAGGACTGCATCGTAAAAACTCTGGGGATAGTTTAGGACCGCAAAGATAGCCTCCTCGATTAAGAAAGGGGCACACAGAGCTGAAGCGAAAGGCCATCCCAGGATGCCCCCAACGGCAAACCACCATATGCCCCACGACGTCTTAAGGCCTCCCCTCCAGTTCATGAATGCGACAGTTCCAAGCATGGATGTGTACATAGCGAAGCTAGAGGGTAGATAGGCTGTATTGGCGTGGAAGTTTCCGGGGGACACAACCGTCGCGATAAGAAAGAAGAGGCCAATCCTGGGATTCAGGGTGAAGCTGATGACGCGGTATAGGAGCACTTGGCATAATGAGCAAACAAATGCCAAGACATAACGAACGAAGTAAAACTCGGAGAGCTATACGAATGAGAATAAGATCATTGAGGAATGGTAGGTGTAGAAAGTGATACTTACCTTTGTAGTTTGGGGCAATAATCTTCTGATATTACCAACTATCGCATGCAAGCCGACATAAGACCAACTTCGGATAGCATATTCTGGTGAATACTCCCAAGTCTGTAGCCCATAGCCATGTGAAATGTAATGGGTCGGTTCCCAATAATTGAAGGTCTCATCGCAATCTTGGATGGGCGCAAATAAAGCAGATACAAGATTTACAATCAGGAAGACGTAAAGTGCCTTTATAGGTTCTATCATGAATATAGACACTCCTCTATGTTACATCGTTAGTGGTTTTCACTCTTTTTGGATGGGCTCACGGACTTCTTTTTAGCATGTTGTGCAGCTGGATGAACAAATTCCTGCTGCTGCTGCTGTTGCTGCGGTTGAGCTTCTGTAGGAGGCATATTTACTAAATCCGCGTCGTGCGGCTGATGCAGTGCAGCTCACGCAACCGAAGAGTAATTCGATATTGGGGAAGTTATGGGTTATGGGTTATGGTTATAAATAAAACTTAACTAGGAAAGCTTTAAATCTGTCCCAAATGTTGAAAGTTGGGATCCAATTGAAAATGACGTTGCTTCAGCGCTAGTGCTATGAGGTACCTAGCGAACAACCTTAGACCCGATCCCTGCTGTCGGATAATTACATGTGTAAAGGTTTCTAAGCCCATTGGCCAATGGAGCATGCCACTCCTAAGATATTCCGGGCCCACTTTATTTTTCTAGAACTGGGGAACTTGCAGAAGCTTTCATCTAAGTTGAATTCATGCAGATTTCATCCACGGGTTGTTGACTGCATTGCCGGAACTTTATCAAAACACGTCTTGGTTCGTATTTTCGCGAACTTATACTTTATGCAATTGGTTCTTCGAGTAGTTGTTATTGAGATATTCCTAACTATCTAATTTGTGACAACAAGTTTCTTTCTTTAAGGCGATTTACGCCATCTCAACCTGGTGGGTTATTTTCTAGTGTACCTAACTAGCCATTATCTTCAAATCGAACTTTCATAACACAAGACTTTTCATCGTAATGACAACTAACAACGCTATAGTTCCTGCAAAAATGTCTGGGAATTTTGAAATTCCTGGACTATCCATCTCGAGGGTACCAGATGAATCTCAACACCAATCAGACGTTCCTAATGAGGCTCAACCTGTGACCTCTCAACCTGCCACTGAGATGGATATTGATGCTCCTGCTCCTTCAGAGAGTACACCACTACCTCAGATCAGCGAGGCACAGATCGAGAAGTTGGAGGAGCCGGAGAGTTCTGATGTTGCTATCAAAGATGCACCACCCAGCCCTCCCTCCTTGACTTCAGCACTGGAAGCTCTACTTGGCGGTCTAGACGCCCCACCACAGGATCCGAATGTGTCATCTGCGCAACCCGATGGCACAGAACAGAATGGACAGCCTCAAGAGCAAGATGAACAAGGTGATCCCGAATGGGAAGTAGATTCTTCCCCCTGCGAATCCTCGTCCGAATCGAGCAGTTCAGATGATTCGGATGATGAGTCTGAAGATGGGAAAAACTATGAGCTACTGGGCCCCGAGGAGACCGCCCGCATTCTTATGGAAATGGAAGGTGGCTCAGATGATGAAGGTGAGGGGAAGGTGAAAGGGAATGGTTCTGGTGCACAGGTCCGCACGAAGAATGAATTGCCTGAAGAAGTAGTTCCTAAGCCCGATGTCGTTATATCACCGGAGATGACTATCACTGAACTTGGCGTGATTGAGCACATCGTTGAGAATACTGCTGTAGTCAAGGCGATCACGACGGGAGAGTACCAGGTGCTCGACAGCGGCTCGGTTCTCTGCACGGAAGACCGCACTGTTATCGCGGCCGTAGCCGATTTAATCGGCAACGTGAGACAGCCACGTTATACTGCAAGGTTTACGAACGAAGAAGAAATTGAGTCTTATGGCCTAGAGGTAGGGACCAAAATATTCTATCCGCCTTCGCACGCGGTATATGTCTTCACTCAACCACTTCGGGAGCAAAAGGGCACGGATGCAAGCAATTGGCATGATGAAGAGGCCGGTGATGAAGAAATTGAGTTCTCAGACGACGAAAAAGAGGCCGAACATAAGAGGCAGCTAAAGGCTAAAAAGAAAGGGGGCCGCGGTGGTAAGGGCGGCGTAGGAGGGCGAGGAGGTCACACCGATGCCTCGTCTCTCCCTCCAATGATTGGCCTGCAGTATGATGATGATGACGAGGACGGCCCTTATCGAAAACTTGCAAGGCCGGCCAATTTTGCACAGGGCCAATCCACCCCTTCGGAATCTGGATACTCAAATCATCACGCCAACAATAACGGCGCATTCCGAGGTGGTCGAGGTAGAGGTCAACGAGGTCATGGACATGGCCGTGGCGGGAGAGGCAATCGTGGAGATTCGCGAGGTGGATATTCCTTACCACCTAGACCACCACGAGGACAAGACTATCAGCCACAAACGCAGCAATACATCTATCCTCCAGCTTCGCCTTCGGTTACTAGCCCAGCATATCCCCCGCAGTCGCTACCATTCTATGGCACACCGAACATTCATCAGCAGCCCAATACGCAGTTTCAATTTCCTTGGCCCCAGAACGTTCCACAAGGCTTCGTTCCACCTCCACCACCACAGTTTACCGGGCAGCAACCTGGCGCGTACTACAGCCCTGAGTTCTTTGCTGCTCTGCAAAGTCAGATGCAGGGACAACCCAACCAGCAAAACGGCCAGTGGCCCGGACATAGCGGTGCTGGATAGAATTCTAACGCTGTGAACGGCAATATGGGTTCGGCTCTCCCCCATGCCTATTTGTCTCACCAATGGAATAATCATACTAATGGATCCGCTGCCTCAGACGTCAGTAGACTTCCATAATCTGATGATAGTTAGGTCCATGCTAATAATTTTATAGATACAGCTAGGGTGGCATTCCAACCATCAGCCTAGCCTGCAGAGCAAGGTAGATAGAGTAAAGACGGAGGCGGGTGTACAAAAGTCCCGGGGCAAGACTCCCGGAAAAGCCTGGAAGGGCAGAAAAGGCAGAAGGGGCAAAAAAATCAACGAGGTCCCTCTATGTCTCACCGAGCCACTTCTTATATAAGATATATCTTGTTACTGAGGTATTACTGGTACGTTAATGATAGTTGCAGTGTTTATACTGACATCTGAAATAACACGACAACAATCATGGAGGATTGAGGGAGATTATCATCAAAGTCGAGTCTTGAGTCAATACGAATATCAAGACAAGTTGACTTATACCATTCCGAATGCTGCTTACTTGTGTACTTAGGTATATCACATACGATTCTTTTAATATCCATTGAATACCTCACTATAGCGAAATTGTGAATATATTCTAATATCGTCTTTACCTGAGTTTGCTTTTCTATATCTCGGCTTGAAGACTCATCGCATGCAATACAAGTAAATGCAGACTTGCGATTGGGATGGCTATGTTACACAAAGAGCCATACACTAGACCATGAGTATACACATGTAACCCTTAGGTACTTAAGGCTGTCTATGATGCCTCGGTATACATTTAGGGTAAGGCTCTTGGTATCACCGTTGTTCATCTCGGACATATTGGTATACACTAGAAGACTTTGGGAAACAAGCTCGAGACTTTGCGGTCTATGCCCGCTTGAGTCAGGTCGTTTGTGGAACTAGAAAGAAAACGAGCGCCACTATTTCCAACCACCCCCGTTGGTGCAGAAACGCCTCCGAGTCTTTCACCGTGGTCACGTTGGTACTAACGACTTTGTTATGCATAAATTTTCGCTCACCTACCAAAAAGAGAACCTTCTCCGGTGTCCGTCATTTTATATAGTATCAGGGAAGTAGACTTGTAGGAAACATTAGTAACCTTCGGATCAAGACTAGAATATTGCTTAGTCTGTTCGTAACATAAAACATAGGTAGATAAATCCGATGTTATCTCTTCTCGGCTCGTAGCAATATTGAGAATCCGAAAAAGCAAGGAACGTACCTTACGTAGACAATAATGCAATCGACCGAAAGCTGCAGGTTTTAGGGCTAGGAGGGCATGCCGCCTTATACCGCAGATCCGGTCTAGTTGAACTACCTACCTACTTAAGGTAGCCTTACACGCAATATCGATCGTGGGGTAGACTTGCTTGTCCATTACATACGCTGAAAGCACGGACAAATTCTCATTTCCTACCCAACGGCGCTATTAAGGATAAGAACCACGATGCTACAATGTGACGACAGCTGAATATCTATTTTAGTATAACATGGGCGCTGAAAGTTTAGACATTTCCACGATGTGACCAACGGAGGAACCAGTCTGTTCGTCTGCTTAGTGTAACGGGTCGCAATGATGATCCTCCACACGCACACTAAGGCATATCGATTGGAACAAAATAGGGATCGGCCTCTAAGCTGGAAAAAATGACAAGGATGATAGGGCCCGATAATGTGAGGGGTGGTAAGAAATTTGCGATGCGGACCGACCGACGGAGTTGGAAAACAGTCAACGAGTCAACAAGGTCGGATGCTTCACAAGCCAAAATGAAATTCAACAGTGTTTATTTCGTAGTGCGGGAAATTCAGATTCGAGAACAAAGAATAGGAAAAAAAAAATGTATATCTACTATGTAAATGAAAAGAGGGACATATCGACTGCAAGATACCGGGAGGATCCTGGGATTAGATGATAAAAAACTGGTAGCATCGGTTGGGAAAAAGATCCCTCACCACCACGCGGGAAGAAAACGTGATATCGGCACAAACATAGACCATAGAGTAACATAGAAAGGACAAAGACGTCATATCAGGTTCCACGGCAGAAAATATCGTGGGCTTATTGGGGGTGATTCGTCTTAATCATCAGATAGGTATCCACATTCCAAATAAGGATATTGATAGACCTGATAGACCCGATAGACCCGTTCTGCTAGTGTATGTATCTAGGTACATGTACCTACGGCAGCCTGCTTCCCTCGGTGCTTTGTACCGATGCTGATGTCCGGCGAGGTACATAGATACGCCTCTTACGCGCATGAGATAAAGGATTGAAAGTCGATGAGCGATGAGCAAATTCCGATCGAGGCACGGGCGGTATTCCTTTCCGTATAAACCCCCTTTAACGACCCAATATATAAATTCGTACTTCTGTCATCGCACGTTGTCACGAATACCTTAATTCAAACAACTGTGTACGGAATATGCGTCTATTAATTGTTTTAGCTTCTGAATTTCAAGGACCATTCGGTAGAAACCTCTAGCTGAATTAAGGGGTCGCGTACGTAGTTCTATGCCTGCGGCGCCTGACAGCGGTTTTTTATTGCTTTCATGCTGGTCAATGGATATTTAATGGAGGATGCTTGCCCCTAGTGGATCCCTGCCTGCACAAATTTCGCCTAATATGCAGGCTTAAATGTCTTGTCCAATCAAGACTCACCTGTTCCTGAAAGTGGCGCTTCTGTGCCTGACTACTGCAGGGGAGCTTGGACCATACGGGCTAGCAAGAAAGACCGAAAATGATCAACATTCGTCCATTGGAAGAGATGAGATGATCAATTGGGGGGTGATTGCAAGGATGAGAAGACCCGTTCGGCCATAACTTTGGATGAAGGATGATTCGGTGCTGACTGCAGCCAAATTTTACAGATTGCTGGATTTTGGCGCAAGTGAATCGACTACCTGGGGAAGATACGATCTTAAGCGCACAGGACAATACGAGTGGCGTTGTTCGTATTATATGTGTTAGGCTACCTAAGGTTACATACCTAAAGTCGAAGTAAACACGCAAATAATATTTACCTATTGTGTATTTGTTAGCTGGTTCAGTATGTATTGACAGAACAATACCGGCAATATCAAATTTAAATAGCAACCTGAAAAGAGTAGACGGAGAAACAGTCACCAAATTAGGTGGACGGATAATAAATTGATATAATGCATTCCCGTTTGTGAATAGAATAATAGGTATGTAATGATGATAATACGACATCTATTATAGACTGCATGTTCATGCGACCACCCAATAATAGCCGGGAAGGAAACCTTATTCCAATAATAATTCAAGAAGAACTACATGGAAGTCCCGGCTCTTGTATGTAGTATGTACTTTGTACAATATGTATGTGTTCAGAACCGCTGCTTCCATCCAAGGTTACAGGTGATAAGCAACGGTTGCTACCGTTTGAGGTCTTGAATTACAGGGAAGCGAAGGACACTACCTTAGATAAGTACCTATGTAGGTAGAAACTACCAGCCAGTGCTATGTTTGTATTATCCGGAGTATCTTCGTACCCTACTAGGACGGGAAACGCGCTAGAGGTTGGCAACTGGCCAATCCCCGATTCGCTCCTCCCACTGGCGCTTCACTATTCCAATTCATCCTCTCCTCCTCCCTCTCTCACTCTTTTCCTTCCCTTCCTCACCGTCCTCGTACGTCGCAACCCAGGCACACGGTCTCCTCCCCCTCTCTTCACGAGAATTGGGTTTCTTTCGTTGGATCCTTTCTCAATTACATTCATTTCAAACCGTAGCTTCTCGATTTTATCGAGGTTTTACACCTTCGTTACCCCACGAATCGCGATCTCGGCGCTTGCCTCCGCGGTAAACAAAAGCACAACAGCGTAAACTACGCCACTATCGTCGATACCGAGTCGCATTACCACCAGCATAACACCTCTACGTGGATTACATTCTTTTTAAAATCCGAGATTAACACTGTTGCACGACGAATACTTAGTCGCACTTATAGTCGCAATTCGATTATACTTACGTCTTTGCGGCTCGACCTACTTATCTCTAGGCTGAATGTGGTCGAACAAACGACTTGGCTTTTTATAGGAATAACACAAAGCTTCTAGTGTTCTGGAAAAATTAACTCTTTATCATGTCGGGTCGCCGTCATAACCACCTTCACAGAAGGCAAGGTGATCGTGGTTGGGATGGATTCGTCAGTGGCGTTGAGAGTATTGCCAACGACTTCAACCCTTTTAAGCAGACGCCTACGGTACAGGCAAAGGCCGCCCAGCAATCGACAGTTGTTATGACTGTATACGAAACTCTGTCAGCAACCTTCGATGGTCCAATTGGTGGATATAGAACTTTGGGTCAAGATGAAGATGCTTCCGAGACTAAGCCTACAGTGACACCAACCCCGGTTGTACAGGCGAAACCAACCACCTCACCAACACAGGACCAAACTACAGCGGTAGCGGACTCGATCGCCAAGTCAGAGAACATAGCCTCGGCTACGAAGGGCGCTGAGAAGTCAGCTACCGAAGTCCTGCCCGGATCGATTATGGGCACCTCCTCTGTTGACATTAGTGGGCATTCGACACTAGCTCTCGCTACTAGCACTCCCACGACACTTGCGAAAGCGACTAAGAACCTCGAGACATCTCAAATTGCCGCGACCGATGCCGCAGTCACCTCCTCTCCGACGGCTACTGCTGAAGATTCCTCAGTGCCCGACACCAGCGGCGCAGCGAAAGCTGGCATCGCAATTGGAGTCCTTGGCGGTGTCCTGGTGGTCGGTCTACTTATCTGGTTCTTATTCGCTAAGCGCAGAAAGCAGCTTGAGCAACAGGAGATTGAGAATGAGAAGGCTAATATGAGCAATCGCCGCGTGTCGATTCTCTCGACCCAAACCAGTGCTACCGCACCGCAGCTTAGTCTAAGGCCTGTGACGGCCGAATTCCTGCCCACTTTCGGCGAACGACGGTCAAGCAAGGGGGCTGCTCTCGCACTTGCAACTGGCGGAGCAGCCTGGAAGCCTGAAAATGCCAATCGTTCTCCTTGGGAACAACACGGCTCTAGCAGTGCTAACAACCCCGAGAATCCCTTCGGCAACAACGCGGAGCGTGCTTACACGCCCACTGAGCAGCCATCAAATCCTTTTGACAACCCAGAGAACATTGTTGGTGTTGCTCAAACCACGAACTCGCCTCCTAGATCTTCACCAACTGCCGGTGCAGCTACTCTAGGCGCTGCTGCTGCGGGCACCTCTCTGATCCGAAAGGCTTCCACTCGAAAGGAAGCTCCTGCACCTCTCGATCTTACCGTACTTGCTGGACCTCCCAGTCCAGCCGAAACTGAATTCAGCGTTCATTCTGTTGCTCCTGGTCAATCGCCTGGTCCTTCCCGAAGCGCGGCAGCTATTTCAGCAGCTGGTGGTCCCCCGTCGACAGCTGTTCACCGCGTCCAACTAGACTTTAACCGGACTTTGGAGGATGAGATGGATCTGAAAGCTGGTCAACTTGTCAGGCTTTTGCATGAGTATGACGATGGCTGGGTAAGTTTTAAAATAGTGTATTTGTAACGTGATAGTAGCTAACCTGACCAGTCTCTTTGCATCCGACTCGACCGTTCGCAGCAGGGAGTCGTCCCCAGGACTTGCTTGTCAACTCGACCCGTGAAGCCCCGCCCAGCCGGTGGACCTCCTGGAGCTCGTCCCGGCCCGCCTGTTATCCCCAGTCCGCGTGGCCCACGTGGTCCCGGCCCGAACTACCCTCCTGGACAAAGAGCTATGACTCCCGGCAGCCGACCACAATCACCTATGTATCCTATGGCAGGTCGCCCCCAATCGCCTGCTTCTATGAGACCTCAGTCCCCTGCAACTGGACGTATGAGCCCATATGGAAGCCGTCCGGATTCTCCTTCAAATGGTCGGATGAGCCCAGGTCCTCAGTCCCCGGGATCGAGACAGCAGCGAAGGATGACCCCACCGGGACCCAGTCCGATGAACCCCAACGGTAGTCCTCCTCAACAGCAATACAGGGGCCCTCCTCAGGCACCTGTTGGCAGGAAGCCCGTTCCAGGTCAAGCATATTAAGGTGTAGCGTTTTGAACACCGGACAAATCAACTTGAATGGGAACCACAACTACTCAATATGGTCCTGGTTCTATTAAGAGGTATCCACCCGGATTATATACATATGGGGGTACCTCTATCGAACCATGGTTCATCAGTTACTCGACTATAGATCCTCGACTTTGACGAACCTTAATGAACTTGGGAATGATTTAATCTTCTCGACACTCGCTTGCGACTCTTCGCTTTACACTTGATACATTTCAAACCTTTGGTGTTTATTTCTGCATTTCTCTTACTTTCACTTCTGACTACCCCATGTTCATTTCGTCGTTTTCCGTCGAAAAGTTACAGCACCAACCACGATAGAGCATTACTCCAGTTTTACCTAGACGGGGTTACTGCATACTGCTCAGGTCGGGATAATCTGGTAATTTCTTGTCGATAATTTCTAGTTTTTGGGATGAGATTTACTCTCCCAATCAGCTTTGAGGCTGCGTATGGTCAGCATCTGTTGGCCTTACGTAGTATCTTTTGCTATTGCCGTCACGGGGGTCAACAGGCCGCTCTTATATTGGGCGATCTTTGCTGTTAGACCGTCGTGGCGTCTTCAATCTCTTTCCAGCCAGCCTTGGAAAAGAGCCAATTGGCAACTTTGGTACCTTCTCTTCATTTCAGCGGCACAATCCGGGATGATGAGCACGCCTGGTATCGGTATTAGGGGGGGAGAGCTGAATCAGGGTTGGCAATGGGGTTTGTCGATGTTGAGACGCCTATGAGTTAGCCAAGGTCTAGCTGGAGGATGACGATGGTGGATGGTAGTGGCTGGGGTGGGGGTGGGAGATATGTGATGTTGATGTTTTCTATGAAGAAAAATAGGTCATTACAAAATGTGCCTCTTCTGGGCTAGTTACGTTAGGGGGGCCCGGAGGTTCCCGTAGCTAGACTGCCTAGGTACTTAGGAAGTCGAATAAAGTGATGATTCACTAAACCTTTGAGATTTGCTTGAATGAGCCTTATTGCTGTGTAAGTCTGTTCAAGAGAATGTATGTCTAAAGGCATGGGTAAAAGTATGCAGGTGAAGTGAAAGTCTATTTTTCTTTTAGATCGCTAGTTGAGGCCACGGGAATTGGCATAGGTTCAAATATCAAAGAAATATGTGCCCTTATCTCACTGAGCTTGCTTGTCTCGAGGTGATATTTGTCACGTACTTTCCCGTTCTTAGTCCACGACTGTAGTATGGAGCAAGAACCAGTTTCAATTTATGAAGTGTAACTTGCCCTATAAATTCCCATGACGCAACGAATCCCTCGTCGTTCTTCCTCCTACCCCCTTCCACCCATCTGCATTTCCTAGTTTCGTGCGACATTCTGACCATCACCTTCCATCTCTCCCCGTTCCCATCGTACGATCTTTCGATTCATCTGCCATTGATACCCAGCACTGCGTCATCAAAGCCCAAACCTCCCTTCCTTCGTCGACACTGATGTCCCCACGACTTCCCCCTACCCCGTCGAGCGGCCGCACGGGTTCTCGTTCCCAGCACTATAATAACCTAGCAGTCCTCCCACTGAATCCTCTTTTCTTTTCCTTTCTTCTTCATATTATGCGCGCGATGGAAGAGGTAGCTCAGGAATTACTTCTTCCCCAGGGAGCCATTGCACGTCGTGCCTCTGGGTTACCGGCCTTGTACCCATTACAAGGTCGGGAGCATTCGCACAATTTTTGATATCCACTTGTTTTCGTTGATCTCCTCGCTCTAAGCAGGGTCTCGAAGAAGACGCGTGGACTGAGAGGGGGGGGCTGAAGGGGATGGGACGGGGATGACTGTAGTGTAGGTGATTGATGGAAGGGGAGGAATGATATATTTATATAGAGGGGGGATGGGGAGGTTGGTGTGCTAATGAAGTGATGGAAGTGATGGAAGTGATGGAAGTGATGGAAGTGATGGAAGTGATGGAAGTGATGGAAGTGATGGAGATTGAGATGAAGGGAATTTGCTTCGTCAGGCCATCGAGAGGATAGCCGCGCTCTGCTCCGGATTTGAAGAAATCCATCTCAGCTTCGGACAAAGTATGAGGAAAAGAGAAGAAAAGAATCCAGACACCTTGGGGGGTCGAGTGCCTTATATAGTCGTAGACGGGTAAGAGTTGTGGCGCTATGATGAATGCGATATCGCTGGCTTTGACCTTGTGAAAACTTAACTGCATTGAGTTGCGTATTAGTACGGGAGCAGAGCGAATGAGCGCTCTAGGTTTCATAAAGGATTATGTGTTTAATAGACAAGCTCGGAACTATAACTTAACACTGTCAAAAGGGGCTTCGAGCAGGATTTCTATTATCACGATCTTGACTCCTTTAAACAGCTAGGTTAGCCAAGTTCCGGAAGCATCATATTTAATATCACGAGACTCCTTAATAGCGTTCTCATCATTTGGCCCCGCCAAGCAATAGTCATTGCCTGCTTCGTTGCTTGGACGCTCTTGAAGATTTTCACAGCTGCTGATGGACGTTTTGCGTTTTCGAGGGAGTATGGCTATTATAGCCGATTCGAGTCGTAGATATAAAGTCAAGTTTGAGATGTGGTTGGTCCAGAACGATGGGATGACCGGCACGCAACTGATCATGATTGCTATAGAGCATTCGATAGTACTGAGACGATGGGTAAGCTATGGGCTCGTCGGGTTTCTAGGACTTTTATTGACATACGTGCTGAGCATTAAAGCATATGTAGATATTACTCCATTTCTGACAGCTTTTGACCGCCAGAACAATGAGACGCTACCTAAGGCTATTCCACTATAACACAATATTTATTAGCAGTTGGCAAGCATAAGAATCATCCTCAGTTCCGACTTACACAATCCCGGCCATGAATACAATTGCTAAGTTTATCTTTTTCCGACGTGGAAGATGTAACTTCATGATAATCGGGAACGGGATGAGGAAGAGTATTATATCGGTAGTCACTGCGACGATTCCGTTCCATAGTATAACATATGCATCCCACGTCAAACAGGTATCAACGACAGGACTATGCAATAGTTCTTTTCCAGCCGGATTGCAATAAGCACACAGTATTGACGAACCCACTATGAATTGCAAAAATGTCAAAACAATAGCAGAATAACATGCTATTCGAACCCACTTTATCGTCCCAAAGAGGCGAATATAGAGGAAAAATAAAGGGGCTTTAGCAAAAAATGTTAGGAATGATGCAATGATAGTCTGGGCCGTTTCCGCCTAGGCCAGGTTAGCAATCTTAACGGAGAGGTTGAAGTAAACATATCCGGCCGACTTACTGATAAATAGAAGGAGAAAGCTGCATTTAACGTTTCTGGATCTATTCTATATATTAGACCTGAAATCGACAAGGGCTTTTGAACATACCGGTTGTATAAAATTCATCTCTATAAACCGCGCTTGCATATGCCCTTACTACGAATATCCTCAGTACGAAGACGACGACTAACAGTACAATCGCAACTATGGATACGTCTAACACGTCCTTCGTTAGTATATGAAACTTGCGTACAAATTAACCTGGGTACCTAAGGTTATGGGTGAACGTACATTCTTCAATTAGAAACTTCTTTTCTTTCTCCCACGTATTCCATAAACGGATTGCGACGAAAAAGATACAGAGAAGGATCGAAACCACTCCTGTTCCAAGATATAACTCCAGCGATATACTGTCTAAGCTCGGGTCAGTGCGATCCATCGCAGGAGGTGATGGATGACCAGGTAGTATCTATGACCTTGAAGCTTGGTCAATCATAGAAGTGACCGGAGCGCCGATAGACTCTATATATTCTTCGAGCGGGGCACCCCTTTAGGACCCAATGCTTATGTCTCGCAGAGCGGTGGTAGTACTCGCATCTTCATTATTGGCTATGGTCAATCCTCGCCTCTTAAATACATCTGCATAGCTACGATGACTGATTGAGGTCCTCCATTCTCCCAATGAGGTCGTCGGATTTACCCTCCAATACTACACATCTGCTATGCATCATTTGAACGAAACTCTAAAAATAAATAATGCCTACCGTGTGTTGGTTGCGATTAGGTGTTTGAGCTATGTATAATGTACTGAGAAATTAATTGATATAGACGCTTAGCTGATCAGGAAATACGGAGAGCATTCTTGAGCCGTATCAAGACGGAAGTGAAATGTAATTTCAAAGGTATATCTGCTGAAATGAGTGACCAAGGAACTGCTGTTAGGCTTAGCATGAGGCATACTGGCGAGAATGTGTATATAAGTCAGACTTCCCCCTTTACTCATGAAGAATCTCAGCCAGGTGATTACCTACCTAAGGTATCTGAGGTAGGCTCTTGAAAGAAACATTGTACAAGGCTATCATTTATTATTAGCAATTTACTATGAATCTGGCCGTACTGAGTAGGATCTCGCGTTCATATAAGGGGACGTCTCTACTGTCTACTGTACGTATTATAGATCGAACCTAGAACTTAAATCGACACGATATTATTTACACTTAAAAATACGGCACCATTACATGACAGCCCGTACTCTCTCGTACGTAATATAATTATCCTGTCCTGGCTTCAAATTAAAATCTGGAATACTGACGATCGCTACACAAAACATCCCAAGATCCTACCTAATTCTTACAAAAGCAACCCGACAATTACACTCACAGCTTACTATTCTTCCACGCCGGCCTCCGCCTCTCGACGAAGCTCTTCACGCCCTCAACCGCATTATCCCCCTTCTCTATACGTCCATACCAGCCCTTAACCAGGATATCCGTCGCTTGCTCCGGCCCAAACCCCTCCCAGCCTAACTTCAACCCCTCGCGCGACACGATAACCGCATCGGGACTATTCCCCGCGATACGCCGCGCCCATTCTAGCGCCTTCGCCAGCACGGCTTTGCCATCGCCCTCCACGACTTCATTCACCAGGCCCCATGCCAGCATCTCCCTCGCGCCGTACTTCTTCCCGCTGAGCGCCATCTCCGAAGCCCGCTGCTTGCCTACGCTGCGCGCAAGTCGCGGCAGCGCGCCTGCCAGGGCGATGACCCCGATGGTAACCTCCGGAAGACTGAAACTCGCCGACGCCGCCGCGATGATCAAGTCGCAGTTAATCGCCATCTCCATGCCGCCGCCGAAGCAGATGCCATTAATAGCGCCGATGATAGGCTTGAGTCCGCCGCGGTTACTCATGCCGCCAAACCCACCGAGCGGGAAGCGCTTGTTCTTCAGACTGTGCTCCTCTGCCGACACCGCCGTATCCTCGGACGAAGAATTGATAGAATCCCATTCCTTCAAGTCTGCGCCCGCGCAGAAGGCCCTGCCGGAGCCGGTAATAACGGCGCAGCGTAGTGAGGGCTCGGCATCGTACCAGTCCCATAGGCGCTCGAGGGCGAAGTGCTGCGGGCGCGGAATCGCGTTGAGTTGTTGTGGGCGGTTAAGCGTTACGAGCAGGATGTGTGGGCCCGGAAAGGATATTAAGGTGTCTTTGACGTTGGGTGGTGGCGTTGTGAATGATTGGGGAGCCATGGTGGGTGTTTGAAAAGGAGGGCTGGGAAGTTGGCAAAATATGTTTCATACGCAAGAGACGAAGCGGATATTTATTTAGGTTAGATATATCCGTAGACGGGATGATGCAGGAAATAATAAGAGGTAAAGCGGTAAGTTAGATTATCGTTAGATTATCTTAAGGCCGTGTAATGCTCCCGACAAAAGGTATGAGATAATGTATGTTGAACAAAGTACCTATATTAAATGAGATGCAAATAAGATTATCTATATTGACTTCGCTCGGTTAGACTGGTAAGCGACTGGTAAGCTTGACATCTTATTAATTGATTCTCACCTTGAATTGCCTCGGCATTCCGTTGGACCCACAGTACTCCGCAAATCGCAAACCGGACCCGGACCACGGTTGTTACCCCTGACGGTCAAGCTCCGCACGCCACTTGCCTAGGTACTATCTACATATACTCAGTTATTCAAATTTGAAATTCAAGTTATTATTAAATAATCAAGTAAAGTACCTGGTAGCGCAAATATTCTTCGACGGACAGCTTTATTATATTCTGTATTACTGTAATACCTAGCTCTTAATATCCATAGAGCTATTATTTCTCATGGATATCATGCAGAATGAGCTTTTCCCGTCTGAAGACTATAGTTCATCCCCAACGATCCGGATATCCGAGGAGTATTCCCTTCGTTATGCTCCCTCCCCACACGCAGGCTATCTCAAACTGCGGGTTAGATATCCTCAATTACAAGACGAACTTTTGAACTTTTGAATTGTACAGTGGTTACCGACTCGAGGTATGGTGTTATTGTAAGGCACCGGGAAATCAAAGTACCTTCTCACCCTATGCAGAAAGACCACGCTTTTCACTCTCAGTAAAGAAAATAACCATCCTCCAAAGCTTCTTAACGAGGGCTTCGGCTTCATCATCCAATGCCTAAAAGTATAGTTAGCATATTGGCATATTAATTAAAAAATCGTAATATGATAAGTCACGTACCTCTGCCAATTCCTCCACCAGCTCCCCAGGTTTGGCGTGCTTCCGAAGATGCTCTTCTACAACCTCGATAAGAAGTTGCTCCTGGACACCTAGATACTCGACCAGTTTTTTCTCGACAAAGGGCCTGAGCTTCTCGCGAATAACGCTCTCGTCCAAGAAGTCCCACTTAACGTCCCACTCCCAGAGTCCTTCCTTTTCGTTTGGAATTTCTTGTGCTAATGCACGCACAGCCTGGTCACGTTCTTCATCGGACATGGCCGCAGCAGCAGCGGGCTCAAATTGAATTGGTATGAGTTGCCGCCTAGAAGTCGCATCCTCGTCCTCATCCTCGAGAAGACCCTCAACCTCGGCGATGGTCTTCCTTTGTGGCGCCGCACGTTGCGCTTGCGCCTTCTGCGCAGCTGCGCCGAGAGATAGCTTGAAGGGTTGAGGTGCTGTAATTCCGACCCTGCTAACTTGCCGTTGTTCCATCTCCTGAGCTTGCCTCTCGAGGAACGAATCAGCCATACCCCGGGCTTGCTCGCGCTCTGCCTCTTCCTTGACGCGTTCTTGCTCTTCTGCTTGTCGGTCTGTATCATCGGCTGCTATTTCTCTGGCTCTAAATGCAGTGCGATTCCTGATCCAAGCGCTCCGGTCCTTATAATAATCTTCCGACTTTCGTGATGCCTCCGCATCGTCATCGAAATGCTTGAGTCGCTGGAGCACTTTATCTCTGTTCTTAGCAAAGTCTTTTGCATCCGAGCCGTCGCGCTCCTTTTCTCGTTCTAGGGCAGCTGTGCGAGACTTCTCCCGATTCAACCATCTGCGCTCGGCGTCCAGATAGAGCTTCTCAGTCTCCGCATTTTGCTTAGCGATTCGACGACGCTCCAGTTCCTCATCACTGGCCGAATCGTCCTCGTCATCCCTGTTATAAGATTGACCACCATTTGTCGTGCCGCCGTTAATAAAATTAATTGACCTATTGTAATCCTTGCCCATATCAGACTTCTGCCCCTTAGGACCAGATGGCGCATTCGGCACACCGCGCGGTCCTAGCGGAATATTATTTGAATTAGAAGGCGGTGGTGACGCTAATCGAGAGGACCGAGATGCGCCATTCCTTTGACGTTCCATTGCCTCGAGTTCTTCCTCCCTCTTCAAGCGTTCCATATCTCGCCTAATACTTCGTTCTCTGAAAGCGGCGATTTCTGCAGCAACGGTCTCGCGCATCTCAGCTGGGATGTCGGCCAGTTCGTCCTCCTGTGCCAAGGGGATATTAACCACCTCAACATTCTCGCCGTTCTGAGCCGAGCTGTCACCCATGGCGACATCCCCATCCGCGTCTGCTCCAGGTCGCGAGGTAGGATAAAAGAGATTTTTTATGGTCTGCTTCAACGCACCTCTGGCAGCTTCCCGTCTTGCCTCTGCACCAGAGTCGTCAGGCCTGCTCTCCCTATACGCCTCTAGGTATTTTACCGAATTCTCATCTAGTTTAATTTGAAGGGTTGTTTTTTCGAAATTCGCGTATGAATCGTCGTCGTTCGCGGGCTCGTCTAATGGTACTTGCTTTTTCACGGGTACCTTGATATCTTTTAGGATCTCGGAGGCGAGCCAGAGGGACTCGATATCTTCGAACTGGGCAAAGCCAAAGGCCATTTCTTTCCCACCAGCATCGACAGCTCTATCCCAACGGCGCACCTTACCCACGGTGCTAAGAATCTTCTCCACACCCTCATTGCTACTAATTCCATCTGTGATCCCACTCACAAAGACAGTCCGCACAATTTCTTCTTTGCTAGGTGGGACTAACGCTTGCATATTCTCGCGGATGGCCTGTCGTGTTTGGTCTAGACCACGCTCCATCCCTATACCCGCTCTAGGACCAGCAGAGTTGGGGGTCTCGCTGTCCTTGCGACCTTGCATTCCAGGGGTTGGGGGTTTCGTGGAGGTACCGAGACGAATTACGGGGGCGTTAAAGTTGATATTAGGCATATTCGGAGGAGCTTGGAAATTGGATGGCAGACCGCTAGGTCGATTAGCTTGATTGATGTTGTGCTGCTGAACACCAGGTGGTGGCGCCATTCCTGGGGCAGACATGCCTGGAGGAGGTCCTGGTATAGATATCAGTATACGATAAATAGTGAAATGCTCGATTGCGACAGCAACTTACCTAGACCAGGAGCAGACGGAACACCTGGAGCACCGCTAGCTCCAGGATATGAACCGTATGTCGGAGGCGGGCCGAAGCCAGGCACTTGAGGTGAGTATCAAGTCAGCATTATTCTAGTCCTTACAATGACAGGGCATATCAAGTAAACATATTAAGCAGCTACTTACCTCCGCCGTAGGGATTATACGCCATAATAGAAATGTTGAATGCTACTAGATTTTGGTAGACGTAATAGAGGGGAGGTAGGAATTTAACCGAGTAGATCGGTGACAAGAGAGAGAGAGGTATGCGAATCGCAAAGCCTCGAATAATAGAAAAGATTGATAGGACGAAAATGTTTAGCAAGGGCGAAGTAGTTCGCGCGAGGTTTGAACGTTGACAAGGTTCTAGCTTAGATTAGTTAGTTTCCATATTACCTAGAGGTAAAAGTTCAAGCACAGCCACACGTGGGGCTCACCTTTTTTCAATCGTAACGTACTAGGTATAGTAGATACTTGGGTACTTAAGCATTACCTAATAAGGTACCTAGGTACATAGTAACGGTACGGCGGGCGCGGCAAATCATCGGCACTAGAGTCGCGGAAAAAAAGAGGACGGAGTCAAAGTGTGGATCCCATCAGAAAATCGTAATCGACCGCAATTAACGGAAGCTTTGCTTTCTCCAATCGCAACCACCGGAGGAAGTCCTTGGATCTCAAGTCTCAATCCCGAGACTTAGCCAAGTTCCGCAAAACTCTTACCGCAAAACTCTTAGGATGTAAGAACAAATTCAAGACACCAATTATATGCTACAACTTTCCTAATCTTTATATTTACAGGGCCGAGTTCTGTCGGATAGCGCAAGTCGCCGTTCGTTCAACATCACTCCTCCGAAGTTCTACGTCCAGATGGCAGCCATGCTCCTTTTCGGCCGTGTCTACTCCTTTAATACCGAGTATAAGACATATCTCAACCTCTCCGACTCTCCGGGAAAACAATGCCGGTAACAGCTCTCCTAAAGACTCTGCTCCTCCCGCCAGATCACCTCTAGCCCGCGCGCGGTATTCTTCTATTTGGGGCGATCCTTTTCCAAAACAAAACCAAGGCGACGATGAAATAAAAAAGCCAAATATCTCGGTATACGATGACCACTTCGCTCCCGAGATCGATTTCGAAACTGGCGAACTTAACAAGAATAAATTCCAAGAGGAACGACCAGCCCCTCCCCGTCCTGCATTGCGCCTTGTCCCACGAACTGGCCGTACTATTCATGTCACCAAAAATTCCGATGTAGCACGGTCATTTGCGCTTTTGTCCATCCACGTATCATCAAACAGGGTCCGACACGACTTGAACTCTCAGAGGTACCACGAGCGACCAGGTCTGAAGCGAAAGAGGCTCAAGAGTGAGAGATGGCAGAGGAGATTTCAAAAAGGGTTCAAGGCTTGTGTCAAGAGAGTCAGAGAGTTAACAAAACAGGGCTGGTAAATCCAGATCTTTCATATATAATTGTCCAGGTCGACTTGAATCGCATCATTCATGTCGCCAATTGTATAGATCTAGATATGTTGTACATTATGAGACCATGCTCTCAAAATTTCGAATGCATGACTGCATTAGATTAAGAAGCAAAAGTAGTAAAACTGCCATAGTAAAAAGGGCGGGGTTATACTTGTTTTATACGACAAAAACAGGTGTATCGACTATTCAATCTCGGCGTCTTGTCCAAGCAAGCATATAACCGGTGGTAAACAGCCCAAGGAAGAAGGTGCGCGTATCGGCGTTCAGGCGACGCGACCGGATTACAAGTAAGGTCTATTATATTTAATACCCGATGATGTTACAAGTTAATGGTGAATTTATAATGATTTTGTAAGAGGAATTGATATCTCTTGTTTACTTAGGAGACTATGGCACCTAGAAATAGATAAAATGTAACTCAGAGTCTAAGCACAGACGAAGACCAAGGACGCAAATCTATGAGATGCACTATGTAGAAACTAAATGTTTTCGACGTCTGCCTCTAGCTGGCTCTAGACGGGTCGTAAAACGCTAGATATTTCTACATAAAAGGAGAGTAGCGTAGACGCGTCAATGTATTTTAGAACCCAAAAATGCCAAAGGAACTTCACAGAAGTAGAATGTAGAAGCTATGAGAAGAAGAATAAGCGATGAGAAACAGTAGAGACCTTAGGATAAAGGAGCTGGGCTTCCGTTGCTGAAAGGGATTGTTTCCTCTGGAGATTTAACACATGCACAGAAAGGATTGTGAAAAGAGATAGAAAGTCACAAGAGTAAATTCTGAACGACCTACATTAGGCACAAGGACCCAATGCAACGCTCCGAAATGTATACACTTATAGAAGCAATAACTGCCGCTCTCCTGTGGATGGCCAGAGGGAGTAATAGCACACAAACTGATGCCAAAGTTGCAAGACTTGAAAGACAAGTCAGAAGAATACGACTAAGGCTTAATAAATACGAAAAGAAGTTCCAAAGAGAAGACCAAAATATCAAAGATATGAAAACGACCAAGCAAGAAATTGTGGCACTGCAGCAAACGTCCAGAAAAACAGAACGACAAGACAACAATAACCCTACAAATATACTATCACATGAAATAGAAGCGGGAACAATACAGCTAAAATCAATGGAGGAAGAATTAGTTGGCCTAAGACAAGAGCTGGACCAAGCAATTGTAGAATTAGAGAAGTTGCGAAAGCAGGAAAGTTTGCATCAAGAAGCTCTACAGCAAGAACAGATGGATTTCAGTGTAATGCTACAGAATGTTAAGAACACACTGAATAACGATATCCAATACTTGACCAAAAAGCTAAGCGTAGAAAAGGATAGGAAAAATGTACTTTTTCAACAAGTTCAAGAATTCCAGGGAACCATCCGCGTAATATGTCGTATCCGGCCGGAAGCTTCTGGTCAATTATTGGAATACAAAACAGAGACGGGATACTTCTACGACCACGCGACTAAGTTAGAAATCCAGGAAGAAGAGCTACGATATGAGTTTGAGCGGATATTTCTCCCCGAGGACACAAACGGTGATGTTTTCGACGAAATCAGCCACTTCGTACGATCGGCCCTTAAGGGGGAAAAGGCTTGTATATTCTGCTATGGTCAATCTGGTACCGGTAAGACATACACAATGAGTAATCTAGATAACGTCAAGGATCGAGAAGAAGGTGTCGATTACGAGAATGATGGTATTATCCCAAGGGTGACGACAATGATCTTCGGCGAGAAGAAAAGGCTCCACGAGCTTGGCACCGAGCTCGTGGTTAGTGCACGCTGTTTCGAGATATACGACGCGAATCTATGGTTAATACAAGCAGACGGGAGTAAGGAGAAACTACGGGCTATGACAAGCATCGTGAATGTAGACTTCCAGACTCTCGACTCGGCTAAGGACTTCAGCGCTTTAGTTAACGCAGGGATGAAAAACAGACACTTCGGAGCGACTGCTCTGAACAAGAGCTCGTCTCGGTCTCATTTCATCATTAGCCTCAAAATAGTCACCAAAATCGAAGGTCGTCATGGTAAACCACGCGAAGGCCTATTCAGCCTAGTAGATCTCGCGGGCTTCGAGAGGACCGAACAAGCAGAAACTAAAGGGAAAGCTTTCAGGGAAGGCAATAATATCAACCTATCACTAATGGCATTAAGAAGCAGATTAGACGCTCTTGCCAAGAATGGACCCGTAAACTTTAGAGAGAATGTACTCACGACGGTCATGGAGCCCTTTTTCGGCGAGGACAGCATGACACTCATGTTTGTTATGATTAGCCTTTTGAAGGATAACTGGCAGGCGACTAAGTGGACACTTGAGCTTGCGAAAATCGTAAGTTAGGAATGATTATGACTTGCTATTCTGTTTACTGTAAGTCGAAACACCCTTACTGGGGCCACCCTAGTAGGGGCCACCCATTTCCCATACAAAATCAACAATTTCGCATATTTATATTTAATTCAAGAAAATAGATAAAAATATACAGTTTTTAATTTTAAATAGAATATTATATTTTTATTATATATAAAAATTGAAAAAACGTTAGGGCTAATATCTGTGGTAAAATAAGTATAAGAATATATACTAACAGTTATATATATAAATTTATATATAAATCTATTAAGGGATATTATTGCTTATAATTTTACCAATTAATATAATATAAATATAAAATTAATATTATTAAATAAAAACCGTTTTAATATAACTTTTAAATTAAATATAAAATATATAACTTATTTATTTAAAAAATTTAATATTTAATTTTATATAAAAATTTTATTAAATTATTATAAAACCTTATAAACGTTTATAACTTTTTAAATAAATAAGTTATATATTTTATATTTAGTTTAAAAGTTATATTAAAACAATCTTTATTTAATAATATTAATTTTATATTTATATTATATTAATTGGTAAAATTATAAGCAATAATATCCCTTAACAGATTTACATATAAATTTATATATATAACTATTAATATATACTTTTATACTCATTTTACCACAAATATTAGCCCTAACGTTTTTTCAATTTTTATATATAATAAAAATATAATACTCTATTTAAAATTAAAGACCGTACATTTTTATCTATTTTTTTAAATTAAATATAAATATGCGAAATCGTTGATTTTGTATGGGAAATGGGTGGCCCCCACTAGGGTGGCCCCAGTAAGGGTGTTTCGACTTATATTAAGACGCTAACTACCTGTCATGATTTAGGCTCGAGTCGCGAAGAAACGAAACAGAGACAATGATCGTGCGGGAAGAAGGCAGCCAAACGTATCAGCAAGTACAGCTCAACTGCGAGGCAATAGATAAGAAAAAGTCGTCAGCAGTTTGGGGAAGGGGCAAGGAGATCTTGGTTCGAGTCCTCTCGGGCGTCTAATGCCAATACATGTTTACAAGATACATCTTGATAGGTATATTCACTTGGTGGACTATCATCCTTGGTCAGGGGTGGAAAGGGACAGCAAAGAAATGCCTCAAAACAACTGATCTCACCGGTATATCCTCAAGGTCGTACTTCTGCATACACCGATCCAGAGGCCCTTTGCCATTGCGCCAGGATGAATCGCCTTCCTCTCATGAGACGTGTATGCCGGGGTCGTGACAATCCCCGCCCACTCCTAGGAGCAGGTTTTACTTCTCAATGACGAGAACTTGATGAAGCCTCAAACTATGCCATGGCCACGGATGGATTCGCGGGCTATGATTGGGCTAGAGCGGGTCTACTCGTGCTTCTTCATACATCAATAAGGCCGCAAATGGCGTCTTGACTTTACTTACCGGCCCCTGACAATCATTGAACACGCTCAGATGAGCACTTTACTGATACGTGGCCCCCGTTTAGATCGTGCGTTTTACTCAACAAAGGATAACTGCAGGTGTATTAAGTCCGTGAGAATCGTACTGGACGCACCTTTGACGCCTTTTCTATGGGCCGCCACACCGCGCTCCCCTTGTCAGTTAACGTGTTTAAGCCCCCTTGCTGCGTACTTGCCGTGTTGCTTTTTGCGAGCAGTAGGTACATTCCGATTGGGATATCCCTAGGAGGCCAAGAGAGCTCCTCACGATAATTCCAGCGACCGCTTGGTTCCGTAGGAGGTGTCAGAAAATGAGCTCCGTGAATAGAATAGAAAGTTGATCGTTTACAACTTTCGGCAGCCCCTTGTCACCCTGGACCTGGTCATTTCATCTAATCTTTGTGGGAAGGGGTTGAGTGGTTTGTGGTGGAGGACAGGATATGCTGGAGACCGTTAAGCTCGAAGCCAGGTCGCTGGTACATTGGTTTGAATCAATAATTCTATGTGCAGATGCATGGTGCTTGGGTGGCTGCTGGGCACATTACAGGCTGGTCAGCAGGCTCCACCGGGTAAAGATAGATCAGCCAAAGCGTGTCACGGCAGTGATGCCCCCCCTGGAAGACACTGCCTACCGACTGTCACACTGCTCCTTGTGGGATCTAAAGCTTGAATGGCTTTGGCTTCCGGACAGCACGGAATTCCCGTGTTTTTCGCGCCCACTTGGATACATGGACTGCTTGAGCTTCCTCTTATAGTATTCACATCGTAATCTTTACTTGGGTAGCTAGCTTCACACCTAAAACATACCACATACCCATGGTAAGTACTGTCGAATAGTATTTGGATTATCGTATTAAAGACACTATCCAGTTACTTGGTTTGATATTTGCTGTGCAGAGAACGGGGTGTAAATATTGGCATTGTCATTATCTTAATTGACTATAACTACGTAATCGGAACTGTAGTTTCCTAGCATCTAGATATAAGACATAGTTTTATTTATAATAGTTAAAAGGAGTAAAGAGTGATGTGTCATTCCGTATGTGACGCAGTGGTGAAGTACCATATAATTGCCTTGTAACAAAAGCTGACGAGGGTTAGGTTTAGTTGCAACTTTGACGAAAAAGTCGAAGCCATTTGGTAAAAGCTATGACGAGATGTATCATTAATTACATATGCATAAAGACTACCTAGGTTGTACATTTATAACATATATTTATAAAGCAATCATGATATAAATATTCCGCTATCAAATATCAGCTCCGAGCGTGATAAGATGAGTTATTGTTATTGTATTAAAATTGTCAAAAGAGTGTGTATTCTGCCAAAAAAGTATAGAGTAAAAGCAATGAATTATCCTTTTAAGTGATTGTGTATAGGTAAGAATGCTTGTTTTTTTTCACTTGGTCTCTTTTACTAGTGATGTATTTGGATTCTTCCGTTCGTTTGCCGGTGCCCATGAGCACTTATTTAGGTGTGCTACTTCCAGAGGAAAATACCCGTATCCGCACTTCGTAGCTCGTGAGTGTAAGAAAAATATATATTTAGAACAACTAGGTTCTCTATCTAGGTATATGGGGTACGGATGAGCTTCAATTGGGAGTAGGATCAGTTGGGCTATACTACGTTGTACGTCATCATGATTCCGGTACTTCCGCCGAGTTCAAATACATTTTTAGAACAATTTCCTACTATTTACGGTAGCATACTTGGCAACTGGTAGCTCATAGTTATATTTAGTAGAAACCATTTCGCCAGAAATCGAGCCAATCCCCCCCCATCCACGTATGTTTGTCCAGGTATTTCTTAGGTCTCGGGCTCAATTGTGTATTAAATACAGGCTCTAGGGGATAGTATTATTCATATCGCGTCGGGTATCTCCTGATAATGATGAGGTCGTGGTGGGTGTAATATGGCTCGGGTGCTGGCATCAACTCGTGGCGGACGCAGTAAACAAAAGCACCTGAAGGAAACTTGGCAGTAAGTCTGGGTTGTTCTACGTGCTAGAATAGAATGGTTAACATGGCGAGAGATGTTGTCATACCTGTTGAAAATGGCGTCAAAGCCGCTTTCCTCACAGCTTGTCTGTATCTGAATAGTACATGGAAAGATTAGAGATATGGGGCAAAGTTGGATATAATAAAGGGTGATAGTCTAGAGAGCTAGTATGTCTGACGATAAAATTATTGTAGTGTTTGGACTATGTACGGATTACAGAGCTAACTGTTATGATTAATTCGCTTATTTCTGCTCTTTCAGTCAGGGCTATAGACCAAATATTATAGGCATGGCAATCCCACGACGCACGGATATGTGAAAGGGAAGTGGAGACTGGATATCATGTCGCCTACGAGAACTACAGCACTCTGTGCGCTATGTTTTTGATAAATCACGGTTATGCCTTCAAGGTAATATGGGGAACCTCACGTCATTATCAAACGTCAGAGCGTATACGACTGCAAATTCTCCGGAGGTCGGAAACAGTCCTCGGTCACCCTTAAAAACGTCAATATCTGGTTATGGTGGGAACGGCAAATACGACATAAGAGATCTCGATGAAGGCTCCGTTCCCTCGGGATGGGAGTTTGACGCGTGTCCGTTAAAGTACTTACATATCAGGTGCTAAATGGAGAACAGTTTTCGGCAGGGCTGAACATATGTTAGTTAATCGTTGAAAAGATGATGGTCTGAGCCCCTAGTAAATCATACTAGGTTAGGTATCATACTAAGTACTTTAGTTTTTTCTCTCTTCTTTGCAGCTTTTCGCGTGGCGACAGGGATAATGAAACAACACCATCACGAAAAGTGAGGCGGGAGAAATGAATTTGAGATATTGTTGGTCTTTAGAAGGGCGAGGATGCTCATATTAGTTCATGTTCGCCTAGAGTTAGCCCGAGAAAACGAATTTGGTGCTTTAATTGATATTTCCCGGAAAGCCGTGCCGTTGATACCGGCACCGAATAAACATAATGGGTCACTTTTGATCAATTTACATACGGATCTAACTATGGTAGACTGATTATTAATACACCTCTAAGCAGTTGGTAAGGCTGCTCACCAACCAACAAAGATCTATCCGGTGAAGTATAGCAAATATTGTACATTCTTCCGGTGTGATAGCTTGTAACCAATACAAAACCCGAACCTAGGTAAACTTCCTCTTGTGAACGCACAATCCAGATGTATACGTACGTAGGTAGATAGGAAACATTTGATGCCCCCTATACCTAGAACAGTCCAGACAACTTCCCACAGACCACCGAATCGTTTGACCGTGGAGCCACAAAATGTGATTACGTAGCGGCTATAGATTTAATGACAATGTCAACTCCAATAGCCAAGCCCTTTAGGTTGTTTGAAAGAAAGCTCTACGAATCCAGGCCAGCCTGGTCTGCCTTGCCATTACCGCAAAGGGTGCCGTAGGAACTATTCTTTCATACCCGTGGGGGCCACCAGGCCACACATGGAGCTCTGCTTGAACCCCGCCCTCCCATAATTTGGAGGCAAATGCTACAATTTCATCCCGGAATGGTTCCGCCGAAGCGCAGTCAAGGTATGTCGGCGGCAACCCGGAGAGATCCTGCCCTCGAGCGGGTGCTTCGTATTCAGTAACAGAGCTGCCCCCAGCGCGCTCACCGAGGAGGCAACGCCAGGCAAACCTGTTTAGAGTCGAATTATAAAACGGGCCGGTTGAAAACTGTTGGGACGAAACCTTTTCGTTCCTATCGTCGAGCATGGGGCATTCGAGAACAAGGCCACACAGCTTCGGGCCGCCTTTATCACGTGCCATCAATGCTGTAGCCGCTGCCAAACCGCCCCCAGCAGACGTGCCGTACAGCAGCAGGCGGCCAGGGTCGATGCCCAGTTCCGACAGGTGCTTACCAGCCCAGAGTAATGCAGCGTAACAGTCTTCTGCAGGCTGCGTGCCGGTATTCTCTGGCGCACGTCCGTACTCCACACTTATAGCGATGGCATTGAACTCCCTTGCCCATACGACACTAGTATCCAATCCCGCGAAACGATCTGCTGCAACTAAGGCGCCACCGTGGATATAGAAAACGCATGGATGCTGATCACCCGCTGCGGCCGCTGGCCGCACAACCGAGACCGTTAGATCCCTTCGAGGCCCAGGGATTGTGATGTCGTCGACTTGAACACTCTCGTCGGTAAGTAGAGCGTTCGTGAGAGGTTGAGTCCTCGCCGCCGCATCCTTCCTCAGCTTCTCAACCTCATACCTCTCGGGCGTGCCGCCTAGAGCTTTGACTATCGCGTCTATCTCAGCATCATAAGGTGGTCTTGGCAAGCGGTCAGCTGGCCCCGCCAAAACCTTGCGCATTCTGAGTGAGGCCGTAATATGCGTAGATAGTCCAACAAGTCCGGGGTAGCGTGGGGGTGAGGGCTTCCGTGTCGAGTTGAGACGCCCTTAAGAGAGTTTGGGTACTACGCGCCCAAGAAGTTACCGGTCGAGGAGACGGTTTGACATTTATATCGGAGCATTACATGCACAGGGGCTAGTTCGATGGCGACAAGCTAACCTAGCGTGTCCATTGCAAGTGCAAGGGATGGAGAACTAGCTGGAGACGCCCTAACCAATCGCGTGAAGCACAGCTGGGAAAATTTCCGGCAGTCGGTGAGGATCGTAGAGAAGGCGTCTTTGGAGATCGATTCCACAAAACACGGTTGGTTCATAGAGAACCGGCCAAGCGGATAGCGAAATAATTCGCACATCTCAAACCAGCTTACCATACGGTCAAGTTCAAATATAGCTTCCCACCGCGACTAATAGCTGAAACTTAGACCTGAATAAATGAGTGCTTCAGTTAAGTAAAGCTACTACTTTTGCCATTCTCCCGATGACTTAATTCGGTAGTTGGAAACTATGGTTGTCAGTAAGATTTAATCTAAGTGTTAATGCACTCTTTTTTTATCACTTGCTTAACGGCCATCTCCTATCTGTTCTCCAAAACGATTGATCATCTGCAAAGTGACAAGTCAGAATTTATGTGTCGGCGATAAAGATGGCGACAGAGTGAGGCCGACGGTGGAAATATGTATAGAAAAGGAAACAATTCTGTCTATGAGAAGTCCCGTGACGAGACTTATATGCATGCTGCATGCAAGCTGCAATCATCCATGGTTCAATACTCTTATATAGAAGCTATATTACAGAATAGAAGCTGCAAGAAGAAACCCGGACCCATGGAATTCAAGGAAGATGCATACTTACATACTTAAGCGGAGTGCATTAAAACATATATTTGTGTTTATAAGGTATAAGACAACTCTCTTATATCGGGGAGGGGTAGGGAATATGTAATGAAAGATCTTTCTTTTCAGACTCGTCATATTTCCAATTAAAAAGTAAAACAGATCTGATCCTATCTGCTCACCGATCTTAGCATAGGTATTCCCCAAACTATCCCCAGACGCCACTACCACATCGTAATCACACCATTACGATGGCAAGCCGTGGAGTCCCGAAGACGACCGAGGTGGTTCGAGGCGCACCTGTGAATATTGTTCTAAAAGCCGATCAGCGCACGGGCCGCCAAGTAAGCGGAACTGTTCGTGATGTTCTAACACGAGGTGACCACCATCGCGGTATCAAAGTTCGACTTACTGATGGTCGTATCGGGCGAGTCCAGAGCATGGGCACTACTTCATCAACATCAGGATCAAATGCTGTCTTCGATGATGTAGCATCAGGAAGCACGTCAATTATGGGTGGACCAGTCGATTTGGTGGAGGGGACTACTTCACAGCCACGTGCGCATCGCCCGCGTCATCGGGACGTAAGGCTAGAAGAGCCGCTTGATGTTCCACCTGATCAGGCTGACTTAGGTGCATATATTGTACCTTCGAGACGCAAGGGCAAGAATAAAGATGGTTCCAAGAAGACTGACCAGCCAGATGGGTCGGCCCGGGGTGACCAGTCCTTAAGGAGTAACGTGGTGGCAAATTCTACTACGGATGTAACATCGACCACGGTGACATGTCCAGTGTGTGGCGCGTTCGAAGGAGACGAGATGGCTGTGGCTCACCACGTGTCGGAACACTTTGAATAAACGAGTCCGCTGGCGAGCTTCTAGACAAGATTTGGTGTTGGTTAACTCGATGGCCATACGAAGCCAAATACCGATCAAAGAAGGGATTAACCTAGTTAGGATGTTCTATATAAACCGTAGCAGGGTGATCCTAGAATACGCTACATGCCATGGTAGAGTTCATTCTCGTGGCCCCTTGGCTCGGTCTGCTCTTCCGCAATCGGTATCCTACTCGATTACCAGCTTTCATCATGGTCATAAGCATCTAGCCAGCAATGTGCTCATATTAATCATTTCCGACAATGGTGACCTCAAGGTCATCTCTACTAAAGAGAAAGATGCCATCAGGGTGCCCAAACCACCATCAAGGTTCTCCTACCTGGTCCTTTATAGCCCCCAGTCAAGTCTATGGATTTTCTACTACTATATTCTCATAACACCGAGGGTACCTAAATATGACTGATAGAGAGATGAGTAATATACGGGTTCACGACGTTGTCATTGTCGGCGCTGGACCCTGCGGCCTTGCCGTTGCAGCGCGATTGTCCGAACGCATGCCGGCGGCGAACTTCTCAGACGATGAACATCAAAGGTACCATTGGATTAGGAAACACCGAAATCAAGCCAGCATCAAAAACTACAAGACGGGATTCGAGACACGTCGGATGTCGTCTACCGCTTCACCAGGCAGTGCGGGCCTAGATCTTCTAGTGCTCGACGCTACAGATAACTGTTGGATGGCACGATGGGATACCTTATTTAAGACCTTCGATATATCTCACCTCCGAAGTCCGATGTTTTTCCATGTCGACCCAGCCGAACGAGATGGTCTGCTGGCATTTACATATAGAAATGACAGAGGGAGTGAACTCACAGAGCTTCGAGGCTGTGTCGGGAAGGAATTGAGTAAGCATCAAAGAAAGAAGAGGGAGAGGGCCGGAAGAATGTAAGCCTTTCTATTCAAGTTCGAATGTTGACATGAGCTTAAATATGAGAGACCACGGACAGAACCCACTGTTGACGAGCGTGATCGAAACGATTATTTCGTTCCTTCGACACCCCTTTTCGCTTCGCATTGCGGATGTCTTATGGATCGCTATGGATTACGCGACAATATCGTAAGCCATGAAAAAGTAGACGACATTCGCTACGGCTACCTCGAAGACGTCTCCGAAGCCGACAAGGTCTTCACTGTCCAAACAGATAGGGGTATCCATTACGCAAAGACCGTGGTGTTGGCCGTGGGTGGTAACCCACCCCAGATCCCTGGCAATATCTCGGAGGGAGCGGAGGGAGCAACTCACGCCATGCATATTAAGGAATTTCCGTCTTCTCATGTTAGAGCGAAACTGAAAACCAGATCCTGTGTTAACATCGTGATTGTCGGAGGCGGGTTGACCTCGGCTCAATTGTCTGACCTGGCTATACGTCGCGGTGTAAACAAGGTGTGGTTGTTGATGCGTGGACCCCTTAAAGTGAAATATTTCGATATAGGGCTCGAATGGGTGGGCAAGTTCCGAAACTTCGAGCAAGCCGCCTTCTGGACATCCGATTCCGCTGAGGAGCGATGGGAGAAGATAATGACTGCTCGGAACGGAGGTAGCATTACGCCTGCATACAGGAAAGTCCTCGAGCGGCATATCTCTACTGGTCGGTTTTCTTTACTACAGAACACTACGATTAAAGATAAGAGTTGGGACCCGTGCTCCAAAACTTGGACGGTGTCGCTGTCGGACGAGAGTCAAGAACTCCCTCGAATCGACCATATCTACTTCGCAACTGGCGTTCAGGGTAATTTCGAATGCCTTCCCTTCTTGAAGTCAATGTGCTTCGATTATCCTATTGAGAACTGCGGGGGTATGCCTTGTATTACGGAGAATATGGCGGTAGGCTTTTTCTAGATTTGTTGTTTACCCCTGAAAGCCTCTTTGGGGGTTCTGGTGGTTGTTACCGATGTTCTCTAGTCTGTATCTATCTGTGCTCTTTTCTACTCTAGTTGTATAACACGGCTAACTCGGAATATTGCAGTGGAGAGATGACGTCCCCATGTTCCTAGCCGGCAGACTTGCCGCGTTGCAGCTTGGACCTGGCGCACCGAACCTAATCGGCGCTAGAATTGGAGCTGAAAGAATCGCTTGGTCCATCCAAGATATCCTAGGTGCTGGGGACTGTGGGAACAATATTGACTCTAGCAAGGGTGAGTTTGATTACCTTACTGGAAGAGGTAGTCGCTTTGATGCCTTAAGTGAGGGCGTATGAATGTTGAGTTAATGTTAAATTAACCACATGATTCAAAGGTATCTAGTAATGCCATAAGTGCCATTGTCTAATATATGCAGTAGTTGATTAATCCGACGCTAATGCTTGCTTCAAGGCTAACGAAGCCATGGACCTTCGCATAAATGCGGATGATGGCAACGGCGGCGTTGGTGCGTTCAGCGAAGACATTCTCAAAATTGAAATTGGTGGCCCTGAATACTGATTCAGCCAATAGAAAACCCATCTCACCGTTATTGACGTTCCCGAGATATTTCAGGTCCCAACGTGCTACGAACCTCTTTCGGGCGGCAGATATGGTCGTAGATTGATACCTAAAGAATGAATGATTTGATACACAAGAAAATCCATCCCTCTTATACTCGTTCTCTTGTTAGTGTATTATTTATTCATGAGTCGCTTAAATCGATCTCTAGAACTCTGACTTCACAGACCTCCTTGAATCCATAGAGTCGATATTAATAATGACATTTGCTTCTGTATGCGACCCAAGACATGACCCTTAGGTTGCATTCTTCATTGGATCCTAACAGCAATTTATCCGTGCCCACTACTATAACAGCTCGTATGGTGTCACTTTACTACCATATAATCGCAAAACAAATCCTGAAATGCAATCCTTATCTTACTATCGTACCTCGTCGCCTCTCTAGATATGGATACAAACTCGCTTTTCCAATCCAGCTTTCACGTTTGCATCATTGGAGGGGGTGTCGTGGGTCTCACTGGTAGTATCCTCTTGCGCCAACAAGGCCTCAAGGTGACTGTTCTTGAAAGGGATATGGCATTACATACTGTAAGTACTAAGTGGCGACAGTTTCTTTTCGTAATTACTGAATATCCATGTTTTAGACCGGAGCTGGAATCCAGCTGCACCCGAATGCCGTGCGTGTGCTACAGAATATGAACGTTTACGAGAAGATTAGGTCGAAGTCTATCATCCCACCATCTATTATTCTGAAAGACTACAAGACCGGTCAAGTACTTCATGCCCAGGATTTACTAGAGCCGGCAAAGAAGTATGGCGCGCCTCTTCTCACTCTGCATCGTGCACATCTGCGCGAGTTGCTTTACGACGAAGCGCTGAGCTACGGTGTTGAGATTAGGCACGGCGTTCACATCAATGTCGCCGACATAAACCTAGAGAAAGGTGAAGTGAAGCTATCGGATCCTCTTGAGACGTTCGAGGCAGACCTTATTATCGGCGCGGATGGTGCGCAATCTGTGGTTCGCGAAGCTTTGAACGGACATAAGGAAGAGGCTACCCCTCATGGCAAAATCGTGAACCGTATCCTGGTTGAAGAGGCTGTTATTATAAAAATTCTATACCTGACGTCACGGACAACACTACTCTTAAAGCATATACATTCCAAGTCCATATAGCGCCTTTGTTACAATTTTATTAAAAGGAATAAGAAAAGGCGCGAGTGTAACGAGCTTCAGATGATTGCTTATATAACGATGTATCATCACCAGGATCGCATCTAAGACATACGTTACTCCAACTTCCTTTCGGTTCTCACCGGTGAGCATTCGATTTGCCAAAGTTATCAGAAAAAGAGTTAAGACCAGTTCTGATATTATGCATAACCAAGAGCCAATAGCTAACAAATTTAATATTAAGTTAGTACTTACCGATGTGTCTTTCGGACTTGGCACTTTTTTTTGTATCTTCTATCTTATAACTATACCTTAAGTATGTATTGTTACGTTATAAGGTCAGTATCCGGAATTCCAGGCAAACAAAGACATTTTTTTAATCTTGGCTTATACTTAGGTGATAACATTAAGTCTAACTATTAGAAGCTATTTCACATGTCTAACCCTTACTTCAACCCGAACTACAACCCATACTCTCAGCCTGTGTTAATCGGCACTGGTATCCTTTTCATTTTTATACCTATTCTTTCGGTCGGATTTAGGTTCTACGCGCGATCTATAAGCTCGGCAAAACTGGGCATTGACGACTGGATCACTATCCCGTCAATGGTTATCTGTATTGTGCTGTCAATAATTCAAATCATCGGTATATCGTCAATTGGAGGAGTGTAACTACAGGCACTCAAGACTAACTGTTATCAAACAGCAACCACAGTCGGCGGTCTCGGCACCCATCAAATACTTGTGAACGGTCAGATCGTGCATACCGAGCAGCTATATGTATTTGAGAAAACGAGGTATGCCTACCAGCTCCTTGGGACAATTGGCCTTTGGGTCATCAAGCTCTCAGTGCTCCTTTTTTACCGGAGAATATTCTCGATCCGAGCTTTTCGCATGGTGAATAATGTCTTCATCGGCCTGACGACTGCTTGGGGTATTGCTTTTACCTTTATGGTTGCTTTCCAGTGTGTGCCAGTGTCGACTTTCTGGGACAAATTTGAGATAGAATATGGCGCGGCTTGCATCAAGGTCCAGCCATTCTACCTTTCTCTAGCCATCTCAGATCTAATCTTAGATGCATCTATTTTCGTCATACCTATGCCACATGTTCATCGGCTCAAGATGCCTTGGAAACAGAAGATTGCCGTTGCGGGGATATTTTTGCTCGGATCCGTGTAAGTTAGGTCATATTCTCTTACTCTAGAAAAGGCCGTATTGATCCACAACAACTCCCTTTCCTTCTCGAAGCGTATATTGTAGTTAACCGTAACAGGGTTGTTGCTATAGGCATCACGCGCGCCGTTATTTTCGGATGGGTGATATCTTTTACAACAGCCCAGCCTGTTGTGTACTTCTCAGATATCACTTGGTACACGTCTGGTACGCTATTCTGGCACTTGGTTGAGAATGTTGTTGGTTTGCTCGGTTGTTGTTTACCCATATATGCACCAGTATTTAAAAGGTTAACACAAAAGTAAAAAACAATAAACGTATTTAAAAACTTATTAAATTTTATAATAAAAGTATTAATTTAGTTTAAATATTATCACGAGGCTGAAACCAAAAGGTGCCATTGAATGAAGATGATATTCTAGGAACCCAGAAGATCAGATCCTTGCAGCGAACCTGCAGGGTCTGTATACCTATATTAGGTACACAAAGGCTGAAAGCCGTGACTCAGGTCCTGAGTCAAGATGTCATCTCGCTTCACCAAACAACATCGTAACTACCAACCGTGACAAATATTATAATATATTTTAATAAATTAAAAATTTGATAATTTTAAATAAATAAAACCTTTTAATTATTAATTAACTGTGACACCATTAAAATGTATTTTCGTAATATCTTTTATTTTATTTCTTTTTATATATAATATCAGTTAAATATACAGTATTTAACACTTCTCGATATTATATACAAGTATCTCACCCCTTACTCCAAATGTTGTCCTACTACACGTCTCTCCTCACGAATACTTAATAATTGCATATTATTTGTCATATGTTGGGCTTTGTTCTCTCCACCGCACTCTCATTCCGCGCATCTTCACTTCCCTTATTTTAGCCCCCAAATAATCCTCACATATTTTCGGGATTACTTTCTCCTAACTCGTCCCTCTCTACATCTATCTTTGCGCAACTATGGCTTGTGTTGCCTTCCTCTCGTCTTTGCTGCCCAAGCTATCGCCGGAGTCGAAGGTTTTGAGAGATACGGAGTCTTCCGACTTTCAATCCTCCATGAGACGCTGGTCAAACCACAAGCTAAAGGTACCGTTTGCTATTGTCCAACCCGCGAACGAGAATGACATCGTGCATACTGTACGGGAGGCTATATCGGCTTCTGTCCCTTTCGTTACGGCCTCAGGTGGGCATAGTCAATGGTCATCTATTGACCAGAACGGAATCATCATCGATCTAAGCCGATACAAGGGTGTTTCTGTTGATGCAGACAACAATCTCGCCACGGTCAGAGGCGGTACTCGGATGAAGGAATTTCAGATTGCGCTACACCCTCACAAGCAATTCGCGGGTATGGAATAGAAAAACGAAATATCCATTCTCCCCACTTAGCATATACTTACGTTAATATTAGCTGTTGCAAATGGTAACACTGTCGGCGTAATTCCCTACTACCTCGGCGGTGGTATTAGCACTTACACCCCGTTCATCGGTTACGGTAGTGAAAATATTGTCGCTGCCAAACTCATAAACTCCAACGGTGAGCTAGTAGAAGTCTCAGAAAGACAAGATCCAGAGCTTCTCTGGGGAGTCTGCGGTGCCGGCCAATTTTTTGGCTTGGTCACGGAGCTCACTATCAGGACCAAGCCGTACTCGTTACTTGGGAACGAAGACGGACAACGCATGTGTGGAACGTATATTTTCCCTATGCAGAGCTTCGACCTTGTCTGCGTCGCTTTGGAGACTATTATGAATAGCACAGAATATATATCATCGGGTCATATCATGATCGTCCAGGCGCCTGCAGACTTAAAGCAGCAAGTGCTGTTGGTTGCACCTCAAGCCTTTTGCTCAGCCACCGAAGCTGCCAAACTCTTCCAACCACTAGTCGACCTCAGTCCGGTCCAGCAGATGTTATTTCCGTCTACATTTGACAAGCACAGCGACCACCTGGACTGGGTCTGCGCCGAAGGCGATTTCAAACGATTCAGCCAGGTGGGTCTAACTGGCTGGAGTACTGGGAACTTTAAGCGTCTTGCAGAGCTTCATTCCGAGCTTGTTGAGAACTGCACAGACGCAGCGCGCTCAGGATACACGGTTGAATGGCATAGTCCATGCCGGGCTAAGAGAGAGCTGAAATGTTCATTCGGCAACGAGAACGTAGAGTACTGGCTGTAAGTTTATACGGAATCTCACCCTAGTGTGCTGGAATCAGGGTTTTCTGACCTTTGCTAGTAACGTTCTGAGCTGGTATACAGATGCCGCCAACCACAAGTTCGTAGATATGATGGAACACAAGGCGGAAGCTGTCATGCGTGAGGGTACTGAAGAGGAAGCGTTCGTCTCCTATACCAATACAAACCGTGAAGATCCTATAGAGTACCGCTACAAAGGTACCAGCACCGTAAGTAGACTTGAGTCATTGAAGAAGCGCGTTGATCCTACCGGCATCTTCACAGGGGAGCTCTTGTAAGTACCTAGATAGCAAGTAAACAATGCTTAGGCTTCTCCTAGGGTTTGAATGTGCAGATATGCTTAACTGCATGTATTTATCTACCTACCTACCTAGGTTCCTAAACTAATGAGTATCTACAAGATACCTAATGTATGTAGGCAGGTGGCGGTGAATGCAGAGATATGTAACACCATGTATGTCTTCCAGTTACATATTTTAGGTACCTACCTTGGATAGGTAAGCACCTTGATGTCTCTTGTAACTGAAAGTATATACCTTGGGTTAGGTACGAATGAAAATGTCCTAGGTTAGGCGAATATTGTTGGAGGGTAGATACTACCACCTTCCTGTCACCTTGCATGCATGCACTCAACCAACATTTAATTATGCATGGCCACCAACAGGGGGGTCCGGTATCACTCATAACGGACCAAGGATCTTGATACAAAAAAGTTATGGAATAGCACCGTTCGCTCTAAGGTTTACCTAACATCTAAAGCTGTTCGCACAATGTCCTCCACGCTTACGTTTCTCTCCGTCATATGGTACCAATTAACATTCAATCCGAAGCCGCCGCCTCCAGAAATAAAGGCTGAAGGGGAGACAGCCATTGTGACAGGGTCAAATGTAGGTCTCGGGTTTGAAGCAGCAAAGCAACTTGCGAGCCGCGGACTCGCTCGCCTCATCCTCGCCGTTCGGGATATATCGAAGGGCGAAGTAGCTAAAGCTGCTATTTCGCGCGAGAACCCCAAATGCCAGATCGAAGTGTGGCAACTAGACCAAGACTCATGGGACAGCATGAGTGCGTTTGCTCGAAAGGCGCAGAGCCTTGACCGTCTTGATATCCTTCTTTTGAATGCAGGCATGAAACGGCTGGAGTACACAAGGTCGCCTGCTGGCCACGAGACGCACATACAGGTAAGAAAGCCACTCTACAAGATTGTCAAATAGGAGCATAAAGCACGTCAGACATTCTTCCTTGCTATCTACCTTTCATACGTCATAATATCGTAGGCCTATAGAGGCAATGTCTTGAAAGAATACGTCTACGTAGCCATAAATCGATTAACACTCATAGGTGAACCACCTCAGCACAGCACTTCTCTCCTTGCTTCTTCTTGCCCCACTGCGCAAAACTGCTGCCATCACCGGCAAGCCCTCTCGCATGACCATCACGGCATCGATCCTCGCTTTTATAGCAGCCGTAGATGGCATCACGCATCCGAAAGCTGAAATTATTCCAACCCTCGACGACCCTGTCTCGTTCAAACCGGGTGTGGATCGGTACTGCCTCTCGAAGCTCCTGAACATTCTATGGACGCGCGAGCTGGCCAAGCACGTAGACGCGAAAGAACTCGTCATCAATATGTGCAATCCGGGATGGTGCATGAGCGAGTTTCACCGGGAGGATCCCGGTGCCGCAGCAGCGGGGAAGTACCTCGGATGGAGTTCGGAACAGGGTGCTCATCTGCTGGTTGATGCCGCGTTGCAGCACCCGGAGAGTCACGGAGAATATCTGAGTGAACAGAGGGTTCGATCGTAAGCCATCGCTCCCCGCCTCCTGACACATTCTCAGAGTCTTAAGAGACTAACAAAAGGTAGAGTCTCAGGATTTGTTCTTTCAGCTCAAGGACAAGTTGCACAGAAGCGAATTTGGGATGAGACTTTGGCATTACTTCGAGAAGTGGTGGGACAAGATCATCCGATCATCCGTTCTGATAGACTGTTTCTTTAAACTACTATTGTGTCTTTCTTTTTTTCTTTTTCGGAAGAGTGATGCTAATTGCAGATTTCAAAAGCCAGCTACATGCACCTATTCCGTGGGGTAATCTGTATGGAAGGCTGTCATGGTACTCTGTAACTAGCATCACTCTATTGGAAATCCCTTAATTTCCCTAAATTTACTCGGAAAAACCCTCGATCTACCTCTAAAGATCAAGGCTATGTTGTAGTTAAATTGAGTAACATAGGAAGTGTCGCTGTTTCCATAATACTCTATTTTACTAATAGAATTGCCCCGGCCATTGTCCCAGGGTATCCCACCATCAATACACCAGAAAGGAATAGAAAACAAGAGATGGTTCTTCTGCCAGGACTTAGTCGACTTTATAAGGTAAAGTTGTAGTACCTCGTCAAAGGTACCGTTGCGTGGAGTTGATAACTACCTAGGCAGTCTTGTAAATGTGAGTTGATCTAGCGGATGTATAGTAGTCGTGAAGAACCTACACTGAAGATAGATGCAGACTAATTTTCGCCTGGGGAGCATGCCACATACGTACATATACCAAGTGCGACTAGTTAATCGATGATAAACCAAGCAGGTTGTCAAACAAATTGGCGTTCCAATATTCCCTCTGAGGATCGCTCCGCCGAGTGTTCGTTTTCTTCATCAGGGAAAGATCCTAATGTCTCGTAAGCCGCGGTGTTCATGCTTGACCACCCCCGTAGGTGATTTTAGTCTCTTTGGACTTCATGGCTTTCAGCTGGAGGTGATAATTGAGATCCACTGAGGTAAGATCGTCAAAAGTTGCGACGGTGGTGTCTCCACGCGCTGAGCTTCGTGCCCCAGATCGATATATGTTATGGATGAACTTACGCATCCCTGATAAACCTGTATCGCTCTGTACGGATGGAATATGAGGTGCTACGTTGTCACTGGGCGTAAGATTCGGGGAACTCTCGTTTGAACTCTGGTGATGGCTGCGCCGTTCCCGAATCCAGGAACGTACGGATTTACTAAGGTTCGTGAAGCGGCCTACGAACTGGACAAAGATGATTGGCAACGAAAGGCAAATGAGACCAACGTTGATCTCAACAATACTATCATATTTCAAATTAGTATCAATGCACCACAACCGGCGCTAAAGCTTTATGATAGTTGGGATAATCATGGATGATAGCTATTTTTCTTACCTAGTAGCGTACACAGGGACTATAGTCCAGGAGAAATCTGATAGATCGAATAGCTTCTTGTCTTGTCGGATGATCAGACTGGCCAATGCAGCACCAGTAGCACTACAAGTAAACCTTAGCAGAATTATTATCTTGATTTAGGGATCGCTTACAGTAAACCTGTGAGAAAGACTAAGCTGACGCCTACCTTTCTCCTTGGGGAAAGGCCTAGGCTTGGTATCTGATGGAGGGGGATGAACCAGACGTAAAAGTCTGTAATCACAGAAAAATAAGCGGCGGCGGTTCTTAGATTAATCGATATTGGATAGCATCGATCAATGAGAGACGGGGCGATCCAATCGCCGTGCTCACTTGGCCAAGGGGAGCATGCAACAAGGGGAACGACAACGTTAACGACGCAAAAGGTGATCACCACACTTATACCAGCCCATACCATGAATCTTACATAGCTCACGGGGCGGAATAGCCGAAGGTAGAACACTAGGAAACCGACCTTAGTTGTAGTATGGGCAATGCGAAAAAGAACGTAGTCGGCCAGGGCACCCTTCAAATAGACTAGTGTGAGTGTTGCGGATTTAATACCTAGGTATGTAAGGGAAAAGACTCACTTTCTCGTACTCAATGTAATGCGAAATTGGTACATCCCAGAAATGGATTCCTATTATACCACCACCTGGCTTCCAGAGAACTGTAACATATTTTTATCTTAGTAGGTACCCAATATTAAAACGCGGTTCGCTATGAAACTGAGGATTGGAAAACGTACGTTTAAGGATCAAGGCAGAGTAAGATAAAGTAAGAATCTAAATCATTTGTTGTATTAGTATCGTTACTTGATATTTCCATCTCAAGTCCAGTATAAGCCGTTAGTTGCAAATAGGGAATCCTAACCGTCGCAGCAATACAGATCCCTGAACAAATAGATGAGTTAGACTGAGAAAGTGATCATGAGTGGAAGGCGTTGAAGCTTACAATCATCGGCGCCGAACGAGCGGGTTATCCTCAGACGGGAGTATATACGCAAAGAACCAACTATAAAGACAATAGGGGAGAGTACAGCTATTAGAATGTATAGCTGATGGGACCTTGATTCGGGATCGGTGAAGTTAGGCTCTCGCCCTGGAGGCGGGTCTACGGATGGGGTGCGATCAAGATATCCAGGATCCATATTAATTGGTATGGTTGATATAGCCGGTATAGAGAAAAGACGATTCCAAGCTAGAATACAGATTGATGAAGTTGTAAACTACCTAGTCAAGGAAATAGAAAAAAATGCGCATTATTAAATGATTATGGTTGTGATATATATGTAGAAAAGGTCTATGACGATGATAGTTAAAAAGAAAAGTGATCTACTTGCAAATTACCGTGTTAAGCCTTTTAAACAAAGAGTAATACGGTGGACGGTTAAGACATACGTATTATTTAAGCTGTAAGTCTTAAAATAGTCTCACTCTGATGCAGATGAGTAAGTCAAAGCATCCTTACGGGGGCCACCCTAATGGAGGCCACCTCAAATTTTTAAACCTTTAAAACAAATATTTTAATTTTAATTTAACATTATTTAATTAAATTAAATTTAATTAATTTATAATTTATTATATTTTAATAATAATATAATCTTCTACTATCGACTTAATTGATAAGGTTTTATTTTCTAAATTGGTATTAAAATTGTTAATTATAACTATATTACCTAATTTTTAGGCCTTTAATTATTTTTTCTTTTTTATAATAACTTTAATATTTACAAATGTTAAATTTGGGTTAGATAATATTTTATACCATTTTTGCGGTTTTATATTTATTAATATTTTTTTTAAATATTTAGTATAAGCTTTTGTTATAGTTAATTTTATAATAATTTTATTAAAAACCTTATTAATTTTATTAAATAAAAGTTTTACCGCAAATTTAACAAATATTATATTAATTTTAAATAATTCTTTAGTTAAAATATTAATATTTCGTAAACTTAAAAGTATTGTTAAAAGAATTAAGGTTATATTTTTGATAAAATTAAGCTTTTTTAGGTTAGAAATAAAGCCTAGGGAAATTGGGATAGTATTGGAAGTTTTTTAAAATATAAGTTAGTAATTTAATAGCTTATTCTAATTTTTAAGATAGATTTTCGTAGCCTTTTAACTAGTTAATATATTATATTTGGTTAAATGTTTTTTTTATGTTATTTAATAAGTTATAATAAATTTTTTTTTACCAAAATTAAAAATATAATATAATTGGTATATTTTAATAAATTTATAATAATAATTTTATTTTATTAATAAGAATATACCTACGTTAGTAATTTATAAAACGTACAATAAATATATCGAAATAAAAATAACGTAAATTTTATTTATAAAGTATTCCTAAAAGAATTTTATTATGGTATGGTTATTATAATTGTTAAAGATTAATAATTATTATTATTAACAATTTAATAGTTTCGTTTTTTTTAAAAAAATTTTACGAAATTATTTAAATATAATATTATTATTAGTTTAATTATTAAGAAATATAATGAATTTTTAATTTTTAAATTTAACGTTTTTATTATTAGGAAATTATTATTATTATATATATTTATTTATATATATAATAAAGGAATTTAGAAATTAACTATTACTATTAACATATTTAATAATTAATGTTTAAATCTTATTATTATAATTTTTAATTATAATATGTTTTTTATAAATCTTGTTAATAATTATTCCGTTATTTCTAACCCTTTTTATAATTTTTATTTTATTAATATTATATATATACCTAGTCGGGATATTTTTAATTTTAAAGGTTTTAAATTGGTTAAAAAAAATATTAATATTATTAGTTATAATTCCGTTAACTTATTTATAATTAATTAAATAAACCCTAACCAATTTAATATTAAAATAATAAAATAAAAAATATATATACCAATATTTATTAAAAATATTAGGTTAATAATTATAGATTAATAATCTTCTCGCAATATTTTTAAATTAATATAAAAAAAACGCATAACCAATACAGTTTAATATAACAACCTAATCAACTAATTTTTTTTTTTAATACTTCAATAATTTTTAACGTTTCTCTAAATAATCGTTTTATATTCTACAACCTAATATTTGATTTATAAAATAATATTATAATATAAAATATTTTTTAAACGCTTACCGTAAGGATACGCCGTCGAAAACATTATTTATTGCCGCAATACAACGCAATTAGGCTAAAAAAATAAGTATTTTAAAATTGTAAAAAAATAAAGATTTAAATAATAAGTTTTATTTTTTAATTAACTAAAAACTAATAAAATTATATAATAATTCGTATATAAACCTCATCGCGAACGCGTTGCATTTTTGAGGTGGCCCCTACTAGGGTGGCCCCCGTAAAGGTGCTTTAACTTATACTTTACGGTTTCCTTCCACACTATATTTCGTTTATGCACGTCTCTAGACTCGGCGCTTGTCTCAAAAAGCACTTCATCAAGGAAATACAATCCCTTTGGAGACTCTCCCAACTCCGGGCTTGATTCAAATGCGGCGTGGAGCACTCGCGACCCCGACTTTTGAGTGCTCCTCACTGGCCCGTTCGGCATAAGAAAGACGATAATTGGATAAATAATCTGAAATATTAGAACTCGAATCATCCAGGATGCGTGCCGTTGTAGTCCTGTTGTCATAGTACCCGGATCAACGCCCAAAATACAGACATTTCGTAGAACAGGATCAAGGCTCATTCGACGTTGGAGTTCGTGGATCATCATGATAAGGAATAGCTTTGATGCGCCGTAGCGACGATACCCGCCTCGCCATGATGGGTCCTCCTGTGCTGAGCTCCAGGTGCCTTTTGCTATTGCTTCAAAACCGGCCTGGTCTTTTACGAAGGTCTTGTGCTTTTCATCCGCAAAAGCCTCCGTGCTGTCGTTACGTTTATCATAGGGACTGGTAAGCATAAGCAAGCTCTATATCAGCTTCTGGAAGACATAAATTGATGAGTTGATACATATTGAATAGGTAGGTACTTACTCATGAGATTGGCTTCCGATCACAACTATGCGGCCGGAATCTTTGTTCATACTCTTCAGAAGCAGTAGCGTTAATAGCCAGTGACCGAGATAATTGGCGATAAATGTTACGTCGAAACCGTCCTCAGTCCAAATCTGCTTGCCAAAATCTTGGAATCCAGCATTCAGAATCAACGCTTGAATAGGAGGGATTTCTCCAGCGGCGACTCGAGAATTGATCACCTCAGCGACCTGACGCACATTATCGAGGTTGGTCAGGTCAAGGGATATAACATCATAGGGATGTGATGCGTTCGAGAGTGCAGATCTAAGGGCCGATGCCTTTGTCGCGTCACGGACTGCAAAGAGACTGTGATATCCATTGAAATTTGGCTGGGAAGAGGCTTGTTTGGCAATGGCGCTTCCTAGACCTCCATTGGCACCAGTGACGAGGACTGTCCCTTTCATTGCACTCATGTTGATATCGTTTAACTAGGTATGTGAATGGGGTAAGGAATATTCATCATTCGATGCCAGTAGGAAAGGTAGCAACATTAGTTAGTTGTTTGTTTGTGAGAAATCTAGATAGGTACCTACCTAGGTTAGGTAGGTAGTTAATACGAGTTGCTAAGATGATGGGGATTTGGGGCATTCTTTCGATGGAGATGCAGCAGAAAGGGAGGATAGTAATAATACCCCCCCGCTCGTGTAACTCCCTTTTGACCAACAGTAGTATTTCTTCTACTGATTATGCGTGCCCAAGTCGTTCACCTTAGCCTGCTTGTAAGGTCATGCCATTAATATGCACAAGCATACCATTCTAGACCCCACCCTCCAACTATGGTATCACTTTAGGGTTATTTGCAGTCACGCCCTACTGCAGCATCCACGAGCCTCAAGTTGTGAGTTTATAGTTGATAAGTCTTACCAACATTTTTCTTCCAGATGTTGAGACCCTGTATCCATAGTTCGGTGCGCAATGGTACGTAAATGTTAATCAGCAACGACATAAACCATTGGACATGAACCCCTGGATCAATTAAAGCTTCACGAAATTACGAGGCCAGGACATGTATCTCGCTACCTCCCTTGGAATCAGTATTCACAGAAGCGATGCGTCTGCATGTTGGTGTTCTCATCACACGGATGTCCACGGAACCTGTCACAATTGTTGGCTACACGTTACATAAAGGATTTATAGTCTAAGCCCCAACCGATGTAGCACATCTTGACGAATCTGCCTGTACGTTAATTTCAGCTGTCTTAATCCTCATGCTTACCTGCCAGTCACTTTTGCCTGTATACAAAAGCGGAATAACACTAAATACGCATATAGGGGTAGACCCGGCCATCTGGCTTTTGAGTTTTAGGGTGTCGCCACCTTAGGGAAATAGAGACGATGGATAAGACTGGAAATGTCACCAAGAAACTCGAATCTCCATATCCAGAAAAAAGGGGTTATTTTTTCCCAGGCGGTCCGTTTCTCGTATCAATAGCCCTCACATCATCATGTTTGAAATGATAGGATGATTGATTCTGAGTTTGTGCTGATACATCTATTACTTTCACTGAAATATGTGGTGGAGTTGGTATTTGTGCTGGAGGTTCATTGCAAATGTAGAGATCCTACTTAAAGTATCCATGATGATCTCTAGGTTCGATATAAAGTTCGTCGAATGGATAAAGACATATAGGTCTCCCTCGAACCGGGCCGCAATTAACAATATCGGGTGTGCTAATACAGTGGCAGCACCGCCTGATAGAGACATGAATGTCAGGTGGAGGAGACTGTGGTAAGATATTTCTACATATTCTCAAGAGAGAAGATGGCACAAGGAATAATAAAAGGAGAACGCGGGGGGGAGGAGTCTATCGGAGGAATCAATAAATGGTTAACTAGTATAGTTTGGCTTTTAGTATTCGCATAGAGATATGTTATGAAGCTCAGTAGAAAACATGCCGAGTTCTAACCTAAGGTGCCAACCTACGGAAAAATGTTCCAATACTAGCAGTCTTTCAAAATACGAGTAAAAGTACAGTAATAAGGTGAGTCGCCACAGCAAAAAGATAGGATACTTTGGAATATATTGAACTAGAAAGAGTAGCAACTTTGTAAAGGTACAATTAGAAGCGCGTGTTACTTTAAACAGAGTCCTCCATAGGCCTAAAGCCCGTACAAATACAGGATATCCTCAAACTCTCAATTTGTTGTACAAGCACCTCACTCGCCGCTAGCGAGTCAGTAATCAGATAGGAGCTCAATGCTTCCCAGGAATAATCTTTTCGAACGTCCTCTTTACTTTGGTAAGAGAGTTACGTCTCCTCTGTTTAATTGTTAACATCTCATTGCTAGTCGTAGACCGAGTACTGAGGAACTTACCTCAGCCCGAGCAGCTCGCTCCTCAGCTCCGTGTATCAACTGATATTCAGCCTCGGCCGCTTCGTCTGTAATTCCCCGCTTCATTGCAGCTTCGTGCTCGTGCTCTTCTTGTTCGGCATGATGTATCATGTCGTGCGCGCCCATGATGGCATCGTCTGTAAGTCCGTGGCCGTCGGCAGACATGATTGATGTTATTTCTGATGTTGATAATTGATTTTGATGTGCTTGAATATTCTTCGAGACGTGTAGTGTATGTTGATTGCAAACTCAGCCAAGTCTTACTAGATTCGAAAGAAACTCTGCCATCTATATAATTGCGTTAGTTTCCCAGACGGGCCATCCATCTCGTGATGTCTCATGACGAATGACTTCATGTTTGATGTTAGCCGTACGACGCTGCGCGAGCGAGACTAGCATCCCATTTACAACCTCGAGATCGATTCGCTCGAAGGTTCGAGTATTTGTTCATTGGCACGTCATGCGCTGTTGATCCACCGTTGTCCGTCTGGGGTAAATGCGGAGGAACGGGGAGGAGGCAAATCCCCAGCCCACCATCATCGACCGCAACCTCAGATCTACGAACAAAATCGATCGCAGCGCTAGTTTAAACAACGGGTCCGCGTCATATGTAACATTAGTAAACTTTAAGATTGGCGATATGACGATACTGTTAATTAGAATAAGCTAGCTGTCGCCCTTATGTATTCTTCGTTTCCTGCTCCCCAAGCTTGGCATTGAATCGAAAGTTTTGCCGGAATGTTCTGGCTCGGCAGATGACTACCTGGATACCTCCTGAGCTTGACAAATACATAGCTCTATATTTCTAAGATCAGAGAACCTCCTCCATTTTAGCTGGAAAGAAGAGTTGCAATATCTTGTAAGCGGTCTGTGGCACCTCTAAATAGGCTCCCCATAGGTAATACCTACAATGTCTGCTGGCTTGATCGTGCACGACCTACTTTAGGCGGGCATGGACTGATATCATTTGAGTAATAGATATTATAAAGCTTAAATAGACATGTCACTTCCTCGAGTGGCATGGTTATTGTTTCTTTGTACACACTGCTCCATATTTGTTCTCACAACGGTGGCAAAGGGCTCTAGTGTAGTGAGTAGAACCCGCAAACACAGGAGAAGCTTGGCCAATTAGCGGAGTCGATATTAGTTAAAATAGAGGCGGATGAAACGGAGCGTTCCATGGCTGTTAAAAAATAAAAAATAAAACATTAGCGGCGTGGGAAGACGACCTGATGATACCTTAGGCTGTCACGTGAGGGACTAGGATTGCTTGCCCCTATTTCGGTCTTTGAATACAAGAATGCTGACAGGATGGTATCTCCGTTACAAGTATCCATTGCTAAACCAAAGCAACTTGACACCAAGCCTACGGCATATCGCCAACTCAAATTTGGAATAGAACTCTCTTGTAGTTCCATTTGAAAAAGGTATAATGTCTCATATTAGCCGTGGGTGCTTGAGATGCCGCCAAAGGCGAGTCAAATGCGACGAAGGACGTCCTGCATGTCGGCGTTGCGTAAACCGCAATGAGGTGTGCGAAGGATATCGCGATGATGCAAGCATAGTATTTCGTCACGAGACGAAGAAAGTCATCGAACGTGCTAATGCTATGGCAATATCACCCGCTACGACGGGCTCGCGGAGTCCTAGACGGAGGAGCCAATCTATCGAAAACGGGTTGTATCGGCCCAAATCGTCTACAATATTTATCGATCCATCTGATCTTACAGCGGAAGAGGCTGCCGAACTGAAGTTACCGGGGCGATTTCCGTGGACGAATGCAATCCCGGATCATTTGCGCCCTACTCCCGAAGACGACGCTATCAATCGGTTTATGGATAAATATGTCTTATATCCATGCAATGAGACATCATCACCCGGCTTTCTTGAACACCTTCCATCTCTGTTCAAAGACGTGAATGTGGAAGGTCGCTTCGCTCTACGCTGGGCCGTTCGGGCTGCGGCATTCGCTGATCTGTCAAAGGCAGAAAATAGCAGCGCCCTAGAAGCCAAGGCATTCCATTGCTACGGGTTATCGCTTTCAGCACTGGGAGAATCGTTAAAACCGGTGGGCAAGATCCCTGATGACTACGATCTTATGGCAGTGGTTATGTTGGATATCTTTGAGGTATTTATGGGCGCCATTTAACCCTCATGTGCATATGCTGAGTCCTTAGGCTTTCTTTATCGATGATCCCTCAATGAGGGGAGCTCATGCTCAGGGAAGTATGTAGAATTAAGAGTCTCCTGCACCCCCTTTTACGATGCCAAGATTTCCTTACTAAGCTACCCTTAATCCTGAGACCTGTCTAACTCCTATATGCTCTCCATCAGAAGCAATTGTTAACTCTATTATTATAGTGGCACAGATCCTAAGGCTGCGAGGATCGGATCAGATTTACAGCCCTCGGGGCTGGAGTCTATTTAGGCTTGCTCACCACAGAATTGTAGGTTCAACCCCCTCCCCCTGCGAGGAGGGAATGAGATATTTACGAGTTGCAGCAAAAGCAGCGGTTAGCTTTCAATATGAACCCACTCGACGAGTCAGACCATTGGATTGGCCAATTGAATGACGACATGCCTTTTGTTCGCCTAGAGAAAGACTCTCTTTGCATTAGCAAGACATGCGAGCGGGCGAGGGCATTACAAGATGCCCTAGCTGACGGTAGCTCGTCGATATCTGAGATCTTGGACATGGTATACGAGTTAATGAAGCTTGACGATGAGGTGGCCAGTTGGCGTCAGAAGCCCGAATGGTCCTACAAGGTCTTAAACGTGTCCGACCTGCCCCCTTTCTCTCCTTGCATACAACCCCTGACCAGCACTGTTCAACTCCACCCCGATCTCTGGATTTCTTATGAGTGGAATTATCATCGTGCAGCGCGAATAATTGCTCACCAGCAGATTTTGAAGTGCCTAGAAGCTGCAATGGAAACCCTCAGCCCAGATGATGTAGCAAATGATATTCTACGATTTTTGATTGACCAATCCACCGGAACGATACGGGTGCTAGCTGATGAAATCCTTTCAACCGTGCCTCAAAGCTTTGGCGATATCGACAACTTGGGACGCTTACATGATGATCATAAAGTGGGACCTCCACGTTGTCGAGGAATAGGGGGATACCTTCTACTCTGGCCTATCAAGATCCTCAAAGGGGAACAATTCGCGACGACGCCAGAGCAAAAGCATAAGGGGCAAATAGTATTTGGGCGGATTAGACAGTACACCGGAATGAAGTCACATCTTGGTTCTCTAAGCATTATATGACTTGAATGCCAGGCTGGTTAATATAATCGGCGGTATTCAGGGGCACACTGAAAAGGGGCAATGACAATCACATGGTTACATTTCTAGCATATATGTATACGTAAAAAGCATTCTAATTTAATAGAGCATACCCAAACCCCCGTCCGAATACCCTACCTAGGGTTCTAACTTCTATCCATACCACCAGCCAGACCCCTTAACTAACCAAACACAAACACGCTCATATCGAAAGTCTAACAGGCATTAGAACTATTTCCCGTTCAAAATGTTCCCCAGCTCCTGTCCGTTCGCAAGTTTAACCGTTTCCGCTCCCACCATGACGAATACAATTTTACAGACCTCATCCGTGCGGTTGTGCCACACGTGGTTGACACCCTGCTGCACGACCACCTCGCCCGCCTTAATAGTCTTCTCCTCGCCACCATCCAGCTCAAGCACAATCTCGCCCGACAGCACGGCGCAGTAGTCTAAACTTAGAGTGCGGTGCATTGGTGAGCTGTGTTGGGGCGCCATATTGGCTATGCAGAATGTGACACCGGCCGGCTCGGGACGGGGCATCATGTTCTGGAGGTCTTGTGGTTCATCCTGATTATTTATAGGCAGTGAAGAACGAGTGTCAAAGGTCGAGAAAGAACTTCCTCCTGGACCAAAAGGCATGAAGGGTTGTTGTGTTCTGTCCGATTGGAAGATGGAGATTCCCTCTTCGTCGTGGGCCGTGACGACCACGCGGACGTCGGATGATGAGGTGCCGTTTAAAATCATGATGAGTTTTTTTAATGCTGGACTTCGACGTGATTTTACCTTGGCTGCGACGGGGTGTCCTGAAGCGAAATATAGTTGGCAGGGGATATAATATACGTAGTGATTACAGGCCGTTCCAAGGCTGAGAGGTAGTTATGCACTGTTCGGTGTTGATAAGAACCAGACGGAGGTTATATCTTGAGAATTTGGCAGCGAGTGTATCATTAAGAGGAAGACGAAAAATAAGTCGGAAAGCTGGTTTTTATACATAACGTCTCTCCTATAATGCTAGTAGAACGTCAGTAAATGTTTACTTGTATCATAGCTGAATCTATATCGAAGGTACGTACCTCGCGACACTAACCAGATCTAGTAACCGGCACGAAGGATAAGCAGCTGCGCAGTTGAATCCGCGACTCCCCCCCGATGAACTCCCAGACCCCATGCCGGCAGGAGTTGAAAACCCGGAGATAGCGATCTGCAAGGAAAGCGCAAAACACTCCACTTCCATTGTAAAGAAGCACAGCTTAGTGGCGATGATGTCAATTTCCCACTACTTAGCAGGCTTAGCTGCTACGCACGTACCGTTTGGTCTATAGGAGTACACGGTTGACGACCTTTAGTCAGGTTTCTAAGAGGCAGAATCATACGATTGCCTAGTTTATTTTGGTGATAGACTGGTCTTGTCGAATACTCCCCATAGGTCATAGCGATACATTTACGTAGAATCGAATTGAATTGCGATATGGACGTTCCATTGGACTCTGAATTTTAGACGAGGTTTCTTAGGTGCTAAGATAGTGGGGGGGAAACGCACTGTTCGGAGGTATCAAACTACGCTAAATTAGAATGGTTTGGCGGATACTCGCCGTACCCTAAAATATAAGGTGAATTATTTAGGAATGTTCAGCAATCTAAAGCCCCTATAGCTCAGTGGTAGAGCGTTCCACTCGTATCATGTAATCATCTTGTATGATCTACTGTCCATCGAAATGGAGAGGTCCATCGTTCAATCCGGTGTGGGGGCAGGTTTTTTTTTTCTTCGATCTTTGTATTATAATCCATTTTCTAACCTAGACCATCACTAGATTTTATTTTATCTGTTTCAATTACCTAGGGATTTTGCCAATTTCCAGGGTTCAAGCATAATAACGCGATATTCTTATCATACATACGTATACCCTTGCCAAACAGGCCAGGATACATAAGAAGTAGTAACCTTTAGTGGCATCCACTGCCCCATACTGTGGTGACGGGTACTGGGTATATTTTTTGACCTAGGTATTCAAATCATGTCTTATACATATGCAGTAGCCTATGTCAGTGGCTTGTGCGAGGCTTGGTATCTTCAGAATACGAGACCAAAGAAAGATCAATAAGTAAACACCTAAAGATTCTTATAAAAATCCCCTATTAACCACCCTATGGGGCATACTAGAGTCAGTGGAGGTCATAAAAGTTTACCATCCTAGCAGAGGTGCACAGGCAGGCTGCGATTATGTTCATACACAGATAGCATTAAACAGTCACATGCCTCTGCACTCATCGACGTAAAGTCTTACATGCTCTCTCAACCTTCCCTTTCACCCTAACTCTTGTTTTGTTGTCGTCACCGCTGCATCTTAGGTCGATTGTTTCAATAACCCAAGAGACGCCCACGACTCTACGATCAGCCTCGGAATAGACTTAAGCATTGTTTCGAAAGGTGTTAGAACTGATATATTTGCCATCTTCGACTCCATCTATATAGAATATGTTAAACATAGGGCCTGGATTGTTATATTTGATGGCCCATGGGTTCAGTGGTCTGTGACTCTACCCAAGCGTTCCACAATACTTGGCCTTTCTTCATTGGCTTCTCCAAGAAAACCCACGAGAAATGACTAGCAAACTTAATACATAGCTCTGACAGACGGTAGTGTACATGACTTTGAAAAACGTTCTCGAGGGTACACTATTTTGTAGTGGGTTACGATCGGATGGTGCTTATTGTTCTATCCCATCTTACCCGTGACGGTTGGTCTACGGCTAGGACAGACCTCACACTTACGAAGGCGTGATATAGAACGGCTTAAAAAGCGGACCAACGGCGCCTCAGTAGACGACCCCCGAAAACCAATATTGCACCGAATACGAGCTCACCCGGAGGAGCCGACGGAAACGGTTGGAACATTATCATGTGTGCTTTTTAAGGTTATATTTGCAGGATATAACAAAGCCAATATAGTGTATATAGATATATATAGTGTATATTAGTCTTTAAATAGCTCTGTACGCCGCATACCCCTAGGGAGGTCTGCGAGGGCTAGCCCTTCCCCCTCGCCCCGGCATTAAATATACCAGCCAACCAACCAACCATGACGGTTGGTTGTACATACTGCAAGGGAACCTATACTACATTACCTCCTTGCTTTCGAACGTTCCATAGAGGCACTTATATCACGTACCCAAAAACCGGGCTGGTATTTCTAGGTATAATCACTGCATATACCGCATACGGTTAACCACCTATGCGGAATGTACACCGGGTCTCTTACATAGTAGAAGTGGACAATGTAGCTGAGACATGTGGACGCTGAAGGGCCGCTAAGCTCCATTCTATCTTAAGGCATAGAGAGAATAATAAGTACCGCGCGATCTACACGTTTCAATCTGACAAGAAACAATCTTCAAAGACGTTTGCAAGCTCCTTTGCTCGCCAGATTTGCCAAACCCGGTCGGCAGCTGGTTTTGGACTAGAATTGTATACTGCTGGGCCGTTCAATTTCTCTGAAGCCTGGGTTTCCTAACTGTTAAATCAAGAGTGCGAGCTGTGTCGTTAGCACGAGTATCGTGGGGTCCGAACGACATCTATTAATAGCAATGCCACGTCTGATACCTACCTATATTAAGCATGTATAAACTAACTGTCACGGCCCCGTTAGGTAGCATATCACTGTCTTAGCTTAACCTAGTCCCTATGATTAGGACATAGTATATTACGACTAAAATCTACATCGCCCTATATTATATAAACGACCTGCCAAAACATAAACGAGCCAAGTAGTTGATGACGGTTGCGTCTTCGCTGGAGGAGGAGGGAATAAATAAGCCAATACTGGTTTAAGTATTGGAAGACAAGCTGTTACTACAGCAATAGATAATTCAATGTTGGCCCAGAAGAAGATAGGCGATATGTAGTCTAGTTATAAAGATGTTTTAGTAGCCGGACGTTGCAATATGTTCTCGTAGATACGTACATGTGTCATCGTTAGGGAAGATAAGATACAGCGAATTCACTTCCAATGACTGGACAAGCCAAGAAATGCTGACGGCGACAACGCTAAAAGGACTTATTAGCGACTAGTGTTCTTCGGGATTATTGGGAAACAAATACTTGCATTGCACCCAGCAGCAACATTCCAAGTACTCCGAGCCTATCCCTCCAAGGCAGGTTTACACGTAAGACAATGGGAATAGGCATAGCTAGGATGAGAATATCAAATATCATATCAGTGACGAGGGTGGAAAGAAACACGGCGGCTTCATCGACGCATTTATTGTTATAATATGGTTCTATCAACGGTGTGATAGGATAACAGCTATAACAAAAGTCAGCAATTGCTTTTCTATCAAATGGTTTTAAGAATGTCAAACATGTCTCAGGAGCACTGACTCCTCGTCCATCTTGATTAAGAAATATTGACACTGAAGATAGGCTAAAAGGGGAAAAGAAAGAAAACGGTATTACTCACATGAATAGATTAGCGAAGAAGGATATAGACCATGCGCCGAGAAGTCCAATCATGGCATAGGCGGCCCATTGGAAAAGGCGAATATTATGAAAGATTCCATCGTAGAAGACGAGGATCGATGATTTCACAAGCCCGAAGCCGATGGGACTAAGGACATTGACGGCGAGCTTAGTATAGGAGAGTATATCGTTAGGTATGTCTATTGGTGATGCGGTCTGGTCTGTCCCACTGCTCACCCTTTCGTAGACCAGGAACCCTGGATGATCCAGGATAGGTCGGCCATGAGACCCAAGATTTTGATGTTTACCTAGTTTCCCGTCGATAGTAGCTGTGAAACTCTTAGCTACCGAGTTCAAGATAGCCATGTAGGAGACCAATAGCTTACCGTAGAGCTGTAAAGCGCAACAAGTATATGCAACGAGCAGCCCATTCTTTGTTTCACTATTTCATTACATCAACATATTCCCATAACCAATTATATACTTCTTCCAATCCCTAACTCTGACGTCTCTAAACATCCTGAAATTAGCCCGTTTCTACCCACAACATATATCTCTAATATGGCCAACTTGATTGCCGATTACATTGTCGTGGGCGGTGGCCTCACTGGATGTGTCGTGGCCTCACGTCTCAGTCAGAACGGCAGGGATGTTATTTTGCTATAAGCAGGGCCCGATGAAACCAATAACCCGGCTGCTGAATTCTTCTTAAGTGGTCTGTCGCTCCAAGGCGACGAACTTGACTACGCTTATACAAGTGAGCCCGTACCCACTACAGCTGACCGCGTGCACCGCCTCAGCGCCGGTAAGGCTCTGGGCGGAGGGACTGCCATCAACTTTGGCGGTTGGCTTCGAGGAGATGCTGCCGACTACGACGAATGGGCTGAAGTGGCTGGGGACAAGTGCTGGAGTTACGAAGGCCTCAATCTTTGGTTTGTAAAGTCGGAGAACTTCTATGACTCTAATGCAGACCCTCAAGAGCATGGCTTCAACGGGTCTATGTACGTCACTTCAATTGCCGCCGCCGAAGAGGGACAACGTAAATACCCTCTTCGAGAAATCGTTAAGAACGCATGGGCCGAGCTTGGAGTCTCCCACAATGTTCACAGAAAGAATGGCGCCAGTACCGGTGTGAACGAAATGCACGAGAACTGCAGCAAAAAGGGCATGCGACAGCCGTCCAACGTTGTTTATCCACTCAACCACGTCAAGGTCTTTACCAATACCCCCGTATATAGAATCATTTTTGGTGATACCAAAAAAGCTACTGGCGTGGAACTGGTAGACAGCCGCAAAGTTACGGCGCGAAAGCAGGTCATCGTCTCTGCTGGCTCTTATCAGACTCCTAAAATTCTCATGCCCTCAGGTATCGGTCCATCAGCCGACCTCGCCAAACATGGCATTCCTCTAGTACACGAATCTCCATACGCTGGTCAAAGTCTCTATGACCACTATGCAATCCATCTCGCCTATCGTTTGCGCAACCCCTTGCTCGGGTACGCTTTTGGAAGCGCTGGTTTTTCATATCCTGCCTTTCTAAAAGGGCTTCCGTGGGACTGGATTGCTAATCAGCCTCTCCCAGAGAAAATTCTCTCCAAGAACCAGAATAAGACTAAACCAGGCTGGGAAAAGCAAAATGTCTACGAGGTCCTTACTGCTTATGTTGTACCAGGCATTCCTGGTATTCCCATTGATGGTAGCCATATTTCTACTTCAACAATGCTACTCCTTCCCACATCCCGCGGCAAGGTTACAATTCGATCTAGCTCACCGACGGACCTCCCATCCGTGCAACCAAATTATCTCTCGACCCAGATGGATCGTGATGCTCTTGTTCATGCTGTTCGTACAACTATAAAGCTCCTAACGGCAACTGCAAATCTGAAGCCCATCATCGAGGGTGAATCGCCACCTGTTCAAGAAGGTCTGGAAGGGTTAACTCCGCTTATTGTGGATACAAGCGATGAAGAGATACTAGAAAGACTCCAGCGGATTGGAGAGCAGCACCAACATTCCGGCGGTACCGCGGCCATGGGCACGGTAGTTGATGGGGAAGGTAAAGTCTTAGGCGTCACGGGACTCAGGATTGTCGACGCAAGTATCATTCCAGTACCCCTGGGCGGGCACCTGCAAGCTACGATGTATGCCATGGCCGAGCAGCTTGCCAGCATGATTCTTGCAGATTCTTGACGTGAAAAATATGGATGAAGTGGAGAGACCTTTGGGAATTAGCTTTATTCCCCTATGTCTCTGTATTCTTCACTCATTATTTCATACACGCTCTTTCGTGCAATATCTCATTGTTATCAAACCCTTCCTATTCAAATAACACGTAGTATGGCCGATAACCATATAATGTGAGATTAAGGAGGGCTCTTTTCAAGCATGCAGTATTCAGTGGGCCTTGTAAGCAGCGGTGCCAACTGGAGGTAGTCAAGCAAAAAGTCTCGACGCTTTACGATCTGATAGCCTAACTTCGTCTACCATTCTTTCAAGCGGATTTTGAATGGGTACTCGAAATGTTCAGGAAATAGGACGTCAATTTGGGCGATGACAAGTCCAGAATCCCCTAACTCACTGAGGCAACACTGCTAAGCAAATACGAGCAGGTCCTGACCAAATCCGTTACTACGTAGCTCGGCCACGACTGCTAATAGGCCGAATTCGGCGCGGGATTCACTAGGTTTCCCAATAGCAATATAGCCTAGAGGAATACAACTACCAGGCACTTATGTTGTGACGCGACTGCTAGTTCGACAGGTCGTACGAGAGTTGCTACGTCTTGCGCCGACATTCGTAGGTAGCCGGGTTTAAAAATATCAGCCTCGGTTAGTAGATGAGGGCGGGATTTCAATTATGACATCCTGGCCCAACTTCATCGGTGGGTCTGGCAGTCTGCCCCTAACGAGCGCCGAGAGCAGGCTAACGGGAGAGGTTATAGATCGTCTCGAGATGACTTCCATAACATCTGTATCGTGTTGGGCCATGATGCAGCTGTTTGATATATGAAGACTATAAGATGACATGTGTTATATGATAGTTGACTATAATTCAAACATAATGTCTTGGTTAGACTGAACGAGGAGTCAAGTCTGATATACTTAAGGTGTTCTATTACACGATGCCCGACTTAAGTGCGAAATAGCTCCGTCCCAGTTACATGAGTCACTTATATACATACATAGGTACCTAGGGAACAGGCTTGAGTATACTAGCAATTCCCTAGATACGCTATGTTCATAATGAAGAGAGCACAATGCAATCAATTCAGAAGCGGCATGGTATGAGTAATTCTTATGATCAAGTCAGTCAATGGATCCCAGTTAGCCTCATTTATCCTTGACTATACGTTGTCAGTCTAGAATTCATGTGGAACAAGTTTACATTATAGATGGCACTTCACTTGTCACTCCAAGTATCTGTCATTGTATGTTGAGTTAATAATGAATGTCTTGGTAGGCTTAAAGAATAGGTAAATATATTGAACTCCAAGCTTTGTTTTTCTACTTCAAAGTATTAAGCTACCTCTTAATCCGTCTCGAAAATGCTAGCCGTTTCTCTCAACAACGCTAAATCAATAAGACCCATTATCCGGCCATCGAGCCGTCTCACATTTTCATCCCAGTACCAATACACGCCGCATGCTGCTATCGTTATAATGATCTGCGCGATTCCCAGACCCATTGTAGCCATCTTAAGATCACCCCACGAAAGAACACTATTAGGGAGGCCTAGTATAAGGGCACCTGCAACAATATTGCGGAAACACGTAAGACTACCGTGCATATCCGCTGTGTTGCGCAGGCAAACTCCAAGATTCGCCGAAGTGAAAGCTGTAGATCGCTGGATGACGGGCCAGAACGTGCTGTCCAGAGCCAGAGACCCAGCCGCCAGGAGTCCGAGAAGGAAGGACACTACTGCGAGGCTGACCTGATCTAAGCTAGAGCCCCATGGCATGGCGAAGGGCATTGCTGAGATATCTGCAGACATTTCCATCGATCCAGAGACGTAGAGGCCAAACCCTAACATCCCAATTGAAGCAAAGGTAGTACCAATAACAAGCGTTATGAGATGGACAATTCGCGAAAAGCGCTTAATAACTGAAGGAAAGGCAAGCGCAACAGCTATAGGGGTAGCAAGGAGAAAGGGGACTGTCATTAAGAATCCGATAGACGTCGAAGATAACATGAAAGGAAGGGGGGAAAAGAGCATCGAAAGCGAGTGTAGTATGCTCCAGAAACCAGCATATGGTAGAAGGGTCACAGCAAAAAGGAGTGCGGTCGTCGGTGCGATTATGGCTCGGGGGGCTTGCAATATTAGTGGGAGGTTGATTTCGTTCGCCCGGTATGACCAAGGCTTCATCTTAGCAATGTACTTCATAGCAGCTTCTTTTGTGTATGTTATGTTCGGCCAGAGCGACTGGGAACGTTGAATGGTTGGTATCTGGACGTCCAATGTGGCACGATCGTACATCGTCTCTGGAGCGCCCAGCACAAGCAATAAGATGGAGAGCGTTAAGAAGGCGCTCATAATCTCGAACTGCAACTCGAATCCCCTAGGACCAGCTGAAGCAATAATGCCGCCAAGGAGCGGAGAGCCCAGCATAGTTGCGACTGAGATAGCATAATAAAGGATAATCTTAGATTGCCTCTCATGCTCCTGAACAGGCGAATTAGCACATGTAATCCGAAGGGAAACCGTATAGGAGTTTTACTAACAAAATATGTATCGTATATCGACCCAAGGACCAGAGTATCGAAGGCGCCCCAGCCCAACCCCTGGAATATTCTCGCCGCCATATTCTGCGCCAGATCCCCCCTCACTCTTGTGTTCCAAGCAGTCCCTATAAATATCATCACCATTGAAATCAAATATACCGGCCTCTTGCCCCATATCCTCGATATTATTAAAGAAGCTAACCCCGTTATCGCAGAAACCATTAATGGAGCGGCGGTTAAGGCCACCACTGCCGTATATGAGGCCAATTCCTCCATTGCAATAACACTGTTTACGCTAATATAAGCCGTCTTCATCGTTCCCACTAGTGCGACCATAGAAAGCAACGCTCCTAGATTCAGATGCTTCTTCCATAACGGCCAATTCAAAGGATCATCGGGATCCTCACTGGGTTGTGGAGACAGTTCGATGTTCGCATGTTTTCCTGTACCGTACTTAATAGTCCGTTTCGACCCTGTAGTCGAATATGACATCGCAGTTTCTGTAGTTGCCGCAGTGGCTGCGGTCTCCGGCCTAAGATCCCTTAATATCGGCCTCGGAGGGCGCTCCCCCATCGACGAAAGGCCTAACGATAACCTGCCATCACTTCCATTCCCATCTAGCGTCGTCAGCAACGATTCTAGCGTGCTCGAATTTGTTGATGCTCGATTAATATTTGACCCCTCGGTCTTCTCATTACGATATGAGGGCAAGGGCAATGGCGAAGGCGGCGGTAGAGGCGGGAGCGTCTTCTCATAATTAATTGGCGGCTTTGATGTTGCGAGTAGACTCTTCTGCGGATTTGATATCTCAACCATCGGCCCTAACGATCCCATAGCGGCGATTGTTGCTATCTAGCCCCTCCTCTGACGACGGACCCCTCACTAAAACTTTCAACCCGACCAGCAATTAATCGATGGGGGTAATTAAGAGGTATAACAGGTAACAAAGGGCTACCAGGCCCACGAAGATCTACTTCGAAGAAATGAAAGCGTAATAAAATGTTAATACAATATTGAAGATAGTAAACACCACATTGGTGTTGCAAATGTAAAGATCAACTACCAAAGAGATACTCGTGGAACCAAACTCAGTCCTCATCTACCGGCAGGGTGGCACGGACACTTGCTATGTGAGATCGCCATAGAGCTTCATGGGTATCGCGGACGCTAGTCAGTGTGAACAAGGATATTATTTGCTGTATCTCAGAATATGGCTCGGGTTTGGTGAGCCCGGCTCACTAGCGAAACAGCCCAGAGTTAAGTGGTTAAGTGAGCCCTTGATAATAACTTGATTAAACCGAACAGGATCCTGTTGTCATCATTCCTGATCCCCCTCCGAGTCATCCATCGATTGTTCTTGTGATCACGAGGTGAGTGGCTTATGATAGTCTTAGGATCTATGAGATATGTAGAGTGCGAATCCCAGGATGTCAACGGCGTGAAAGGATCCAAGTCTGCCAAGCCAGAATCTTTCCTTCTGCACAACATCTTACCTACAGTGTCATTTTCAAGCAGCAAGAAAAGGTCTTTCAGTAAGAATCACAGAATGTTACTTACATACCTCTTAATCCCTTAGCCAGATCAACATGATATTTTACTTGCAGTTTAGATCTGGACCAACAGAATAGATCAAGGACCAAGATAAAGAAAAGGAAGAGAAGAAGAAAAAAAGCTCAGAGCGATTCGGCACATCCCGATCAGCGCTCGGACCAGTGTGAAACTCGCCTGACGCAGGGCGTACGTCGCGGATCATCCCACGCTGCATCAACAAAGAGAGATTACCTACCACACCGGCCAGCTATGTAAATGCAAGTCCAACTCCAAACCGGACGAGCAAACACTTAACTACCAAAAACATGTTTAAGTTGTTGGTCCGCTTTCTTATCGTTATGGGCCAGAGTACATATCTGACAGGCCATCCGTCGTAAGATGGCCATATGCTATGCTAAGTACACGTACCCAAATCAAGTCTTCTTCCATGTGAAAGTGGCCCTAGCACAGTTGAACCTCATCGTCCCATACGATCGGAGAATTAATGATAGGGCCGGTAATCCTCGAAGCAGATGCTAACGCACGTATTTATGTATAAGTGAACATATCATCTGGCTATGTGTGCGCTAGTGTATGATTCGGTCTAGACTCGGTATGCGCCTAGGCCGCGATCCATGCAGGAACGACGCAGCCAGTACCGGACGGCAACGGGCATAACCGGGTAGGGAGGCGAGGGTGAGCCTCCGATAGGTGAACCGGACTAGCTGGAATCTACACATGTAAAATGTATATGTAGGTTGGGTACCTAATGTACATTTATGCATGGCTTTGTCTTGAATTTGCTCATATATCGTCTCGCGCTCGTCACGGCCCGCAGAGTTGGCGGTGAGACTTGCTGTTGCTGTAAGTGACATATCACCGATAAAGAGCCGTAGATAATGTAGCATACGTATCTCGATGTCTTTCAACGATGCCGGCTTAATTATACCCGAGTTGTCGTCAACTTTCTCGTACGATGACCAAATATGAATCGATTCCCAAAGCCAGTACTACTCTTAGGGTAGTCCATTGTCTCAACGTGCTAGACTCGTGAAATGGGGATATGTATATGGGAATATTTATAATTCTAAGTTACTATAGCCAATTTCTAATTCTATAAGGCTCATCTTCGAAATAGAACCCCCAACTATGTATGTGCGGTTTATATAAAATCCAAGCACACCATTAAAGGCAAAACCATATCGCCGAATCGCATGGTCCGGCACATGTCAATCCTCATGTCCCTGTATTATACCCATAACATTAAATATCGTATCTCATTAAAGTCCGTACCGCAATTCGTGGCGCTCTACATAACGAACGTCGTAACCATCGACCGAAACAGTCGTTCTGACGGGATGGCGCATTGTAGAAAGCTATTACAGGGCTGGTAAACCGTGCCGGTACCTGGAAAATAAACGGCTCCTAAAATGTCAAGATATGTGAGTCAATGTTCTTCAATCTAAAAAGTAGTGGATCTCCAACCAAGGATGGTCGGGAGTGTTGAGCACGGCCAGGATCAGCCAATGCAGCTCGCGTTGGTTGGTTGATTTCCATCTCGGGTACGGTTCGGTCCACTGGGCCAACATTATCCCCTTCGCACCGACGGAACATGCTCAACAGCTTTGTTGGTTGTGTCGCATCACGGTTTGATCCGCGAATGTGGCTCTCATGTCTCGTAGCCAGCCCATAGATGGACTAGCTATTGGGTTGTTAAGGTTGATAGCAACTTTCGTTCGGTAGCAAGAATCTGAAATAATGACCGAGTCCTGATATTTTCATCTTGGATACTCTCAATGTTGAATGGCCGTAGCTCTTCACATGGATGCAATTACGACTGCTTTACCTGCATGAGTTTCTTCTCGAGTTTCAGATGACTCGAAGCTGAGAAGTAGCCAGTTTGCTCTTATAAGCAACTCTGCGATGATTTTGTAAGCTTGTGATGAATGATTAAATATTAATTCTTTGGATTAACATACCTTGGTACTCTAATGTATATGAAACCGAAGGCTCATCATCTCGACCGAAGAGGACAGGTGCTGGTATGCTCTCGTCCTCGACAACTCGGAATCTTATGCCGGCGGTCTTTGACGAATCTGTCCAGAGGATGGTCCGTTCATCTGAGCCCGAACCCGCTTGCTGTTGCGTCCTTACTGCCGCCTTCGCTGCCTCGTTCAACCAGTCACGCCATACACGGACCACGTTATCGGTGATGTTGGCAAAGCTGGAAAACAAGCCGCGTCGGGGTCCCACTTTAACCAGGTTGGTTATTGTGCATAGTTGGGAGAATAGTTCGCCAGAGTCCAGGGAAATCTCGTGCGACGGCATCTGGACAATCTGTCCCGCTGCCTTTTCGGAGTCGAGGTATGGGCGAAAGCGCGCGTATATGTTGTTGAGCTCTCCGAGGTTAGCAACTTCGCCGGCCTCGGCGAGTCCATGCATCCCTTCGAATTCGCAGTGTAGCGAAGGCGTACTAAGCTTCTCGCTTGGGTGGAAGCTTTCAAGAATCACTTCGTGATCCTCAAGCCTCGATGTTTCCACAAGGCGCGTATAGTGCACTCGGCCAACGAGTCCATAGAACCGGCGGCAGACAGCAGCAAGGGGCAACAGCGAGCGGGTCGGGAAATTACTCAGAACATTGATAATGATCTTTCGGGTGGGTGTTAATATTTTCCAAAGTTGACTAAGTCATGTCAGATTATAAGGGATCTCATACCTCGTTCGGGAGGGAATCTATCGAGAGATGGGAGTGAGCCATGACGTGCGATATGGGCAAGAGCAAAGATACGTAGTAAGGGTCAACAGAAAGACAAAAGCACGTCGTCGTAGCCTCAAAGGAAAACCTAGACACGTACTACCAAGACCGAAGGACTATTTATATCAAGCTGTTCGGGACCCTTGGCTGGGATATTCGGGATGTGGGTGGACCTAATGCGGCCACGACGGCCAATGTAAACGGCGAATTACGGCCTAGGCCAACGCGACGACGGTCCTTGCTTGTATACCCAGTCGAATTTGAGGCTCTGATAATGTCGGTCTGCGATCTTAGCGCAATCAGATGTTGTAGATCGACCGCGTTACCGAACGAAAGCCGACGATGTACGTAGAGGCTCAGCCGTTACATAACCACGCCAGATCAGGCGAGTTTGTCGCTTGACTCCTTAAGCGTACCCGGTTTGCTCCGAGATAACTTTCCCCCTTGCGTGATATAGAAAATTTTGATAATACATACGATATGAGCTGAGTTTTTTTTATGGGGTTTCTTTTTTCTTTGGTAAGTCTTTCAGCTGGTCTATGTATTGAATATGACTTGAGTGAGATAATAACACCGAAGAACCGTTTCTTTAAGACGTTTGGAACAATATTGACGATGGTTATGTTTTCGCCACATTTCCAACGGCCGTTATCGTCGGCCTTATCTTAATGGACACAGTGAATTAGGTGTTATTATTACTATAGGGACTGTATAATCGTCGACCTTAGGTACTATTAGAGTAAGGTATCATTCAGGGGAAATCCTCTTTTTTGCATATTGCTCTTTGCATATTGCTTCGATGTAATCATGCTATCTTCGAGAGACAGAGATTGGTCATGCGCATATTTTAATTGGTTAATAGGTTAGGTATGTATTCTTTTGCCGATACATGTGTCTCTTCTTAAGCTATTAGGCCTACTAGGAGACAAGATAACCCGAAAGTGCCAAGGCCGAGTTGATACCTCCCAGGAGCCAGGGCCGAATTTATTCCTTGAATGTTCCTTAAAAGTTATCCAGCGATCCGTGAGCTTAATTAGACGTATGTAGAAGCGTATGCGATTCAATCACTTTTCATTATACTGCATATACATTTACTACCATGACCGTTTATAATAGGTGCTATTTCGTAGGTCCGTCACCAAGTTACCTTGAATGCTGCCTGTCCACAGCAGGCCGAGTCCTAACATTTTAAATGCTTTAATGTAGACATGCAATTCATCACGATCAATAGAGAAATATGGGGGTAAGTGTTTTCAGCCACTTGCGATACTGTCAGTCTTCTAAATAT